TCAGAGTGTGCAGCCGCCCTTTCAAGCGTTAGAAAGCTACAGGGATGAAAATATATTTTAGAAAGGTTGTGGTCAAGAGGAAGAAAATGTCGAAAAACTCTATGAGATGTCACGCTAAGTTCCTGCATCCTGCTTTTTTTTTTCCAATGTCGTCTTTCTTGTATGGCTTTGTGCTTTTTCGTACTCACATCCTTTTTCTACACACAATTTGTTCGAATACATCAGTTTTATAATGATAGACAAGCCTCTTACGAACGCCCTGGGTTTAGGGGAACGTTAACTACGCCAGGGCACTTACGTAGGCGAGGGGCCTATTAATTAACCAGCTGCCCAATTGCATGTTGTGAATTGAATGTTTTGTCGAATCAGGCTGTGTGATCAAACGCGAGAGAACGAAAAGTCCTGAAATATCTGAAATATCCTCATCCAATGTCAAAGAGAAGGAAATCGAAACATTGAACGCTGCAAGAGCTCAATTTGGATCGCTTAGTAGCCCTAGGTGAGCATCACCCACTTGAGCAATAAATCAAACCTGGTCATAAAAGTATGTACTTGCTGTTGTTACGTGTTTAGCGGTTAGAAGTAAGAACTGATTTCAATACGCCAATAACAAATGCTTATTATGCAGGCCGAGACTGCACATGTGTGGCTGGAAGATATGCAGGCATACTCAGCCTGCTTACTGGCAGATCCCTGGTCTGCCTACGACAGCACAAATATCCCCTCAATCTCAAACCCTCTCCTGAAAGTGCCTACGATGCTCTTCAAATCTGATTTATTAGAGTCCTTCGAAGCCCAGTAATTGAGAAACAACAGCCAAATCTCAGTCTTAGCATGGCAGACCCTCTTACAGTCCTCGGCAGCGTTGCCGCTTCGCTGCAGCTGGCGAAAGTCGCGGGAGGGAGCCTTGATCGGTAACATCAAACTCATTAGGCAGCTCCGCGACATCCCACGCAAGACAGCTGCACAACTCGAAGATGTCGAAGGGTCCACAGGAAGAGTGTTGGATGTGTGTAACAACGCTCCGGTTCCTGGGTCGGTCATGTTTCAGCAGGTGAATGCTGGTTGCCTATCAAGCCTGTCAATTTGTGCTGGTTCTCTGGTCGAAGCTTTGGACAACGCATACGATATGCTAGGGCCGCTTCTTCAGAAGCACGCAAGAGCCAACGGCAATCTAGCCAAGAAACTTTGGAGAGAAGCCGTCATGATCATGCGAGAAGGGGACGTCACGGAAACCTTGGAGCGGATAAAAAGGGTCAACAACGATTTCCTGCGAGAGCTCCAAATCGCAAACACCGAAATTGGAGCAGAAACACTGTTAGTATTTCTTACTAGTATGTTTTATAGACTCTCAAACTCACGATTACGATTTTAGCTCCGAACTGCCTGAGACTTCGAAGATGGCACGAGTCCATCACGGGGAGACCTTGAGCCGATTTAATCAAGTACAAACTTCTACAACAAGTCTACACTGAGCAATGGGCTCCGCTTTTGACAAAATCGGCTCCGATTTGCGTTTCTTTCATTCATCATGGCCCAGAACGAACCCGTCGCCATTTCGGTCGATCACCATCCTTCTCGTCTCAAAAGCGACTTTCGACTTACCCATGATACCATACAACAAATGATTCGCCAGCATAACATGAGAATGAACTTAGAGAGAAAATCTCTACGCGATGAGTTGTTGAGTAACCTGACAAACCCTAAATCCTGCAATCTGGGGCCGGGTTCTTCAAATTTCGACAGGCTTGGTGCCAAAGACCAACTTTTGCTGGAGAATGGCACCTGGATTGCACTATTACAGCACCCACACGATTTGAAACCCGTTTTTGAGATATCAAATCGCAGCAGGCGGTGTATGCGGTTTTTTCGCTGCCGGTCTAAGACTAAAGTCGAAACCAAGGGTCGGGGAACCATACGGTTCGAGGTTGTCCGAAAGTCGGATCACCACCAAGAGTGTCAATACCGCCATACGGGCTCAGAGAGCTGGTCATACTCAATCTGCGCAAGCTTATATCCCTTTTTACGAAGAAAAATGGATCTGGCTATTGGTGCCACAACTAGCCCAGGTGGGTGGTGTTTGGCGTCACCGCTGCGTTTCCGGAATACCGTTAAACGTGCCGATTCTCTGATATTCCAAGCTCCCGACACGCCCCCAATACTTTGCGCTTCCGAAGTAGCATTGAACAAATTTCCTGGTCGTTTCACTGACGCTGCAGTTGATCCCGTGTATAAAATGACTGGCTCTGTGTTCAAAGGGTTGTTTCCTTTGGAATGGGCCCCTTCGACAGCTGAACAGCTGGAGGCCTTGAGCCGCCTGATTCGTGAAAACGTCTCCACTGGTGCATTTTCGGGTCTTTATTCTGATGAAAATAGATTTACCTTGCTATTTGTAAGTTCACAGCACCGTTTTTTTTTGTCAGACATTGTTTGCAAGAAGCTGATATTTTATCCAGGAGCTGAATCATCTTCTTTTGATGCTTGGGCCTTTCTGAACTAGGTTTAAGACTGGGCTGGGAAGACTGCTAGATACTATTATTCGCGCCGGTGTCGACATAGAAGCAAAAGCGAACAACACACAACTCTCACGAGAATACAAAGTGGACGGACGAAGGAAAGGCATATCCAACAACATCATTCTAGAATATACTAACAGCCTTTAGATCAAGACGGCAGTCGTCATATGTGACCGCAACCGAGTATTTCTTGGATATGGGACTTGCAAGCTTTGAACACGGAAGACCCGACATCCCTCTTTACAAGTCCGTGGAAGACACAGTGATTGTGAACACTTCGATCAATCCACAATTCGGCGAATCCACTGTTCACATCCTAGAAACTCATGGAAACACAGTGTAAATTTTAGTTCGTCAACCTCAAATAGCCGAAGGTATGCTGGAGAATGGCCTGGAGATGGCTGCCAAGGTCAATTCAGCTAATAAATGTAGCGTTACAGTACGATGACTTGGCCTTGGCTACCATTAGACGTTCGTTCAAAGAGATCGTACGCTTGTCGAAATCAACTCAACGCCTACCCATGGTATCAGGACGAAGTGGTAGACATCCATATCATCTTAGCCCACTGGAACTGGCCGTAGGGTGGCCACAAGGCATTCAACATTTCATGCGCCTCGAGCATAACGTAGCGCCCGCCATCCTGATAGCTATCAGATCATCTGACATCACTTCGTTCCGTCTGCTTATAAATGCACAACAGCCGATATTTACCGACGAGCTCGATCCATGTACTAAGAATCGTCGATACCCAGGAAACCACTTTTGGATTTTCAGAGAGCTGATATGGAGACAAGGGCATCTTATTTTGGAAATGGCTACACTAGTCATCTCAGAACTGAAGAAACGGAGATAAAAGCTTCGTCTCTTGGCTCTCTCCGTACTCAAAGAGGATGAGCTCAAGGCAAACGGGCTGCACATCTCCCATCTACTGGATGGCAATGCACGCACGATATACCTTATGCTTGAGAAAAGGACTGCAATCCCACTCGAACTGGACTGTTGTCGTGCCTCGCTATATGATCGTTGGGGTACGCCTCTCAATGCATCATCCATCCGACTTCTTAATGTCGTTTACAATGCTGGCTTTGTAGCTGTCGATGATGAAGGCACAATGGGCTATACACCATTGTTTCAACATATTACCGACCACAAGTTCGCCTTCTACTATGCGAAGAGCCTTACCTTCGTTAACTGGTTTATTCATCGCGGTGCCAGTCCTATCAACAAGAAACCCAAAGGTTTCCCAAATATTGTGTTCTATCTTTCGATTATTGCATCTTTCACCCCAGTCGACATATTGGAATCCGCAGAAAATTCTGACTTGGAACCCAACTTCACTCATCTTCATACAGCCACTGATAATTGCGACTGCTTTTGTTCGTCCGTTGGCTGTCTTCCGACACATCTACTTTCCCGGTGCTTCCAGGGAAGGGCAAAAACCGATTGCGTCTGGAAAGAAAGTCATATCGATCGCCTTAACTCGTGGCTCTATTCATGAGGGCCTTCCGAAAAAGACCAGGAACTCGTCTGCAGAGAGAACTGTCGATCGGAGATCTTCAGCCGCCTGGGTATGGCTCACACCTGCTGTAAGCACGGTGTGTACAGCATGGTATTTCCTCGAACGGAAGAGGAGTATATGCGCTATGATCCATTTTCCAAGGCCCGTCCCCAGTCTGGTGTTGAAATTGCCCAGATACACGAGGAAGATAATATTCTGGTCAGCCAGTTGGATAACCTAATGTCTCAATATGATCTCGCCAGAATGAAGGTGGGGAGCACGCCCGTGGCTTTCCAAGCCGTTTGGTGGGAAGTCGTGGACAAGATTCTGCCCCCTCTTCTACCGACGAAGCTTGTATTCATCATTTAGAAGACCGAAGATTTTCCCATGCTTACCAGGTTAGGAACGAATTCACTAGGGAAGAGTTTGAGCACTTGGCTGCTGCTGCGAGGGACGCGAGGACACGACGAGAAACAGACGCTCTGCGTGCCCTGGGATATGAAGATTATGCCGATTTCCAGGATGTCATTGATGACTACTTTGCGAAGCAGACTTGGGTCTGACGAAGGGAGTCTAGGGATGAGTTCCCTAAACGCATATTGTTGAATTATCGTATTTTCTGGAGTTCTTTTATATTTGACTTTCAAGTGGCCTATTATAGTACCCTGAAATATACCACAGCGTTCGAGTCATGATGCACTAGTCTGATCACGAATGGTTCAGAACACAACGGCGGTGCAGGCGTCGAACAAACAGTACCAACAGGGTATTTTTCAAGACGACGACTCATGATATATGTCATTCCCAGTGTATCGGCACTAGTCAATCATTTGTAGTATGCACATGAGGTTGACAAGGAATTCGGTTGGCACACTTTTGTCGATCAGATCATCAAGTCAACGAAACGGTAAACCAATTTATCACATTATTTATTCCTTACAGTTGATTCCCAAGATATGAAAAAAAATGTTGATGTTAGTAGAGAATGGAACATATACTCAAATATTATAAAGAGGCCTGCTCTTTTACCGTCGACCTGTCCCGTGTCACTATCATCAAGAACTCACCTCTCCGCCCACTAACAAGCAAGCAAGTAAGTAACAAGTAAGTCCTTCAGTTGCAACCATTTCCGCACGCAGTCTTCTCATGCTCCACCAGTCATCCAAGAAGTCAACCCTAACCATCCTCCAGAAAATGGCCAAGAGCGTCACCCTCCTAGCCCTAATCACCCCGGCGATGGCCGCGGATTGGGTCACAATCTCGGGCAGCGGGTCATCGTCGTGCGACCAGTTCAGGACATGGGCCGAGACGATATGCCAATCCGACATCCAGAGACAGATCTCCAGCTCCTCCGAAATCGACGGCGAGCTCTCGGTCAACTGTGCCAACGTGCCGCAGAGTTGGTGCGACGCCTACTCCGGGGGCAAGAACTACCATCCCAGCGGTGTCTTTCACGAACCCGAAGGCTGGAGCTTGTTGTCAGCTTCAAACTTACGAGCTATGAGTTCTGTTCTGTGGTGGTAGTATAAAATTCCGGCGATTTAATAGGAGTAGAATGTCTAACACTCGATGGTCTGTTCAGGATGCAAGCAGCTGTGGCACTATGAAGACATTGTCTGAGGTGAATTCAGGAGTATAGACAAGGTTGCTGGCATGGTTTGGTCCCGCGGGTTTCATGCGTGGGAAGCTCGAGTTACAGCAACGATGGTTGCCACTGGTGGTTTTTGAATCAATATATAAATGGAAGTAAATGCATGCAGCAGCTATTGCATCCTTGTGGTATCACAGCAACCAAGTATATCTGCATGCAAACATATAACCTCTACAGCCACACCATGCAACTGTCATTACTTCTTCACCTCCGTGCTCCCCTGCGCCGTCGTCCCACTTGCCGTATCAGGGGTACTCAGTAGCTCCGGCCCGGGATCCTGTCTATTCAGACTCCCCTCGCCTGCCTCTTTCTCGACCTTCTTCGCATTAATTTCGTCAGCATCCAACCTCTCCTCGCCAAAAGGCCCGCTAGTCTTCACACCTTCCAGGGAGTCCGTATCATTCTCGTCCTTGATGTCCGCGTCCTTGACGCTGCTCGCCCGGCTCACGTCCGCACTCTCGGGGTTCTCAGTTCTCAGACCTAAATGTTTCTCAGCAATCGGGTCCTCCTTGTTGTCTCCCTTCCAGTCGGCAGGCCTCATCTGCGGTACAGGCGAGTTGGTCGAGGGTTCGTTGATAATCTCACCGTCCGTCGGTACGACCTCGTCGCCGCCGTCCTCGGCTCGTTGGGAGTCGGCGACGCGCCAGACCACGGCGATCTTGTCGAACGCGCGAGATCCTTTTCTGCTGGAGCCCTTGATGCCGTCCATGGCTTCCCAGTCGATCTCGAATACACCGCTGGCGTCGGCTTTGCCGTCTTGCTCTGGGCCGTTGCCCTCGAAGAAGACGTTGAACCAGACGTGGGCGACAGCGGTTACCATCGTTAATCCCATGGACGAGGAAGTGCGGTTCCGGCGCTCCACGGAAATGTTGACGTCGCTGTTGGGGATTCTGATCGCCTCCTTCGGCTTGAGGATGACAGCCATGCCGCCAGGTTCGTTGTCTTCGCCTTCACTAGACTTTCCGGCGGGCTGCGTGTTTGAGTGAGCCGCCATCGGGGCTTCAGTCTCGCTTCTCTTCTGGTTCGCACCATGTTCCAAACCAGGGTCCCGGATAAGAGAAGCCGTCTTTGCAGTGCGCAGCTTCTTTGCCTCGCTCTGTGAGTGTACGGAATCATCGTTCTCAGTCGTCTTGTCTCCGGCTGCCTTCTTCTCGGAGCTGCTTTTGCGGCCGTTGTTCGTGTTGGTGGGTTCTGAAAGTGGCGCCGCCTCGGGGGCCTTCTCAGTAGGCTTGATACCGACGCTCGCCATGTCAGTCATCATGCGGCCGACGCCGCCTCCACTCGGAGCATCGCCCTGGACAACGATCCTCTCGCTCTTCTTGAAAGTATGAAAGACCTTGATCTTTTTTCCTTCCTCGGCGAAACCCTCGACATCAAACTTGACGCCACTGCGGAGACCCCAGACGTGTATCTCAACAATCTCGATGGCCCTGTCGATGTACTTCTTTCCGCCCTTCGTCCACCGGTCCACGTAGGTGATCGTCCGTAACTGACTGGGGATGGAAACGCCGGCACCGAACTTGGGGCGCATTCTTCTTTCCGTGAACCTTGTAAGAGCCTCGTCGGGCTTCCACCCGCACTCGGAGATGAGGTAGCTGCACGACACAGTGCCGCTTCTGCCCTTGCCAGCCTTGCAGTGGACAACCACAACTCTCTCCTTGTTTGTCTTGGCAGTCTTATCTACAGCGCCGACAGCGACATCTCCCCGTTCAAGATCCCCTCCGTGCAACCAGTTCCGCATGCTGGCCATGATCATGGGTATCAGGCGAAATGGCGGTGGGTGGTGGTCGGGCCATGGGTAATGCCGTACGCGGCCGTACACCTCCTCATCTGGGTACCCTGTTCCTTCGGCGCGAAACTCCCATATCGCCCAGTTGTCTTGGTGCTTCGAGTCGAGGAAGGTCACTAACCGGTCGAGGGGGTTTCGGTAGGCTCTTTGGGGGTATGTGCCAGACGGACCGGAGCTGGATGGATTAGTTTCAAGCATGGGTATCAAATATCTCGGAAAGAAACATACGTCGCGATGATGTTGGATGTGACATAGCAAAGATCTAGGTCTGACTCGGCGTGTCGTGCTCGTGGCCCGGCGACAATGTGTCGCAACAAAGAAGCCATACTGCGAATAATCCGAAAATGCGACGTGAAAGCGGAGCAAGATTCAGAGCAGGGACGCGCGCCAAGAAAATAAGGGATCGTTGCAGTGCGGTGGTATAAATGGGTGTCAGGAAATTCTAGTCAAGGTTGCCTCCCTCATGACGGTCCATCGTGTCGTAGCTGCGCCTTGATCGCGTGCAGCAGCCAGCCTTGATGCCGGCCGACAGACAGGGAGGGCGACGTCATTTATGGTGGGGTGCACCGAGGGCATAGCGGCCGAGCTACGCCACTTTCGGGTGTGGCTAGTGCCCGTCTCTCCTCCGGCTGCTTGGCAATATGTCCTCGGCCCTCGTGCTGCTTCGTTACCGTCATGAGGAACCAACGCGCGCCCAAGTCACGGAAAACTGCAGCTCATGGTTGTGTGGTCATGCGAATTTGGATTTACTGCTCAAACAAAACTAACAGACAGAGGCCGGAGCCAAAGTAAAACGGGAAACCTGAAATCATCGTGTGATGCAGAGAGCAACCTGGAAATGCCCAGGTCCCAAACTCGCCTACACTCCAATAACCTGAATGGATTGCAAAAAAGCCGTGTACACCGTGTCCGGCCGTGAACCGCTCCCCTCATTTCTTTTCCGTTACGACCGTGTATTCTCGTCATAAACAGTTCCGTATAGCCACCTCCCGCCGAAAGACATCTTATCGTAGCCGGGGTTGCAGACTGACCCGTCGCATCGGCGGAGCCATGTTGCACGCACTGTCGTACCATAAAACCTTTGTCAACGCGCGTCCAGAGATCCGAGTGGTTCTGAAGCATGTTGCCTGTCCCAGAAAACCATTAAGAGGTCTTCTTGGGGACAGAAGCACCGCTGAGGTACCGGTTGGGGTCAGTGTAGGCGTAAAACTGGCGCGCGCCTCCCTTGACAGTCTCCCAAGCCTGGCGAGCAGCGGGCGGGGTTCCCTGGTTGCCGACAGCGGAGTCAACGCGAGACTCAAAGAGAGCAAGCGAGTTCTGGACGTGGGTGCTCTGCGCGAAGCGCGCACGAAGGAAAGCGGTGTAAATGGCAATCAGGATCCAGGAGCGGCGCTGGAAGGTAATGGCAGAAAGAAGGAGGCGGACCCAAAGCAGGATCTCAAGCGAAGACACCACAGACATGGAGGCATCGTAGTACTCCTTGACGAAAGCGCCAATCTTGTCGGCGATCGGGTTGTGTGCATACTGGGGCTTGGCGCTAGGAGAAGCACCAGACGCAGGCGTGATAGGCTTGGGAGGAGTGATTGTGGGAATCACGTTGGCGCGCGTGTAGGTCGCAACGTGGAAAATTGAGTAGATGGCGTAAGGGAGCATCGCCAGGGGGTACTGAGGAGACAGAAGCCAGACGAGGGACATTCCTGGATCAATCGGGTTAGATGCGACTCTCTCCCCGAACGCAAATTAGGGAGGAGCAACTCACCGAGGTACTGAACGTTCTCATCGGCAACCAGAGCCAGGGGGCTCGTGGGAGCCTTGGCTCCGGCCTTGCTGCGGGCCCTGAGAGTCTTGTAGACGACGATGCCGTAAGTCAGGGCAGCAGAGAGGAAGGTGAGCCGGTAGCTGAAGCGGGCAACTCGGCTGTAGTAGTTGAAGGAAACGTAGGAAAGGCCATATCGGATGACGGCAAAGATCAGGGACAAATGTCTACAGAGCCAAACGTTAGCCGCCGTCCAGTCAGGAGTGTGTTTATGTCGCCAGAGGTAAGGCCGTCGGGCTTCTCCACTCCTGTGCACCTCGACCCGTCGGGTAACAGGGAGACGGCATAGAGTCGACCGGATTTCAGGAGCAGGCTGTCTGTACATACCCGGCAAACCAAGCAACTGTTGATGGAGGAAGCGATTAGCAATTGTCGCAGAGAAGCAGACATGCAGGTGGGAATCGGGACTCGACGTACATTGCAGGGTCTGGGCGAGAAGCAGGAGCCTCTGGGTCAGAGGGATATTGGCGGGCGGAGGGGGAGCCATGACGAAAGATGCTGAGGCTCTTAAGGGCGCGATAGATGCCGAGTATTGGATGCAGCAGTCGGGTTTGGCGATCAACAAGCGTAGGCGAGGAAAGGCTGCGATGCAAAGCTGGGAGAACTTGTGTCGTGTGAGGATTTCTTGGAGATGCCGGGTTGACTTTGGGGAAAGCTGGCCAGAATGCGCAAGAAGTTAAGGTGATGTAGCGGAGTGGCTGGACCAGTGTCCAGAGGCGGAGGGGGTGGTGGAAGGAAAATGGAGCCTGGACCGGGCAAGCGGTGGTCGGTGCGTCAGTGCGTCACTGCTTCTTTCTGCGCGCTTCCCTTTGGTCGGTTCTTTTCCTGGTTTCCCGTCGTCGGGTATCTTTTTTTATTTGAATTCCCACTGACTGGTCCTCTACCTAGTTTACGTCGAGAGATGAGTGGTGCCAGCCACAATAGGAATTCAGTCCAGGGTCCAGGCAGGGCGAGCCGCGGCAGATCTGCAATTCTGCTACGGACGAGGGAGTGCGAGTGGGATTTTCTCCAGTATTTCATCACTGACAGAGACAGGGCTCATCCAAACGTCACATCCTGATGATCAATGCGATTCACATGTCATTTTCCCCAAGAGCCTCAACGGTTTGTTCTAATTAAATCATCATGCTTCGCTCCTTTTCCTATTACCAGCAGCGTCCCCTCTTTATGGACAAATATCTGTGCCCGACCCAGCCTTCAGGTCATTCGCAAAGATGAGACGACGGGGCGAAATCCGTGCTCAAGCACAGCCATTAGCTAACACCAGACCGCACTAGTGAGGGAAAAGCATATGCGTGGGGGAGAAACGAGAAGATGGCGCTTCTTGCCGCAGTCTCGACGCAATGTTTCCCCATACACCAATCCAGCGATGCAAAGCTCGTCAATGTCCCTCGAGGTTATGTAATTGTTGGCCAAAGGAGTGCAATGCTCGCGCGGGACACTTCGCTACATACGTGTCGTACACTAAGTGATGGTGATGCAGCGCTGCCTCTGCCTTGGCCTGGAGACACACATTAAGGGCTCACACTTTCATCACCACTGGCGCTAGCTCCGGACTTGCCTGTTGGTGTCAAGCCTTAATCTTTTGCCCGTTTCTTTTCGTCATCATTTCGTCTGGTCTGTGCTCCAGCTGGCTGCGGGTTGGCGTAGCTCTATCAAGTCTACTAAGCTTTGACCAATGGAAATTCTCCGCTGTCACTCCTTCAGCGACACTGTGTTTTCTTCGACAGGCTGCATGTTTCTTACAGTGTGTGCACCTCAACCTCAACTGTCTCCTACCCCTGCTCAATTGGGGAAGCTGTGGCGTCACAAGCTCCCGAGCTTTTTGAAATGTTGAGGATTGCAGCTCCGTCTCCGTGGCTTCACCACCACAGTCAATTGTCTTGACGGTCCGTGTTGTATTGCGCACCGCCGACCACGACAAACAGCCACGATGCCTCCAAAAGCAGCCCCTCCTCAGAGGGAATTCATCCATCCCGAAGCTGGCCATGCGCGAAAGAAGTGAGCTCCACGATCCCTCGACCCATCGAACCGTCTGCTCAGAACCCTTCCACTAACAGCGACACTCACCAGGGTCCCCAGCGCTTTCGCGATACAGCCCATTACGGCCTTCTACTGCTTTCTGGCTGCCAACATCGTCTCTGCCCTATTCGCCCCGATCCAAGACTGCGATGAAACATTCAACTACTATGAGCCGACGCACTACTTGTCCCATGGCTACGGCCTGCAGACCTGGGAATATTCCCCCACCTATGCCATCCGTAGCTGGCTCTACGTTAGTCTACATGCCATTGTTGGAAATATCCGTCGCTTGATGCCACAATCTACCAAGGCAAGTGCTCCGGACTACCCAAGTACTCTCTACTGGAACCACTACTGACGATGACTAGGTCGGCGAGTTCTACTTCATCCGCTATGTCCTTGCCCTCGGTTGCGCCTTGTGCCAGACCCTTCTTTTCCGTGTCATCAGCCTCACCCTCAATGCGCGCATCGGTCTCTTCTTCATAATAGCCACCGTCTTCAGCCCCGGTAACTTCCATGCGAGCACTGCCTTCCTGCCCTCTAGCTTTGCCATGTACATGGCCATGCTTGGTGCTGCATCTTTCATGAACTGGCGCGGTGGTCTCAAGACCGCCCAAGGCATCTTCTGGTTCGCCATGGGAGGCGTTGTGGGATGGCCCTTTGCAGTAGCTCTTTCCGCGCCATTCCTCGTCGAAGAGGCCCTCTTTGCTGTCTTGAGTGACAAGGACCGCTTCATCGAAGCAATTCTGCGTGTCTCCAGGGGTGTGACTGCCGGGCTGATAGTTCTCGTGAGTAAATTCGCAAACCCTTTCTCCTCAACTTCGCATCTGACCTTGACCAGTTCTTCGATGGATGCATAAACACCTTCTTCTACAAGAAGATCGAGGTTGCAGCCTGGAACATCGTCAAATACAACATCTTTTCGGAGACTGGCGGCCCCGAACTCTACGGCACCGAGCCTTGGTCCTTCTACTTCCGAAACCTAGCTCTGAACTTCAACATCTGGTTCGTGCTGGCCCTCCTGTGTCTGCCCCTATTCCTACTGCAGAAAATCGTATCTCCCTCTGGTCAGGGTTTCCAGACTGGCCTTCGCGCACTGGTCTTCATCTCGCCCTTCTATCTCTGGCTCGGCATCTTTACTCTGCAGCCGCACAAGGAAGAGCGCTTCATGTACCCCGCGTATCCTTTCCTGGCACTGAACGCGGCCATGTCTCTACACATTGTCCTCACAGCATTTGGCAATTCTGACCCCAGGACTCTGGTTGGAAAGATACCTGCTAAACTCAAGCTGTCTCTGGTCACTATTGTCCTTCTTCTGTCGTTCGATATCAGCTTATCGCGAGTTTACGGCATTTGGTCTGCCTATCATGCCCCAATGACACTTTACAAACCGCTGGGAGCTGGGGTCAGCGGTCAACAAGGGCTTGGTGTTCGTGGCGACAACGTGTGCTTCGGAAAGGAATGGTACCGCTTTCCGTCATCCTACTTCCTGCCTCGGGACATGCACGCAAAGTTTGTCCGCTCAGAGTTCCGCGGGTTGCTGCCAGGAGAATTCTCTGAAGCCCGGACCGGTTTTGGTTTCTGGAGCGGCACATGGCTTCCTACCACTGGTATGAACGACAGGAACGAGGAGGATATGGGCAAGTACGCTGACCAGCGAACTTGCGGGTTCCTGGTGGATACACAGTACCCGGAGCGAACTGACCCGCTCCCTCCGAATGAGCCGGACTACATCGCAGACGAGGAGCACTGGAAGATTGTCAAGTGCGTTCCCTTCTTGGATGGAGAAAAGACGCATTTTCTGGCCCGGGCTTTGTGGGTGCCTGACCTGCCCTTCATCCCCGAGAAGTTCCAAAGGAAGTGGGGACGTCACTGTCTCTTGCAACGCAAGAAATAAAGCCAGCAGAGCAACTGAGGTGACCCCGTTCAGCAGTTGCAGTTGCATGGCATCCTAACAATACATTGGAATTGGGGCAAGCGTTAAGAATCCTCAATACTTCACCTGTATCGACTCAAAAGCGCGTTTTGGAAGCATCCTCTCCCTTAAAGGAAACGCATTGTTCACTACGAGCAGCTGAGCCTGAAGCAAAAGGCTGAATCGGACGACCTAATGTTGTCGACACCCCCAATGACGCAAAATAAGCAGGGCGTCAAGATGAAGACAGCTTGAGATAAAGGCCTCATTAAGCCCTCCACTGGCTCTATGGTGCACATGTACCCTAAAGCTAAGCCGAGCCGGATTGGGGCGTTTGGTTTCAGCAGCAGACAGCTTAGTCCAATACCGCATTTCGAAAAGAATCATCATACAATCAAATCCTGTGTGAGCTGTTACTTGTCTCAAATGAGTCACACGATACCTACGTATGCCGTGATGTTGACAAGTCCTTCGAGAGCAGTCTCTGGGATCGTTATGCTCCATGTCAGGATCGTACCGTTATCGACTGGATCACGGGCGATTGGCAGGGTTGTATCGGAGGCGTGCCCGGTAAGTGGGTCCGAGACGGAGTCCTGTCCGGTCCTCTTATTGACTTCCTGAATGGGGAAGCGGGAGACTGAGCCACGTGCATTTCCCCTCACGAACGACGCGGGTATCTTATCTACGACAGCTTGATAGTCCCTTCCTATCATCTCTCAGCAGCCAGTTGGCAGTGATTCCGCAGAGCCGTCCCAAGATACAGCAGCATAGAGTTTGTCCATTGCCCACGAATCAACTCTGCCGCCATGGACCTCCAAGACAGAAGCGTGACCAGTTGTACACCAGGATCACCATGCATTGGCTTCCGCCCATCGGACGTGTCCTGCGTGAGCGGTTGGAGATGGAGGAGGGTGCGGCTCCGAAGCGGCGAGAGCCGAGATGGTTGACGGCTGGACATTTAGAGCAGCCACCAGCCATGCCCCTCGTTATCACATGTGTGAGCACATCCCATACTGGAACCAAAGTACCTCTCCTCAGCTTTACCTCCAACACACACTCCCCATCACGACACAAAGTCACAAGCGCCACCGCGCAAGATGAAGGCCCCCTGGGACTTTTTGCCGCCAAACGCCCGTTGGGTGCCGCGCCGGTCATCAGATCGGAGAAGCGCACCTACGGGAAGCCGACGAAGCCAAGACTAGGTCTCGGGGCTGCTAACTCACCACAAGCGGCGATATCAGGCGTGAGCGACACCGCTCCTTTAGTTCACAACCCAACTCCGGCACGGAAACCGGTCGAAGGGTACCCCTTATCGGGTTTATCGACAGGCACACTGCTCAGATCGCTCCTCATCACCACAATCTCCTCCCACCGCGCCCTTCTCATTCCCGCGCTCAAAACCTTGTCTTTTTTGGCCAAGCCAGGACGGACGGTGCTCTTCGACGTCGATCGCAACCCAGTGCTGCACGCGATCCTGCGCAAGACGTTTTACGATCAGTTTTGCACGGGGGAGACGGCCGCGGAGACGCGGGCATGCGTGCAACGTCTCAAGGGGCTGGGATTCAGGGGTGTGATTCTGACATATGCAAAGGAGACTGTGTTTGATCATTTGACGCAGTCGGCGGTTGAGCACGGCAAGGTTTCCGGAGAGTCGGTTGGTGGGTTTGATGCTGATATTGAGGATTGGAAGAGAGGGACACTGGAGACTGCTGCGCAGATTGAGGAAGGCGATTACCTTGCCATCAAGTATGACCATCCTTCATTTACAAAGTCGGCTGTTTATAACTAACATAAAACAACAGGTTGACTGGGGCTGGCCGTGCTGTTACGACCGCGTTTGCGGCTAACGAGCTACCGCCGCAGCAGATGCAAGACGCCTTGGATGAGATCGCCACGGTTTGCAAACAGCGCGGCATCAAAATCATCGTCGACGCCGAGTCAACGCACTTTCAAAAAACCATCGACCACGTGACGCTGGAGCTCATGCGTCGTTTCAACAGGGATGGAACCGCTGCCATCTACAACACCTATCAAGCCTATCTGAAGCATACGCCTGACAACATCACCAACCACCTGTCCGAGGCTGCCAAGGATGGGTTTACCCTTGGCCTCAAGCTCGTCAGGGGTGCGTATATCCTCTCCGACAACAGGTCTCTGATCCACGACACGAAGGAGGATACCGACAATGCGTACAACTACATCTCACAAGGCGCCGTGAAGAGGTGCATTGGCGAATTCGGCGGTGAAGGGTCTGAATCCAAGCCCTTTCCGTCAGTAGATCTCCTTCTAGCGAGCCACAACAAGGAGAGTCTCTTCGCCGCACTGAAGCTTCATCAGGAGCGTATGAAGGGCAACCTCCCCACGGTGCCGATCTCTTTTGGCCAACTGCACGGCATGTCGGACCAGGTCAGCTTCTCCCTCCTGCAGGCCAAGAGTGAAGGCCTGGAGGGGCCGAACGTGTTCAAGTGTTCGACGTGGGGCACGATGGGCGAGTGCTTGGCGTACTTGCTGAGGAGGGCGGTAGAGAACCGGGATGCAGTGTTGAGGACGACGGATGAACATCATGCCGTGAAGAGCGAGTGTTGGAGGCGGATGAGATCGGTGTTCTCGGTTTAGTCTGAGGGTTCGATAGTGGTGCGCATTGGAACTAGGCAGAAGGGAAGTACGGCCCATAGCACAAAAACATTATTGATATAATACGTCCAAAAGTCTAATGTGCTGCAAATCACTGCATATCGTTCGTTTTGAAAATTGGTTGCCATTCATCTTTTATCTATGACTAAGGGTTCGCGTGCACAAGACCTCCGATAGCTCCCTGAACCTTGCTTTATCGAAAGTCGGCGCTGCGTCAAAAAACTTTGATTCAATGAATTACATATTTAAAATATCCTGGCAAGTAACTACTTAGGTCCCATGTTGTAGATGACGGTCTCAAAGGCATCAGGAATTTCATCGAGTACAACCCTCTGATACGGTCCGCCGTCCAGCCTGGGTTTCATTGTCACCAATCACGCTCTCGGCAATCAGAACATCCCACTACTTTTTTAGCGGCCTATCGAGCTGTTATAGAAATACAAACTTTGGATTGCTCGTGCAACGATGGAAACATCAAGCAATGAAATAAAAGCAGTGCAGCTACTGAGTCAGAGAGTGGGTGAAGAAATTATCGGGAAAGGTTACAATGACTTTCTTCAAGTAAATTCAAGATGGTGTTTACTCAACAAGCAATGCTTATCTCTCACAAGATAACATCGCTAGATTTCGTGTTTCTAATAAAACAATGGATTGTTTCTATCAAGTCCACGAATTGCTTGGGAAGCCCTTGTTCCGGCTTCTGGAGGAGTGCGGGGTATGGTATGCTGGCCCGGCTTGGTAATCCGTAGCGCTCGGGGACTCTCCCGGGATTGCATCCAACCCACTGGTACCCGATAAGCCCATCAAAATGTGGGTTCCTACATCTCACTATGCCTCACGGCACAGCATGATCGTCCGCCTCGGATAAGTTCCAGAACGTAGAGATGGCAGATGCATTCAGCTACCTCCGATCAACCATTCACTCCACTTCTGAGCCAGCTTTTCGAACTGTAAGAGTAGTCCATGTTGCGTATGTAGCGGGGAAAATCCTAGTCAACGCATAAGTCAACCCGGTAGGACTTTGACATACACAGCGGGCAGCGTGCGCCATCCAGTTGACCTCCAGCGCTGGTATTTCTTCACATTCTTCGAGACACCGTATTGTTTTTATCATGACGTGTGGAAAATGTGTGAGAATGCCTTTTGTCTTTTATCTGCGGCGGTGTCATCGACAATACAAACTTTTGGCCATGGTACATAGTACTAGCCTATCCGTATCGTTGAGCAACCGTGTCTCCGCGTTTCTATTTACGTCCTCGTAGAAGCCAATTACCCATTGCAAAACGAACTCGTCCAAGCCTCCAATACCATTGGGCTTCATTTCTCATCGGCCAACTCAAAAGTGCTTTTTTCCTTGGTAGGCTGGCACATCGTGAGTTTCCACATCCGTGTCGAAAAGTAAGAGAACTAGTATCCCTCCTTTGCAGCCCACCACTGAGCTTGTTGGATGGCGATGGGGATTCCGAGCAATTCATTCAGGTCTCGCTGATCAGGAAGACGCTGTAACTCGAACTGGAAGTATGCTCCTCCCTTCTTGTTCGTGAGGATGTGGACCTTCGTAACTCGATAGAGTCCATCATACCGGATGCCGTGCGAAGGACGGTAGGCACCTCCTTTTCCGGAAGCGGATCGCAGCACGCGGACAGGGTTACCATTCGTCAGAGACAGGTGAAGAAGCTTGGTGCCATCCTTGTTCTGAGGTGCCTGGCCAGTGTGGGCATGCGCTCCAGAGCCAGAGTAGTGAAGAGTGGTTCCATAATCGGCGTCACAACTCTCGTATGCGCCGGAGATCACGACTGAGTAGGCACCTTGGCTTGCGTGGCCGGATATTCCACCCTGCCAGGATCCATGAGCACCGTTGAAAACGGCGGCAACCTGCATAGGCCACCATGTACCAGCTTCAATTCCGTTATGTCCGAAAGCACGGGAGCTCTTCTTCAGGTTCGCCATCTCTGGGTTGTATGCGTAGCTCTTGACCTTCCCTTGTATATAAGCAATGCCGCGCATCGGTCCTTCGACTCCAAAGATGGGATGGTCTAACGGAGGGAGGCGGAATTCTTCGGTCTTGGCGCCAGGGTCTTTGGCCGACTTCTTGATCGACTTGGGTTTCTTGGTCGACTCAGCGTCTTCGGTTGCGTCGGCAAGTAACATGCCGTCGTCCTCATCATCATTAACGAAAAGGGATGCCTCGCTATCAGCCCACGTACTGCTGAGGGCCTTGGCTCGAGTCTTCTGGCTTTCACTAAAGTAAATCTGCAAGCCAGCTTGAGTCGGTTCCCAAATAAATCGGAGACAGCTCTCCAGAGGCTTTCGAGTTGTGGATGGGAGAGTCTCTGGGCCCCAAGATCGGGTTTCGAGCCAGTTCAAAAACTGGTCGAGGCGATCTAGAAGCTCAGTCGGCGAAACCGATCCTGGCCTGTTCCGTTTGGCGAGGATTCCGATGGTGCCAGCGACCTTGTGACGAACGTGCTCCACATACGCGCGAACATCGGTAACCACAGGGACCTTGATGGTTTTGGGGTTGTAGTTAGCGAATCCATCCTTGGTCTTCTGGCCACTAGAATCAGATAACTGAGCGGTCAAAACGCAAGGTTCTGCCACAACCTTGTCGTGAGTCTGGACATTGTCCTGGGTATTGGGTTCGGTGGCGGCTTCGATAGGATGACTCTGATACGGTCGCTTGGCAGGAAGATCGATCTCATCTTCGGCGCATCTCTTCGGATGTTTCTCCGTGAAGCAATCAATTTCCTCAGACATCTTATATGCTTTGCTGTAGTAATGAATCGCGTCTTGCCTACTGATTAAAGTAAGAAAACTAGTTATGAACACGATGATTTCTATGTACCAGTGAACACACTCGTCGCTCATCAGTGCCCCGTATTTACACTTACCTATATGTATGGCCTACTCTGTGTGTTGCCAATGGACGATGATGACTGAAGTCGGCGGACCAGTTGGCAAAGAAAGCTGCGAGGCATTTAGCTAGGTTTTTCAAAATGGTAAAGAATAATCTGACCTGCCTCAGAACTCGTATGGGGTCCTAGGCTGAAGACTCAGCTTAGTGCTCCGGTTGGAGATTGTCGAAATACACCTTGGGTTGTAGTAGAGGACAGCGAACTGAGAGTTGCAGATGGCGAGGAGAAGTCAAGGTTTTCAGGTGGAACAAAATATTTCTCTGTTCTCTGTCATAGACAAACTAAAATGGAAAGCGCTCACGGCGAATTCTAGAAAGACATGTAGGCGGAGACACTGCTTAGTCGGGGTGCGGCTTACAGGCAAGTTGTGGGCTTCCGTCTTCTCTGCTCACTAGTACTAGAACGGGAGATACGGACAGAATCTTAAGGGATGATTGATATGTGAGTCCAGATGGAGCAAGGTGCTCTTGCCGTCTGATTTCGTCCTATCTTTGGTAGAGTAAACATTAAATGGAATTCACCTTTAGTGATTTAGGTCAGACGACGCCAGTAATCTCACTGTTTTGGTCACAGTAGTTATAATGGGAGCGCGAATGGAAGCTTTAGTGGTGAATTGATGAACTAAGACTGTCAGACACGGGTGTGATCGTTTCTATTATCTTGATAACAAACATAAAGAAATGGTTAAGCAAGACCTAGAGTGGTGACTACTAGAACATGTGAAGAAAATTTGGATACTCTCTGTCGTCCAGCCTAACAAGGAAAAGGAAGAAGGATCAAATGAAAACTTCAAAGGAGGTCATTCAACTAGAATCCGACGATCTACAGATATTTTCCCGTCTAAGCTGATCAAAAGCCGAAGATGGGAAAATGGGACAGAGTATCAAGCAGCCAAGGGTTAGTCACGTCAAGTCAGATGACTCAAGATATTCTTATATCACTTTGTGTTAGTCAAGACTATCTTGCGAAGTCGTAGGGCAAATGCTGCTGTGCGCGTAGCCACGTTTTAGATGTAGACGCTAAGCTGTGAAAGTAGGAATAAAGCAACGAAATTCGGTTCTCTCACTTAGTTCAAGGGGTAGGAAGTAACTTCACATATAACGATCCATGCTGTTCAAGCGACGAGATTCCGCAGGCGGTGGGCTTGAACATTTTACACATTGGGATTTCATTTCCCTTCCCAATGTGTCAAATCAGACTTAGTCAACAAAGCGGGTACTCACTAACGAAGACCTTGCTTAGCGCACATAAAGTTTCCTGTCCGCCACGTGCACTTCTCAATGTCTCATAAGTAATGCATGATTGGGAATGTCAGCTTACGAGTCCTCGAAGTCATAAAAGCTGAAGCTACTCAGTCGCCAAACGTGAAACACAGAGACAAGTTGCAAAGACATCTAGCAACAACGTCTGAGGGGACCTAAACATACAATAGTTTAGAAACCCATAAGTCGTAGCAGAAAGCTAAATAGACAAAAGGCGCAGTAATTGTAACTCCTATCTACGGTTTGTACCAGCTGATATGCACCCCGCACGGAACCAGCATCGAGATAAATTGACAACATGCCGAAATAGGCATTTAGAGATATGCGTCTCCAGGATTCCCTTGCTAAGCGGTCCTATCATGACTTATCTCTTATCTGCTGGCTTCGGTGCAGAAATGCCGGAGAGGAGAAGGCACTGACCCCGCACGATTGCCAGGTGTTCCGATATCTCGAGAAGCTGGGGCGGCCGCTCTTCGGGCACCTCATGCAACGTTCGATGGTTGTTGTCTCGCTAAAGTTCTGTTTGATCCGAGACCAGTCTTCCAATGGAGTCCTCCAACACCCAACGACGGATAACAAAACGATCATCTTATGCGTGTGTGAACACATCATTTTCCCAACTACATGAGACTAACTGACAGTCTTCGAAAGCTGCTCGCGATGTCGAAGACAGAAAATCAAGTGCTCGGGGCTTCACCCATGCAACAACTGCACTCAACGGCGGCTCACATGCATATTCGATGAACGAGATAACAAGGTGATGGTGACACAAGGGTGCGCAAATTTGCCCTGACCACAGAAAGCGTGGTTCATGAGATTACCGATCTAATCAATTTGTCTAGATACTTGTCCGAGCTACAGCAAAAAATAGCGCGGTTGGAACGCGCCCAAGCAAGAGCTTTTGCCGAACAGAGCTTGAAACATGACGATGTCAGTGATGCTGATAAGGTCACTCGTCGTGAAGGTTTCCACCCCATCATTCGACCTTTTTGACTCTGGACTAATCCCTAAGCCAGAAGGAGACGAAGATGGTTCCCGCTACGACGAGAACCGGAGGCCCAGCTCTCATATCCCAAAAGAAACATCCCGAGACTCACCACTTAGGGATACAGAAGGGCCAGATTTGACTAACCCTCTCACGACAACACCGTCTCGCTTTTGCACGTCCGCTTCAAACGGCCAACCTTGTAAGTGCTACTTTTGAGCGCTGAGAATAACTGATGCAGAACGAAAACTTAACTCTCTTCAGATTTCCTTGGCTCTTCTTCAAACTGGTCGTTCTCTCGGCAAGTTCTGAGCGTTACACATGAGCATGTTTGCCAATCTCCACTCCCAACGAACAGTCTCTTGTTCGATGGCTGTGCATATGACCTCGGATGGAACGGTTCTAGGACCACACAAACCTTGGACAACCGACTAATACCAAGCTACGATTACGCCATTTTTCTCATCAACGCGGTCAAATTCCATTGTGGTCAAATGTTTCATCTCTTCGAAGAGGACGAGTTCATGCGCCACATGCAGACCTTTTACTTAAAATCGTCTACCGACAGAGCAGAAGAGGATAGCCTTTGGTACATACACTTTCTTGTGGTCTTGGCTTTTGGGAAGAGTCTCATCCAACGAAAGAACCAAGGGAAGAGACCTGCTGGAGCTGAATTCTTCGTGAGGGCACTCCAACTTCTTCCCGATGTTACCGCCCTTTGCAAAGAACCGATTCTGTCAACAGAAATACTTTGCTCCATGGCTTGGTATTACCAAGCCTTGGATTTCCGACACGCAGCTCACAACTTTGTAACCATGACTTCTTTGAACCTATGTTACAGAGTGGGTTTTGCTAACAACTTGGGTAGATCGGACAGGCCAAAAGCGTAGCAATGAACCATGGCATGCATACGGACATGCCTGTGATAGACCTAGGACCGGGTCTTGTCCAGAGATGTCGCAAAATCTGGTGGACCGTCTACGTTTTAGATCGACAAATGACTTCGCTGATGGGTCTTCCTCAGTCCACATTAGATGAAGGCGTTAATTGCCAGCTGCCTTCGTACCCGGGCTCGGTTCACCGCACCACTGCGTTGAGTATGCAGATTAAATTCGCTCGAATCATCGCTGAGATTAGCAGCAGTAAGTTTCCGTCTTGTTACAATGGAAAATCCGTACTACCAAAGACTCATACCCTTTTACTTAGCTGTCTACGGTGCACACGGCCGACTGAGCAAGAGGTTCGTTCTCAGCACCAAGGCAGTCCTGCAGAGCATCGTTTCCGTGGCCGATGAGCTACGAACCTCATTTCCACTGTATGCGGATGAGCGGTTTGACGGTATCTCACGGCTTTCTGCCCATCTACATCTTTTGTACTACCAGGTGAGCCGTAATTCTCAACCCTTGTCGTCTCGATACTTTACTCATGTTTAACACAAGTGCATCATCCTTGCAACAAGACCTCTACTTCTCTGTTGCTTGATCAAAAGATTCGACTCGCCACTCGAGGCGGATTCACTAATGGCGTCCCCAAAAGTCCGAAATCCGTTGCAAATGTGTGCGGAATCTGCCATCCAAATTCTCAATATTCTCGACAGACTGAGAGCTCAAGGTTTACTTGGTATGCTTGTTCCGACTGGCATGTTGAGGTCCCAGAAACTGACTTCGATCTAAAGAAACATTCCTCCCACTGGATCTTGATTCTCTCTTTGTATCGACGGTTGCCCTCCTCGTTGCTCGCGGGGTCGACTCGCGGTTAACAGAGAGCCAGTCACCATGGCTTGAAAAGTCAACCGCCATTCTCGAGGAAATGATTGCTAGCGGCAATCTCATCGCCGAATTCCGGAAAAACGAGATGCAAAAGCTGGAGGAGATGCTAGTCGAGTTCCAAGCCACTCAGCCTCGTGCATTGAGCGGTCCAGTCACTGCTCCTACAGGGGCGTCTTGGCAACATACAGATACAAGTCTTCAGGCATCAGTACGGGCGGATGCGCTGGAGTCTATCAGCCAGGATGCTTTACCAGTCTACAGGGAATTTACCAAAGAGAGCAGCAGTCAGGCGGAGGATTTGACTACCCAGCAGATTATCGATGTCGTCAATTCCATGGAGTGGGAAGACAATGAGTGGATGTCTTTCACTATGGTTCACGACGAAACCTAATGGTGCGGGTCCAAATGGAAAATTTGGTACAATTAATGTATTCTCAATTTGCCAAGGAAAGTTAAATTCATTGTAGTGCTATACGCCCGGCATATTCGGTTACTATGTCGCGTGATTCTTAGTTATCCATACAACACGAAGTGTTCAATACGCTCGTTTTAAAGCTTCGATGTCTGGTGTTTCTCAATGCCGGGATACAGAATATCAACTTCCTGTTCTGGACTTGTAGTGAGTTGGTAACGTTACAATCAGTGCAGTCGAGGTAGAGAAAACCAACAAGGGTGCCACTCGGGCTCGGTTCCGATCTCAACTTGCTTCTTGCGATTTGGGGGGTAACCTGCGTGGTGAGACTAGCGTCCCGCTCGCGTACATGGGACATTTATCTCCAGCAATCCGCTTTAACAGAGGGTGAGGGGAATGTACCCCTCAATCTTTGTGTAATAGCCGACAAGACGTGCGGCCCCCAAATGCTAGGGTGCCAGTCTCGTATCAGAAGTTTTCGAGCTTCTAGAATAGGTGATGGCCCCAGTGCGCGTGAAACGGTAGGGAAATGAGCGGTCGATGACGCAGATCAGATACATTGTCAGCTAATGAAAACGTAAAAACGCTTGGTATTTAATGAATGATGCGCTTCTGTCCAGTGTTCCAACGAGGTCAATCTCGCGCGTCGTGTATCCCAAAAAAGGGTTGACTTGCATAGTACCCACGATGTTCTCGCCAGCGGTCCTTGTGCCTGCTCTCACGCTGGCCTTGGGTTCATTAGCCAATGGCCAGAGTAAGGACAGCCTGAGCGTTGGCAATGGCTTTATCGACTACGAAGCTGGCCAAATCAGCGGCCAAATCGTCCACGACTCCCAGACGCTAGCTTCCCTCAAAACCAGTTCAGGCTTTGATTTCCTTCCCTACGACTTTCTCTCAAACTTGACGATCAACGGCGCCCATCATCTAGGCGATGTAACATTCCGCTTCAAGGTCGCTGGCGCCAGTAATTGGACCGAAGTCGACTCCGCTGCAAACAGGAGTGCCGTCCAGGGTCTGGACAATCTTGCACCAGGTGTCATTGCTGGCGCGGATCTGGCCTCAACATTGCCACGCGGTATACCGTTGATGGTCACCCGCGAGTGGCTGACCGAGGGCGGAGGTCTTGCTCTCCGTGTGAATTTGACAAACAAGGCTAACACGACCGTCGAACTCGGATCACTGGGCCTTCCAGTTGTCATCAACAACATCTTCGAGACACGCTCAGCCGAGGATATACAGGCGAAGTGCTCACTGGCAGACCCATACATCGGACTTGATGCTGGATATGTCCGCTTGTCCCCCGTTAAGGGACTAGGCAACGCACTTGTGGTAGCGCCTCTCGGAAAAAGCCCATTCGAAGCTTGGAGACTCCTCAGCGAACCTCAGGGAGACTACTGGTACCAGACGCAAACGTACGAAGGAAACTACGAGTGGATGATACACTCGCAAGCATGGGCTGAGAACGATTGGAAGGGTACCGAACCTTGGAATATTCCCACGGCAAAGACACTAAAGCCGGGTGAGACTTACTCCGTCGGACTCAAGTTCGGCGTCGCCGATAGCATTCAGACTATCGAGGATGCTGTGGTCAACTCCGGCCTTCCTCTCGCTGTCGGTATTCCTGGATATGTCGTACCTACTGATCTCACCGCACGTCTATACCTGACACATTCTTCTTCGGTCAGGTATATCGAGAGCCATGGTTCTTTCACCATTGACCAAGATGCCGACGCGAAGGGGGCGCCATACCTCCTTACCCCTACCACGGGCACCTGGGGAAGAACTAAGATTACCGTCGTCTACGAGGATGGCAAGACTCAAACTGTCCACTACTTCATTACCAAGCCAGCGCCAGAGACACTTTCTGATTTGGGACACTTCCTCACTACTGCTGCCCACTACACGAATGAAGCTGACGCTTTCGGAAGAGCCCCTTCTATCATGGGCTATGACCGAGAAGTCAACGCCATTGTCGAACAGGATGAGCGAGTTTGGATTGCAGGTCTCAGCGATGAAGGCGGTACTGGAGCATACGTCGCTGCAGCCACAAAGCTTTTTGTTCAACCCGTTGAAAGAGAAGTTGCAGTTCTGGACGAATTCATCCACGAGACCATTCTCGGAACCATCCAGCCGCCTGACTCGTTTGCTGTACGAGCAAGTGGTTTTTACTATGAACCCGGTGCAGTCAATTATACCTACAACCCCGAGTTCGACTGGACGACTTGGGCCTCCTGGAACAAGGAGAGAGCCTACACCACCGTCCGTGCCTACAATTACGTCCATCCCGTGGTTGCGTATTGGTCCATGTACCGTGTAGCAAGAGATTACCCTCAAGTCAAGACTCGGGCCCAATGGAGCTGGTACTTGAACCAGGCCTATAATACTGTCCAGTACTGTCTTGCTGACGGCGCCCCTGATTGCGACTATGGTTTGACCGGCTTAATGGGCGAGACTGTATTTGCCGAGCTTCTTGAGGATCTCAAGAGAGAGAACATGACGCAAGAGGCTGCCGCCTTTGAAGACTCAATGCGTTTCCGCGCAGAATTCTGGGACACTCTTGCAGTACCCTTTGGAAGTGAGATGGCCTGGGACAGCACGGGACAGGAAGGTGTCTACTATTGGACCAAGTAAGCCCCTCTCAGCAGTCAGCACTTGCCTTGTGATCCTGTTGGCTAATTTTGAACAGCTACTTCGGTCTCAACAACACAGCAACCAAGGCTATTGATAGTGTTACAGCATACATGCCAACCGTTGCACACTGGGGCTGGAACGGAAACGCCCGAAGGTACTGGGACTTCAACTACGGCGCCAAGTACGCCGACACCGAGCGCCAGATCCACCACTATGGCTCCGGTCTTAACTCGCTTCCCATGCTACACTACTTCGAGCGGAACCCGACAGACTTTAATGCCATCCGTGTCGCGTTCGCGGGCAACACCGCGCCTCTGACCAATATCGACGCCGAGGGCTTCCCCTCAGCGGCGTTTCACTCGTTCCCAGAGAATCTCTTTTGGGACCCGTACACTGGCGACTATGGTCTTGGGTTCTTGGCTCTTGGCCTTGGTCAGACGTTGTATGTCGTCAACCACGAGACTTATGGCGAGGTGGTCTTTGGCGGTAACGTTGTCGCTTCAAACAGTACTGCTGTTGTCGCAGAGCCACGAGATGCTGTTCGGCGCCGGGTTTTTATTGCAGACTTGGGTCTCAAAGTCTCGCTCAGTGCTGGAGCTATCCAGACTGTCACATATGACCGTGAGGAACAGACGTTGAAGCTCGCCGTGAGCCCTGCTGCGTCAGAGGCTGCACTGCAGGCTAACTCGACTGTTATCTGGCTTACATATACAACTTTGACAGACGCAAAATTCGCTGTGCAAGAGGCAGCCGTGTCCAGAGGCGGATATATGGTGGACCTATCCGCTGGACAAGCACACGTTTTGATCTCCAAGTCGCAGTAGCTCGAGGCGCTGAGTTGGACTAAGCATCGCTTCTCAAATTGCGCAAATTAATACGGCTCAATAAGTTGTTTTCCAATCACGACTTTTTAGCAAATCTCTTGAACTTAGATGAGCCCTTACGAGTTCTCTTGCTTCGCCCTGATATTGTGTTAAAGAATCGAAACCTCAAGGAAGTCGGCGGTTAACATCTTAAACTTCACTCCCATTAAGCAATAACAGATCGTGCAGCGAGTGTGGTATAACGACTGACAACTCCCTGTCTTCATGTCTCTACCTGCTATATCCACTAAGTAGTCTTCATCGCATTGAGACTAGACTAAAGCGAAACACGCCGTATGCCGTCATGATGGTCGTCGACTCGGTATTTTAGTAATTTGGGTCTCGCCTACAGGAATAATGTTTACCACTTGGTCAGGACTACCGAAAGATTTTTGTTGGGAGTTCGATGTGTATCTCCTGACGGTTTTAGTCATAAAAGACGATGAGGTGCTGCTCCTAGCGTCTATCATTGACGTGCAAGATGTCTTGCCGATGCCGAGTGACACTAGTCGACCCTTCCCAAACCCACTGCAGGCTATGGGTACTTAACACCTATGAATGGTTATCTCAAAGGATACTATGTCTAAAGTCAGAATTAGGCGCAAAGCGCACTCGAAGGAATCATTCTGAACCACGCCCCCTTGTGACCACGACCTTACCTCTAAAGCTCCCAGGGTCTTCAAGAGACCAACTGGCTTGTAAATATTTTCACAGTCTCCGTGAACTGCGGAAACATTAAATAGCACAACAGATATTAGGGAGACATTGAGTCTACGAGAGAACAATGAAAGGGATTGAATATATGGAGACAGCAAAAAGAGTTTTGGATAGCTTTTTATGGGTGTTTGAAGGGATTATCACGGACCCATCTATAGGCAAATGGGCAAGATCCATAGTGTTTCTGATAACCCTACAGACAATATCACTTTACGTGCATCTCACTTTCTCTTTCCATGGTTATGCTTCTGTTCTTCAAATGAGCCGTTTGCTGGTGACAACACAGTGATTGGTTTGTGACGTTTCCCCGGCCCATGTAATTGGAAGTCCAACTCAGCTGCTTGTCTTAGAAGGCAATAGAACGCTATGGCTTCCCACTCTTGGGACGGTAAGTTGGAGTAAGCTACGGTTTAGAATTCGAGTGATAGCACATCACTGGCATTACGATGCGATGACCTCAACTTCGATTTGGAGAAGTTAATATGGGGGTCTTTTACTCCGTCCGATTCAGTACAAAATGCGTCTTATCCACTGTGAAAACAAGAGTGTTCTCGGGTCCTAAAGTTTTGTGAACAAAGCAATCTCAGTGAAGAGCATTATCCGGAGCGTCGAGATGTCTACCATGTTCCGCCTGTCTTCAGTGTTCCCAATCGCTAGCAAGAGGGTCCTACGTCCCCCCGGCAAACCAGCGGCTTGCAGTTCATTCTTCCGCCAACAGTTTCATTCCACGCCGACCACCATGGGTCTCCTGTCGGACGCCATCAAGGAAGACCATCGTGAGCTCGAGGCCTACCACAAACACATCGTCACGTCCACCGATATAGACGAGCAAGCACGCTTTCAGAACCTCTTCGTTTGGGAGCTCGCCCGTCACGCCATCAGCGAGGAGCTCGTCATCTATCCAGCCCTAGAGAAGGAGGTGTTTGACGGCAAGGCCCTCGCCGACAGAGACCGCACAGAACACCAGGCTGTACGTATTTTGGGTTAGGTTTAGAAGAATCGTAGGATTGTTGCTAACTCTCATCAAAAGGTCAAGGAGAAGCTATATGAGTTCCAAAACCTCGATTCCCAAGACGCAGCCTTCGAGCCCACGCTCGAGTCTCTCATGAAGGATCTCCGACGTCACATCAAGGAGGAAGAGGAGGATGACCTGGTGCGGCTCGAGGAGGCCCTGGGCAGCGACAGGTCGAAGGCCATGGCGTCGAGCTTCGAGCTTACCAAGCGGTTCACGCCGACGCGGAGCCACCCGTCCGCCCCGGACAAGCCGCCGTTTGAGACGGTGGTCGGGTTGATGGCGGCGCCGTTGGATAAGCTGAGGGACATATTTGCCAAGTTTCCGACGGAGGAGGAGAAGGCCAAGGCGAAGGGCGAACTCTGAACCAAGTCGTACTCACATGGTATATAACGAGAATGTTCCACCACGGGATGATGAATAATGAACGAGCTCAGATGAACACGAGCAGGGGCCAAGGCATTGTGTCCCACTTCTCCAGGTTACCCCACACGCCAACCTCCAGACCATCTCCTTACCCCGCACTCTTCTTATTCTTCGCCTCATGTGCCCCATCTTTGCCGACGTCTCTAACATGACGATGCGCCTCTTCGACCTACTTCTACCAGGGCTTTCCCATGCAATTGGCTTCGTTGGCGGCCCTCCAGCCCAGAGGAAACGGGTCTGACTGATCGTCAAAGAATTGGTGCAGTGCCAGGGCCTCGAGGAGCCCGCCCGAATCACGTTGAGACTCCCAGATGACGGCCAGACATGATGAGCTGCAGAGCTGCAGAAGTAGACCAAAACTCACCACTCATCTTTGACCCGAATTGACCGAGGGGAGGTCCCCATCTGCCGAGAGATACCACTTCACCGCGTGGCAGTATTCCCACAAAAGACCCTACTGCGCCAGAAATGACGATGACACCGAGACCAAGGAGCCTGCGGGGATCTCTGCTTAGGCTAATCCTTTGAGTTCCGTCAATCGAATTCTAGTCTCCTGGGTCCTGGCGAAGCTGTTCGGCTCAACACATCGCGGCGCTTCACTGTTTAAAAAGACTTCTGCGCCTCAACCCGTTGGGGTCGTGAAATGTCTCTCACTCAGGTCTCGCTTCTGGACCAGACCCAACGCCCAACATGGTCTCCTCCAAGTCACTTTTCGTGACCTTCGGTTTCGCCGCCAGCACCCTAGCGCAATCTTGCTGGCGCAACGCAACCTGCACCCACCCAACAGAAGCCTCGTTCCCCGGCCCCTGGGACGACAACATCTACGCGCCCGACTCGCGCACCGCGCGTCCCAAGTCCGTCCTCTCCCTAACCACCGGCGAACCCCTCGCTCAGTTTTCATCCTCCCCCTCTTCCACAACCCAAATCTTAAAGGGCAATGGCTCGGCGCTGGTCTTTGACTTTGGCGTCCTCGTCGGCGGCATCACGACGGTCAACTACACCCTCGCCGGCGGGCCCGCAACCCTCGGTCTTGCGTGGACGGAAGCAAAGAACTGGATCGGGGAGTACTCGGACAACTCCAACGGCAACTACCGCGGTCCGGGCCAGACCCTCATTTCGGACGACGGCGCGCTCTTCCACGATATCACCGCCCCGGCCGAGGGGTCGTACACCGTCCCCTCCGCCCAGCTCCGCGGCGGCTTCCGATACCTCACGTTGTATCTCATGACCAACTCCACCACGGCCAACACAACCCTCGCGATCGATGATGTCTCCCTGGAAATCGGCTTCCAGCCGACCTGGTCCAACCTCCGCGCTTACCAGGGCTACTTCCACTCCTCCGACGACCTCCTCAACAAAATCTGGTACAGCGGCGCCTACACCCTCCAGACCAACGCCGCGCCGCCGGAGACGGGACGTGTGCTGACCGAGGACGTCCGGGACGGCGGCTGGTTCAACAACGCCTGGCTCGGCGTCGGCGCCTCCCTCCTCCTGGACGGCGCGAAGCGCGACCGCTGGATCTGGCCAGGCGACATGGGCGTCGCCGTGCCCTCGGCCTTTGTCAGCACTGGCGACCTCGAGTCCGCCAGGAACGCCATCCAGACAATGTTGGACTTCCAGCGGCCCTCGGGAATATTCCCCCGCGCGGGGCCGCCGTACCTCGACGCGACCAGCGACACCTACCACATGTGGACCATGATCGGCGCGTACAACTACGTGCTCTTCTCCGGGGACCTCGCCTGGCTCGCGCGCAACTGGGCGACGTACCTCCGCGCAATGGACTACATCTACGCCAAGGTCCTCCCCGACACGGGCATCCTCAACGCCACGGCCACGGGCGACTGGGCACGGTACATCAACTCGATGAACGGCAGCGCGCCCAACATGCTCCTCTACCGCACCCTCACCACGGGCGCCTTCCTCGCCGACCTCGCCCCGGTCGGCGCTGCAAACTCGACGGCGGAGGCGAACCTCACAGAGACCTGGCTCGCGCGCGCGGAAACCCTAAAGGCCGCCATCAAAACCCACCTCTGGGACGCCGCCAAGGGCGCCTTCATCGACGGCTACAGGAACCGCACGCTCTACCCCCAAGACAGCAACAGCTACGCCGTCGCCTTTGGCGTCGTCGACCCCGCCGGCCCCGAGGCGGCCTCCATCTCCCGCGTGCTGACCGAGAACTGGACGCCCATCGGCCCGGCGTCCCCCGAGCTGCCGGGCAACGTCTCCCCCTTCATCTCCAGCATCGAGCTCGAGGCGCACTTCGTCGCCGGCCGCGCCGACAGGGCCCTGCGGCTGATCCGCGACAGCTGGGGGTGGTACCTCCACCACCCCAACGGCACGGGGTCGACCGTCATCGAGGGGTACCTCGTGGACGGCACGTTCGGGTACCGCAGCACGCGCGGGTACACCAACGACCCGAGCTACGTGAGCCACGCGCACGGGTGGAGCAGCGGGCCGACGAGCACGCTGACCGAGTACCTCGTCGGCCTGCGCGTGACGCGGCCGGCGGGGGCGGGGTGGAGCCTGAAGCCCGTGTTCGGGGAGGTGCCGGAGGCGCAGGCCGGCTTCACGACGGTGCTGGGGCGGTTCAGCGCCAAGTGGACGGTCGAAGGGGGCGTGGCGGCGGTGGAGTGGGACGTGCCTGAGGGCACGAGGGGGTGGGTAGAGCTTGGCGGCGAGGAGGGGAGGTGGGTTGACGGCGGGAAGGGGACGGCGAGCGTCAAGGTGAAGGGGACGTGTAATTCACGGCCCAAGACGCGGGAGACTTTATTCAGGCGATGTGATGATAGCTGAGTAGAAGGAAGAACCGTTTCTCTGATTCATGGTGAAGCGCTTAACCCCGGCTACCACCAGGGGCTGGATACGAGGCACCCCGAGCACGAGGTCCCGAGCGATCCGGCCGCGTCAGTACAGCTGATAAGGCGTGTTGAGGATCTACTCTGGGGGGGACTCGCGGGGGTCGATATCTGGCGGCAAAGCCCTCGGGGTTTGCGCATTGCCGTTTACGGATCCCCGACGTTGATTCGCTCCGGGACTCCGGGGCGCGTCGTCTCCCATCCGTACGCCGAAACTTGCCTTGCTAGCCAGGGAGACAAGCCGTCGCCAGTCCCTGGGCCGCGTCTGTGTAGCACGTCAAGAGTCCGGTCGATTTGGACGTCCGCCAACGGGGCTGGCTGCCTAAGCGGGCTGGACCAGACCCCGATGGACCTGCTGGAGATGACGAGTCGTTGAGGGTCTGTCGATGAGGCCCGAGATGCTCGGATTGGGGACAAGAGTCGCTGTAGTCATTCATATATGGCTGGAACGCTAGCTCAATGATTGACAAAGTCCGCGGCAGCAAAGTAAGCATGTTCTTCGCAACTCAAACTACCGGCTCAACGTCTAAACCTTTTGAACTGAGTTTGTTCTGGAAACAAACGGGGGCCGACCTCTACTTGCTTAGTTCGCCTTTGACATGCGCCAAAGCGACGCCGCCACCAGAATGTGGCCTATGTCTCGGATGGTCTGAGCCTCGCAGCAGCCCCGAACTCTCAAAAGTCGCCGTCGGGCGGTGGTGGCCTCCAACGGCTGACTCGAGCCTAGGAGACTGAACCCGGTCAGAGTTCGTCGGCGGCAAAAAGGTGGAAGTCAAAGACGTAAGCATGATGAAGACTGCAAAACAGATTCCAATCTCGATTATCTGGGTATCGTTTCTCGTTGACAGATGACAGTGTAGATATGCTCGTAGACTGTATGCCATGTGCAACGCTTTCTGTGAAAGCGGCTAGATCCTCATCTAGACAATAAGACACAGCCGCTTGGCGGTGACGTCTCTATGTTCCGACCCCAATCCCAATCCAAAAGAACTTTTCCAAAGCAAGAGGGACGACTTCATCCCCCAAAATAGTCGCTGCCATGGGCGCGAAATAACTCATGTCCCAGCCAAGACCAGCACTTGCTCAAGGCCGCGTCGTCTCCAGTCATGCAAGAACAAGTGAACCCCGCCGATTCCCCTCTCTCCAAACGCCAAGAACACCAAGGCCAAGATATTCCCAAACCGAATGAATCGCCCCGCATTACCAAATATTCGGTTCTTCTCGTAGAGACCCCCTCATCTTCGTTCAGACCGTTGACACCTGCATCGTCTCGGGGTCCTCTTGCACCGTGGTCGCGCGGTTCCTCGCGGCTCTTCGTTCCCGCCTCTCGGCCTCCCTGATCATCCTCCTCTGCCGCCGCCGGCGCTGCTGTTCGGGCCCGGCCTCCTTGCATGCGTCGACGCAGTGCATGATCATGTATAAGAAATGAAGAATGGCAGCGATGAGCTGGAGCCACATGTACCAAGGGGCCCAGGTGGCCTTCTCGGCGCGCAGGGGGTCGTCGCGCCAGGCGCGGTACTCGCGGTTGGGGCTGCCGGTGCTCCAGCCGTTGAGGATAATGAAGTAGAAGAAGGCAACGAGGCCGAGGACGAAGAGGACAAAATCGGCGACGACGATGGCGCCGGTGCGCATGCGCGGGATCTGGCCCGTCGAGTTGGCGAGAGTCACCATTTCCGTCATGGAGAAGATGATGCCCGAGGCGGACTGGTGGGGGAAATTAGCATACGGTGGCAGAGTGTGAAGCCAGACGTGGAGGAGACCTACGGTGACATAGCCTAGGGGGAAGTGGAAGCCGTATTTCGACAGCATGATGAGGGAGGCGAGGGCGCACACCTCAAAGACGACGAGGGTGAGGCGGAGGCAGAACTGGAGGATGCCATAGAGGGCGGGGATGCGCGGGCGCGCCATGCTGGCACGGCGGGAGTCGCCTCGGTCGCTCGGTGGGTTGCGGATGCTATCGTGGAATCATCCGCCAGCGGAAAGAATTCGCGGTGGTCGTTTTTGTGTCTTTTATGTCGGGGTGGTCTAGTGGTGGGAACAGCCGGTCGATCAGTGCGGTCGGTGGCTGGTAGGTGATTAATTGCAACGTCGGGCGTCGGTAGTGGGGGTGACGATGGTCAGCCAGTGTTTGCTTTCCAGCCCGTGTTCAAGTCGTGTATTGCGCGGCGTGTAGCTTCGCCTTCTGGCGGTGCGTGAACTTTCGGCTGCGGTCAATTAAGACGGCCGGGCTCGGCGGGAAATGGCAATGGAGAGTTGTGAAAGTGCCAAAGATGGGAAACGAACGCTGGGCGATGTTGGGCGCAGGAGGAGAAGGATGGGGAGGTTGGGGAACGGTGTAGGTTGTCGAGGTGCCCCGGGGATCTCTCGTTGTCTTCCCGACTCGAACCAACCAACCACTTTACAGGATAGAATCCCTGCCAGAAAGCGGCGGGGAGACACCGAAAGAGTGCAGTGAGACTGACGGGACTGGCTGCCAGCAGTCTGCAGCACGGGTGTGAGTGGGCGAGCCGTTACTGTGCCTCTGCAGAACAATGGAGAATGGGAGAATGGGACCAATGGACCCAACGACGGACGGGTTGACGGGTTGACGGGTGGTGGGTGGGAGACGAGGTACGAGTCCAAGGAATGGGAAGCCCACGCGGCAACCAGCTGGGCAAGGTATGAAATGTTCCCGGGGGGGGGGGAGAGGAACAGAAAAGAGAAAAAAAAAAGAGACACTGGGCGGCATGGAATCTCAGGGCAGACCGGGGTGCCTCAGTTATTTGGTCAAGAGATGGAAATGCATGTCCGGATTTGCCAAGCGTGCCCGGGCAAGGGTGGGTGCGGTGCGGTGTATCTACGATGTAGAAAGAGGGTGTGCCAGACGGCGCCAGAGGGGAGTTGCGACGAGGGAGGTCAGATGGCGATGGAGATGGAGGAGGACCCGGCCATTGGTGACGGAGGGGCACGGGAGGGAGGGAGGGAGGTATCGGGAGGAGAACTGAGCTCAGAGATGACGGGCGAACCACTATGCACCTTACCTAGTTGATAATTATTGTCAATGGATGTTGCCCTCTCTTGTCTCTCTCTGCCTCTTGGACTACAGTACTACTATTACAGAACCACCGCCGCTCATGCGTGCCGGCAAAAACCATGCATGTCCCGTTTCCCAAAGTCCGTAGGCCGCCACTGCATGCTCTTTCGTCCAGAGTCCCTCTCTCCTTGTCCTGCATCCTGCATTCTGCGTCCTGCGTCCTGGTCGTCAGATAGGCTGTGCGGCGCGGCGCTGCATGAGGCGAAAAAAAAGGCAAACGCCGGATGGGTGGGCGGCGACGGCGGCCAATATGCATGCGACGGCGTGGTCGGGGCGGACCTTGGACGAGATGGGACGACTGACTGACTGGACGAGGAGGGCAGTGGTCGGTGATCGGTTCCAACGCTCATTGAGGTTTGGGGCTTGAATCAGAAGGGCTTCGGCGACGTTTGGAATATTGCCTCTCATCAGAAAGAAAATCGGTTTGGGGGGGGGGGGGGGGGACCTGTTTCCCAAGCCCAATCCGGTTGATAATCTAGCCTCTCCCATGTTTGCGCGTCTGCCTCATGTCGACATGTCCAGTCCATGTACCTCGTTCGTTGCCAAAGAAGACAGTGGTTCAAAACCGTCTGGAACGCCATCCTTCTCCAATCTCTCCACTCCCAGCAACGGGGACCGTCGGTGTTCCCTGGCCGAGGTCGCGGGGAGATCCCGGCGCTCCTCCTCCCGCTCGAGCCTCGGAAGCTTCAGTTCGCTGTCGACTTTGTTAACGGCACTTGCACGCCCCCGAGGCATTGCTGACTGGAAATTACACCTTGGGCCGGTGCTCATGCTCGTCGACAGTCAGTTGTTTGCAAAGGGCCACGAGAGAGAGACCCAGGCAGCTTAGACAACTTCTCTTCAATGGAGGAGACAAACTCTCTTGGCAACGGTGAACGGCCTCCCAAAGCCATTGCGTCATCCCATCCTTCAGCCATCCGCCATCACTGGCCAGTGTCGTACCGGACCGCCTCCAGAAACATGCCAACTCCAGACGGCTTTTTCTTTTCCTGTCCTCACCTTGAATTGACGACACGTCTTATTGCCCTCTGTTAAGCAAACAAGCCAACGCACATCACATCGGCGGGGGCAAAACGCGGAAGTTTTTAGTGCTACTCAGCATGAGAAGCAGGGTCCTTCCATAAATAAACCAGTATAGAACCATTGGCCCCCCTCATGCCGTCCAAGTTTCCAGTTTCCACCGTGGCTCTGTCCCCACATCGCCACCACGACCAAACTTCGCAGTGTTACGACAGCTCCAGTAGGTTACGCCTCTCCCGGGAGCGAAGCGGGCCCGCTCCCCTTTTTCTCCTTTCAGGAAATGGCCACCGCGTTATGAGATCAGATGAGGAGGGAAGCCCACGATGCGGCTCACGGCACGTCCCCCTCTGTCCACTTCGTAAGACTCCTCGCGAGCCCACCCAACGCCCCCGATGCCGGGATATCAAGCAAATACCAAGTCGGCTTGCACGGCACCCGCGCCGCACTTGGCTCAGTTGATCCCCACGGCCAGGACGGCTCTGACACGCTCCGAATGCTTGGGTCCCGCCATGCCATGGCTGGAACCTGGCCTGTTCACGACCCCTCTGACGTCGTCTTCCCCGGTGTTTGCTTCGTTTTCTGGGGTTCGAGAGGATGTTGGGTGATGTCTTCTGATGGGGAACCGTGGTGGGATTTGACGTCGGTAGGTGCAACGCAAAGATGGGATTGATGCGAGTGATGCGCCAAACAGGCTTGATGACGGGGAGTCGTCGCGTCCTTGGCCACGATGACGGCCTGGCGTGTGGTGATTGTTCGAGTATAAAGGGTGTGGAATGCTAAGGCCTTGATGGGTCGATTTTCTCATCATCAATCATAACCATTATCAAAGAGTAATACCCTCATCTACAACCTGTCACACAAACACACAACTCGAGCCACAACCTCTGCCAACTACAAATAACACCACCTCTCCAAAACAACCCAAAGCATATCCTTCACCATGCACGGCGGAAGACATGAGAACTACGGCCCCTCAGGCGGCATGGGCGGCGGCATGAACGATGGTGGAATGAACGGTGGTGGTATGAACGGTGGTGGTATGAACGGTGGTGGTATGAATGGCGGCGGTATGAACGGCGGCGGCATGGGTGGAGGCATGAACGGTGGTGGTATGGGCGGCGGCTACGGAGGTAGCGGCGGCATGGGTGGTCACCACGGAGGTGGTGGTATGGGCGGCGGTATGGGCGGTCACCACGGCGGCGGCGGCATGAGCGGTGGTGGCATGGGAGGCGGCTACGGAGGTGGCCGTGACAACTACTCCGGCAGCGGCATGGGAGGTGGATACGGCGGAGGCCGCGACAACTACTCCAGCGGCGGCGGCATGAACGGCGGCTACGGCGGAGGCCGCGACGACTACGGCCACGGCGGCCATTCCGGCGGCAACCACAACAACAACACCAGCAGCAGCGGCGGCGGCGGTCTCCTCAGCGGCATTATGGGCGGAGGCAAGGACAAGAAGGAGGAGAAGCACGGCGGCGGAGGCTTCACCGACAAGCTCATCGACGGTGCCGCTTCGATGGCCAAGAAGAAGTTCTAGAAGCGAGGGAGCCGGCTATTGACGACGTAACGAATACCCTGTACTTTTAGCTGGGCGATATCATGACGCCACATAAATAATTCCGCGATTTCAAAATACTCTCTTTGGCCTCGTTCCTGTCATCGCGTGACCTGTGCTATCAAGAGTAATCAGAAGGTATGGCAAGTTTGCCCAGAACTAGCCAGTCGAGTCTTGGGTCGTCCGAACTCACGGTCGCGGTCCGACAATCATATCAAAAGTATCGCAATGGGGCTGAAAGGTCGAAACATGGGTAGGCCTTGAAGGTTCATGTGCAAATTAGCAACCTCATCCCCAAACCATTGAAATCTGCCGAATCTGGCCTTCAGGAACTTTGATTTCCCGGTACTACTCTTGTTACATGCCGTAAAACGCCTGGTCTTTTACTCTCTCTCACCTCTCGCGTTCTTCCCAGAAATGTCCTTCCCCCGGAACCCGATCCTTAAGTTCTGCCAGTATCCTCAAGATGCTGCCGAAACCCCATAGTGACCAGAGACATTTTCGGCCCCTCTTCCCTCGCGTGTAGAGGAACGCGGAAGCGAGACAGCGAAACCCAATGGTCAACCCATCAAAATCAAAATCAAATCCCTTTTTTCCAGTTCTAGCAGGGACCGCCCCCCAATGCTAATGCAAGATTCTGCAGAGACGAGGTGAACAAAAGAAAAATGAACGTCGGTTCGGAAGGGTAAGAAGGACTGACTGAACGACTTATCAAAGAAAAAGACGCAATCATGCTCGCGTAGACAGCCAGAGTGAGATGTTCTCATCCGAAAGTGGATTCTTGTCGGGTATTCTCAATCGTATCGTTTCCACCGCGTAATGTCTGCCGACGTGTAGCAACCGAAAAGAAAAGGCACAAGGGCCGCGCTGATTCTCCCTGGCCGAAAATGTACAGATCGACGCCATGAAGGCGTCGAGAGCAGAAAGGTCCGTATGTACCAAATGTCGAAGCGTCGAAAATCAGGGCTGTCGTAAGGCGTTAAGTGACGCTCATGTCCAGGGGTCCGAACAATCAATTGCCCGGTGTTCAAAACTGTTCAACAATCGTAGAGGGCGTTTACTCCTCCTTCTTGGTCTTGTCCGCAGCCTCGCCCGCCTGCTTCTTGAGCTCTTCAGCCTTGGCTTTGGCCTTGGCTTTGCCTTCATTGTATTTGGTCATCTTCTCAGACAGGTAGCGGATGGAGCGGCCGACGCCAGCAGTGAAGAAGCTCTTGATCGACTGCGCGGTTGCGGGCCAGTTGACCGTTTGGCTAATGACCTTGCGAATCGACTTCTGCAACTCCTCGGGGTCATCCTGGACGATGCGCTGCTCAAAGCCTCCACCTTCGCGGCGCTTAAAGCTCACGGCGTCCTCCTCCTTGGAGGCGTCCATCATGGCCTTGAATTCGGAAGATGGGACCATCAACTTCTTCTGGTACTGGAAGTAAAGACGCGAGCGGAAGGCCTTGGGCAGGCGACGAACCATGTTGCCACGCTTGACCGGGTCCATGTCCTGGTACATGGCGCCATCATACTCGGCATCGGAGGCGTGCTTGCTCTGTTGGTCGGCTCCGTCGGCGAAATCGACGTTGGGCATTGTGTTCAGAAGCGGACCGTAGAGCTTGCGGAAAGAGACCATGTTGTTGTCCACAATATTGTTGATCTTGCTCTTGTTCTCGGTCGGCAGGGACATGCGCGGATCGCCGAGGTATGAGATGCCGGCAATGGTCGAGAAAAGCTCTTTCTCAGTGAACTTGGGGGGCAGAAGCAGGAGAGCAGTGCGAACGGCCGAGATAAGGTTGACCTGATTCGCAAGGCGGACTCTAGGATGATCACGCAGGATCTTAACCGGCTTGTGAAGTCTTCCAGCGAGGTACAGGTTGTTCCAGGTGGAGAGGTCAGTGCAGAGGTTGTCGATCGATGTAACGCCGTACTTGATCAGCATGCCCTTCTTAGTGACGTATGGGTTAAAGTAGACGCCGGCGCCCCAGCGGTCCTGAAAGGTCGAGACGAGGCCGGAGCCAAAGCTTGCCAGACCAGAATAGTGGTCGCGATGCTGGCGCATGTTCAGCGAGTGCCAGTGCTGGGTGTGAGTGACTCCAAAAATGAAGTCGATCATTTTAGGACCGCCCTTCTGAACCTCCATCAACGCGGGCGAGGGTTTGGGGTGAACAGCACGGAATTCTTCATCTGAGACGGATCTGCTGGCCTTGGACTGGGGGAAAACACCGGAACCGTAGGCCATGGCGTACATGATGGGGGCGCGGAACTCCCGGACGACTTCAGTGAGCACCTTCTTGAACTCAGCGTTGACCTCCATATGCTGGTTAATGCCAAACTCCTTGTACGGGAGCTCCTCGAAGTCCTCAATCTTGGCATCGGGGTGCTCTTCCCAATTATCAGCCGACAAGGTCGGACCGGTTCTCTCCTTCTTCTCGGCCTCGCGGGCCCAGTTGAAGTTGATGGCAGAGCCCCGGTGAGTGTACGCAGGAGGACTGCCCTCCTCAGCTTTACTCTCATCTTTCTTGCCGGCATCCGCTGAGTAGTACCGGGACGCACGTGAGAAGCCCAGGGTGGTGGCAGACGCAGGGCGAAGTGCCTGGCTGGGGGTGACTCGGAGCTTTTTCTAGTATCAGCCACCATCTCCCACAGTAGTTTCGAAGGTACAACGCATGAGACTAGAGGAATCTTACCATGAGGCGAGAGATTGTCATGATGGCAAGTTGACGAAGGTATTTTGCTAGCGGGTTTTGGTGTGGATCGTTGAAGTAAAGTCGAAGGAACAAAGATTTCAAAAGAGAGGAAAGAAGGATGTGAGATGATTATTGGGCCAGTACAAGAATTGTCGGCAGAGTGTTCACAAAAAAAAAGAGGCGGGCACAATACTGTCCTCAAGGCGAGAGCCACTGGTCCCGACCCAGGTCAGCGCAAGCTTGGTTGTTGCAGCTGGGCTCAGCCTTGTTCTCAATATCTAAGCCGGCCTGGCGATGAAGCTATGGTATCCAATGTTTGTACAGCGCAGATATAGACTCGTCTCGAGAGAAGGAGGCTCGGTACAGATTCGATCGCGCCAAAGGGGTTGCCCGTAGGACTGCGGCTCGGTGGTTCCGGACTATGTTGACGTGCTGCTGATTTTGTGAATAGGGCGCCCCATTCGTATGCCTCAGTCAAGCGAGCTTCTCCTTTGTAAGCGAATTCGATCGAGGTATTGTGTCGCTAAATGTACGGCTCAGGAAGAGAGGGCTCGGTGCGGTTGTCGAGGGGTTGTCGAGGGGGTAATCCGGAGGATTGAAGCTATCGTTGAAATCTGCTGCCCCCGGAGACAAGAGCTCCCAAGTTGGGTGAGCACGGAAACGCTAGAGCAATTAGTGCACGGAGCGGACTTTGATCTGTGCAACAGCCCAAGTCAGGAACAAGCTTCCACACATGTGGGATGTGGGGATCACGTCATGGTGCAGCTAGTCCCTGCTCGGCTCTCCGCCCTTTTCTCTTAAGCCACAGGGTCACAGGGGTGTAGGGCCGTTGTCATTTGTCTCACACCTTTGGCATTGGTGTCAGTGATGATGATGTGGGTGCAGTGGCCGTTCTTCAAAGGGGAGTTGATGCCTTTTTGTGGATTCCCAGATTTTGCTTTGGTCTGAACATGGGATAGAAATGTCGGGATGCCCTCCCGCAGCAACTGACATTGTAACTGTTGAGAGGAGCCTAATGGTACTTTCATGATGTGATGAACAGGTGGGGGATATCTGAAATCTTTTCAGGCGCCGCCTCTGAGAAGCAAAAACAAGGCAAAGTTGCAAGATTGTGATATGTTTATGATCATTGAGAAAATGTGTGGGTGGGGTGGTTGATGAAGTACCAAAGATGACTTGAATAGGCAAGAAGGAAGGACGAAGGAACTCCTGCCTTCGGGAAGCTGCAGTTGAAACGCAACAGAGGAAGGAGCAACCGGATTCTGCCTGCAATCTTCCTTCTTCAAAGAGGCAGAAATCGAAGCAGATGACGGTTGCCTTTCCTCTTCTAGCAACCGCAAGAGCAAGATCAATCTCTGCCATTCAAACGAACAAATCTGCCATGGCCAGCAACAACTTGGCACTACCGTCAACCGCGCAACCGCCAATGGATGAAGATGAGGATTCGAGACAGACTGCGGAAATCGGATGTCTGCTGATGGCGATGCAGCAACCTCCAGCTCGAGCTCCAGCTGCTGCCCCCAAGAAAGCCACACCGCGGGGAAGTGACAGGGCTGGGCGACAGCTGAGAGAGCTGAACCCTCAGCAGATGCCAGAATTCAGCGTCGCAGGGTCTCCCCGGGAACATCACGTGACCTCGTCCCCGGCAACTCCAGCGTCCAACAACCGCCAAAACAACATCGGCCGATCATCTGGAGAACGCGTCCAGAAGCATTATCGTCACAGATCCGGCGCCATGAGGTCGCACACCCCATCTGGCGATCCTCCAGGCAGGCGCGGCTCAGTAACCAACCGTTTTCGCTCCAGCGTCGGCGGGAGCGCACTCCCTAGACCTCACACCTCCCTCAGAGAGTCCAGAGTATGTTGTAAACAAAGCAACGGCGCTAGGTAAATCGCAACTGCCGCTGACCCAAATACCACCATAGACCTTCCGCGCAACACAACCGACCTACAACCTCTTCACCGGTGGCGATGCCAATAGCAGACCCGGGTCCCGTGCAAGCCTGGTCCCCGAATCCGTTCGCGCATCCTCTCACGAGAGCTCTAAAGAAAACATGGCGCCCCCAGACGCGGCCGAGTATGAATCACAGCGACAGGTGATCGAGGAGCTGAAAGCGGAGCTGGGCACCCTTCGCTACACAATCAGCACGTTTGAGCAGGAAAAGCAGATGGCTGAAGCCCGACACAATGCCGAGCTTGAGGATCAACGCCGACGTGCCCAGGCCGACTTCACGGCGAAACAGGCCGTCGAGAGCGAGAAATCGCAAGCCATGCGACAACTGGAGAACACACAAAAGGAACTGAGCGACCTGCGAGACAACATCGCGCAAGAAAAGACAAGTCTCGAGAAGCGCGCGCGCGACGCCGAAGAGGAGGCCCGTTTGCTACAGGAACAATTGGAAGATTTGTCGAGCGCCAAGGACGAGGCGGCCCGTATCAATGAGAAAAAGACGATCGACCTCGAGATGCAGTTGCAGGCCGCGCAAAAGTCGACACAAGAACTAGAACAAGAGTCACAGGCCCGCGAGGCTGCCCTTCAACAGGTCCAGGCTCAACTAGCCGAGAAAGACAACCAGGTGGGCAACCTTGAGGCGGAAGTGTTGCGCCTCAAAGCCCAAACAGGAGATGCCGATACCATGGCCATCATCAAGCGTGAGCTGTCAGAGCAGGTGGCGCATATCCGCAACCTGGAAGCGACCAACCGCGAGCAGCTCTCAGAGCTGAAGCACCTGCGCCAAATTCATCGGGCCGTCGAGGTCGTTGAAGAGGAGAAGCGATCCCTTCAGCGTAAGCTCGAAGCCGCCCAGTTCCTCGAGACCGAATTGGCAGAGGCGCACATCCAACGCCAGCGTCTTGAGGACGAGCGTCTCGCATGGACGGGCTACCTTGCCAGTACCGGCACCGATCTTGAGTTCGACTCACCCGAAGCTGTCGCCCGCGCTCTCGTCGAGCAACGCTACGAGACCGCTTCTCAACTCGACAAAGTTGGCTCGCTGCAGGCTGAGCTGGCTGCGCAAGAGTCTGCTGTGAAGTCACTTCAGGAGGAAAACGCCACACTAAAGTCACAGCTCAACGAGGCGCGATCCGTTGCGACGACCCAGAATGTCGACAAGACGCGACTCAGGACTGAGCGTCAGCGCGTGCTCGCGGTGAAGGAGGTCGAATATCTCCGTGCCCAGCTCAAGACGTTCGATGCAGAAGACGAAGCCTTCCAGCCTGAAGCCGTCGACGAAACCCGAGCGCGCCGCATCCAGGAGCTCGAGGACCTGGTGGACAAGTACAGATCAGAGGTACAGGCCCTGCACGCCGAGATGTCCTCCATCGAGGCCGGCAAGCCCGCCCAACCCGCACCGGCCGTCGCTGGCACCAAACGCCCGCGCGACGAGAACGACGATGCCCTGCAGGAGCAGCTCGGCCTCCTCAACCGCAAGAACCGCAAACTCCAGGACCAGCTCTCGGCGGTCCAGACACAGCACGCCATCACCCAGAAGGAACTCTCCGTCGTGCAGGAGCAGCTCAAGGCGCTGAAGACGCAATCCAAGACGCGCATCCTCTCCCTGCGCTCCAACCCGACGTCCGACTTCGAGGCTATCAAGATGTCCAAGCTCAAGGCCCTGGAGCAGGAGAACGCCGACCTCCTCGCCCAGATCGAGGGCAACCCCACTGTGGACCTTGTCCCGCGCACGCAGCTCGACGCCGCAAACCGCCTGGTGGAGGAAGCTCGCGCCGAGACCGCGTCCGCCCAGAAATCAGCCAAGCGACTCAAGGAGGTGTGGTCCAAGAAGTCGCTCGAGTTCAAGGAGGCCATCTTTAGCACCCTCGGGTGGACCGTCATGTTCATGCCCAACGGCAAGATGCGCGTCGAGTCGACGTTTTACCCGTCCCAGACGGACGAGTACGAGAACTCGATTGTGTTTGACGGCGAAAAGGGCACGATGAAGGTCGGCGGCGGGCCCAAGAGCGCGTTTGCGCGCCGCATATCCGACCAGATCGGCTTCTGGGTGCGCGAGAAGGGGTGCATTCCCGGCTTCCTCGCTGCGCTGACGCTCGAGTTTTATGAAGAGTACTCGCGGAACCAGATGCAGACCGAGTAAAACGTCGACGATCATGGCAGGCGGGTTTGGGTCTCTATATGTACACATACAAGGATGGCGGAGAAGTCGTCCACATGGTCCATTTGTCAGGCGGAAAGGGGAAAACAGAAACTCGGCTGTCAGGGGAGATGACGAACGGCCCGGATGGGGAGGCGGAATTGTACAAATGGGGGTTTTCTTTTCCTTTTTCTCTCTTGTAGATCACGATGATACCTCGCCTCACAGCCTGAAAGAAATGGTATGAGGTTCAGATGCTGGACGGACGAATAGCTTCCTCTCCTGATGACTCATGGGTTTCTTTCTCTTGTCACAACTGTTGAGCCGCTTTGCTTGTCTTCGCGATAGTCGCCACTTATGCTCATGCTCATGCCAGGCTTGTGTCTTTGTTGCAAACGCGCAAACGTACATGGGAATCTCTCTCTTTTTTCCTCTTCCATCATATCGGTACAAAAGCTACCTACAACCTGCCAAAAGTCCGTCTCCGTCGTCCGAGTTGATGATCCACCGCGTGACCATACTCCTCGAAAATCCAACCTCTGAGAAGAAACTAAACGACGCCCTCGTTTCGCCAGACATGAACTGTCTGGGGCGGGTGTCTATCAACCTCTCGTGTCATGCGCTTGCTATGTAAAATGGTTTCCCTCTCCATCAATGACAAAATCTACCACTTCGATGGGGTATGTACAAATCTCGCTACACGTCTTTCCCCAACAAAGATTCATCGCGGCTGGATGTCGATTATTTGGCCTCATACTTGCCACTAGTAACCTTTTTCACCAATTGCACGTCCACCCATTGCTGGTCAGCCGGCAGTGCCGGCGAGGTTGGGTTGTCATCCGCAAAGGGGTCGGCATCCTCGTCCTTGCCCTTACCTTTGGTCTCTTCCAACCTAGAAATGGAGATGCCACTGCTGAGATCCTCTGGCGTCATCTCCCATCGAGCCTCGATGTGTCCTGGCTTGGGCTCCGCGTTTTCAGCGCCGATGATGCGACAGACAATCTTCTGCGTCTCAGCAGTGAGGGTCAGGTCGCCCAGGCGCCAGTACACCAAGTGCTTGTCTTTGAGATGTGTTCCTGTGGGCTTCGTCTGCGCACCGGAGGCCTTGGCGCCCTCGTATGTGGCAACGAAAACAACATTGTGCAGCGTCACGGGTGCCGTCAGGTTGCTTGCGGGGTTGAGAGAGTACTGCAGGAGAAGTCCGAGCTTGTCACCCTGAGGTTTCCAAGCCGGGCGGAGCAAGAGCGGAACGTGTGCCGCCAAACCAGCGCCATCAGCGTCGCCGGCATGTACTCTATATGTGAAGGCCGTAGCCGTCTTGTTAAGATGCGATAGGTCCAAGTTGAACTCGTCGGATTTACCAGAGTTCTGGACAAAGATACGGTTCGGCCCAATGACTTCCAGGCTCGGGAAGTTGTTAATTCTGATGGTCTCATAATCTGCTTTCTGTTAGCAACTCTTCTTCTTCTTCTTCTTTTTCACTGTCCCGACTCCTGTGATGGGTAGGTAATAACGGAACTCACCCGGCCGAGAATCACCAGTTGCCTGGTAGGCAAAGGCAATTTCACCATGCACCTTGGCATTTGTGACCGTTCCATCCTCAAAAGTTGCCGATACGGTCTCGATGACGGACGCATTGAGACCAGGCTCGTGCATCTCAGGATGCTTTAGGTGGGCCAGGCTCACAAGTGAGTTGGCTGAGCGGATGGACTGAGTATCTGACGTGGCAGCGATGCTTGCTTCAGAAGTAAGGGCAGCCACGGTGGTGGGCTTAGACGATTGGCTGGGGAGTGATGGCGAAGTCGGGAAGGGGTTTTCAGTGGTGAGCTCAGACTCAGGCATACTGGGGGGTGGCACATAGATGGTGTTTCTGACGTCTCTACGACCTCGCACAGTTCCGAGCTTTCGTGAGGGAGCGGCCATCTGCGTCAGTGTATTGGCGACATTCGACATGGCAGCCTTCTTCGCGTCGGCATCTTCCTCTGCGATGGGCGAGCTCGCAATGTTGAGTTTGAACATCTGCTCGTTTTCTTCCGCGGCCTCACGCTGGGCCTGAGAGATCGGGTCGTTATCGGGTGGGCGGATTGTGAAGCCCTCGGCGTCCTTGCTTTCGGCATCCTTGCCCTGGGAAGGGGGCGGGCCTGGAGGAGGGGCAACATCCAGCGCATCGGTGTCGTGGGTTCCATTTACAGGTCCATTTGGCGAACCCAAGCGATTCGCATCCGAAAGGCTTTCACCAAAGCCGTTGGTACCTTCGTGGAAAGGTCTGTCGTTGCCAGAGGACTGGGGCGGTCTCGGTGAATCGGGCGTCTCTGCAAGAGCAGACAATCGGTTGTGGGCCTCGGCCAGGTTGTTCGACGAAGCTCTAGGAGACAGGCCGGGGCGAACGTGAGTGCTACTATGACTGCTGCTGAGGCCTCGGCCGAAAGATGGAGCGCCGCCCTTTCCGGGGGATATCTGGCCGAATCCGCCGTGGATGCTCTGCCGGCGCCGGCCGAGCATCGTGCCAATTCGGCTTCGCAGCTTCGATTCTGCATCAGTCGTTAGTCACTGCAAAGAGACTTGTTGAACTTTTAGTAGGTCATCATACCGCCCTTTCCGTCGGCAAGACCGGAGTGGTCACTTGCGTCGTCGTCGCGGGGTCCGATGCTGCTGGGCGCAGGCGGAGGCGGGACCAGTGTCTGACTGGTCGGGACATTGGAAGATTGCCTAGATGCCGTGGCCCTCTTCTCCAGGCGCGGCTTTCCCGAAAGAACCCTCTCCTTGAAGCTCCCAATCTCCTGCTCGGTGCTGATCTCCAACATGGAGGCCAACGTGTCGGCAGCGCGGGCTTGGTTTCGTTGCGCCTGGTCGCTCTCGTGGGTTTCGTATTGGGTCAGCAGGTCGCGCAGCTGGTTGACACGCTGCTCGTCGATGGCTTGCAGGGTCTCGAAGATGAAGGGGGCCTGGGAGTCCCACTGTTGGGTGGCAGACTCGAGTCTTGCCGTAGCATCCGCCATCTTCTGGGCGTTCGTCTTGGGGCCCTTGCGGCTCAGGGCATCCGCCTTCTTCTGGGCATCTTCGAGATCTCGGGCCATGGCGGTCAGATTAGCGGAGATGGTCTGCATGTTCTGCATCTCCTTGCGAGACTGGAAGTTACGCAGGGGACCCTCGACATCTTTTTCGAGTTGGCTTGAGAAAACGTGGTGGGAGTGGGCGGTCGAATCGACGGATTGGAGAATCTTGTCCCAGGGGCCGGAAAAGACGCTGCGTAGTCGATCAGTACACGGTATGGCCGTCGGGTGCTCGTCAGGGACGTCGCGGGCGACCTACCCAAGCTCAGATTGGCTGTTGGGGACTTTGAAGGTGAGCAGCTTCTTCAGGCTCTGGACGTATTGGTCCTCGACTCGGCGGCGTTCCTGGATGGGATTGTTCAGCTTGGGGTTGTCCTGCTGTCGCGTGGGCGGTGTTCTAGTGGTTTCGGGTGTCGCTTTACCTGCAGCCAGTCTGCGATCTCAGTGTTGATCTTGTTTATTCTCTTCACACGGTCGGTGAGGACGTTCACGGCCTGCATCGGCTGGAGGTGTGCCTGGACAAAGGAAACATGGACAGTCAGCAATCGAGTCGCAAACAATGCGCTCCTGGCATGGCGGACGGAGGCACAGGAGTCGGAGGGGTTGTGGAAGGCCAGCTCCCGACCTCGGCTTCCACTCGGTGGCTGGGCCTTTTTTTCCCTCTCGGGGGGTAAAGGAAACAGTGACGATGGAGGAAACGGGGGAAACGGGGAAAGGACGGCAACAGTACCAGCATGGCAGGGTATTCGGCCCTTGCGAGATCGTCCATTGTGTCTAATTAGCGGGCGCGCAAAATCATATACGATGAATGCAAGCAACGAGAGAAACGGCGCGCATAGCGATGCTGTCTATAATGCTGGAGGAGGTGTCGCCAAGGTGAGGAGCATTCGCATCGTGGGAAAGTCGTGAGGGTAAGAAGGTGGGTTGGTTAGCGGGTTGGCTGCGAGACGGAGGGAATTGAGCTGAGTGGATGGATGGATGGATGGTTGGACTTGGAACACACACCAAGGTCCTCGGTAGGTAAATTGCCTGGCCTGTGGTGAGGCAGGCAAGGAAGGAGCCTACGAGTACGCTGTACACTACTGGACGGGAATGGCGCAGTTGCTGCCGAACGAGGATGAGGACGGACGAAGCCAGGTCAGGCAGTCAGTCACCAGCCAAAAGGCAAGTGGAGTGCGTGCATGTCTGCTGCTGGAGCGGGAAAAAAGTCTGGGTGCTGGACATTGGATGCTGGACAGTGACTTTCCAGGGTTGGTCTTGGGCTGATGATGGAGTGTGGAGTAGACCCGACAGGGGGGGTGGCCTGGCTGGGCTGGAAGAAGACGTAAGTACTCTCTGCAGCCTTGGGCGTGGACTTGCGGTGCGGTGCGGTGCACCTTCACCTCCATCGATGATCGATCGAGCAGCATATACACACGCACTACATACAACTTACATAGGCTCATTTACGTGTACGTGTAAGCAAGGTTTGGGGACCATGGCCGACGCAAGGCCGTGCCGGTACTGCGTGCTCGTCTGCGTCTGCGTTCGCTGGTGTTGACTTTGCTTTTTGGGTTCACTTCCGGCAAGTGTCCATAGCAGCTGGGGGCCGCGGCGGCGACTCTCGAGTCTGCTGCATATGCCCCCATCCATGAATGTCTCATGTACCTTTTTTTTTTTTTTGCCCTCCTGGTGTTGTGTGTTGTCAATTGGTCCGAGTGCAGTCTCCCCGTGCCAAAAGGTTCGGCGGATATCCAATGGTGGATTGATCTGAATTCATTGGCTTCGGATGGGAACACTGGCCCGGGAGCAGCGGACAAGGACTCACCATCGATGCATCAATCACCCTCACTCAGTCTCACTCCCCTTCCCGGCGAGCGCAGTCACACTCGCTCGCATCAGTGACTCCAACTCGAGTTCCACACCGACCAACCACTTTCTGCCATCACTCGTGCTTTCAGCTGCTGCTCTGGCAGGGGGCTGATGTACTCGAAACGGCCTAGCCCGGGGGGGATTCTACGAATACGTCACGCAGCACCTTACGGACCAGGTTAGCACGTCTCTTGTCTCATCACCTCAGAGCGCCGAGAAAGAATCCGAGTGGACTCGACTCGGCTCTGTTGCTTCACAATCGGCCATGCGTTTCTCAGGCTTCCTGAAGCACGACACCGTACAGACACCGTACAGAGGGCATGCAGAACGCGCCGCTCGCTGGCCTCGTACCGGAGACAGGCTGCGTTCCCCCGACTTCGAGACGCCTGGATCCTCTGCCTTGGCCACTCCACCTGTTTATACATAACATCCCACGCCCCTTTGCTAAGGTTCAGAGGAACTGTACCTGTATGAGACGACGGGAAGTGCCCTGACCTGTCGCGTCGGCGTAAAATCTCTGGCCGAAATTCAATTTGCACATGGCATTCGGGTCGGTAAAAAGAAAAACTTGGAGTGACTGAGCCGCACCATCCTTGCTTTCTGCCCCGGGCGCATGAACTTTTACTTTGTCCCTTATTTCCATCGCAAGGATACTGAAGCCAGACCATCGCCGATGATCACCGCCGGGAGATACCTACTGCCGTCGTGGCTTGCCCAACTTCCCTCTCCCATAAGTGCGCGATGCCAGACCCGAAATTGGTGTGCGCGTTAGCGCGACTCGGTCGTGAATATCTCAAACCTCCCAAGGCTATAGAAAACTAAGATTAGATTGAAGAAATGGTTTGGGGGCTACAAATCGACGCGATAGGAACGCCCCGTCAGGTACCCGAAATTGCAGCGAGCAGTCCTGGATTATGTAAGCTTATGTGGAGAAAAGCAGTCGCGCTCTGCACTGTGATGATTCGGATCCTTCTGCGGGATTCTACGGCGGCGGGCCCGGCCCGGACAGTTGGGAAGCGGACATTCTCACACGGTAAATACTCAGCTCTCCTTCCGTGGCTGCATCAGGGATCACCAATGGAAGGTGCAACGACGCCAGGTGCTTACTACATTCATACTCGCCTCGTGTCCCTTGTTTCTGCTGGGTGCTCACTAACAACAGTCCATTGTGAAGCCACAAGAGCGCATCCTCAGACCCCAGCCATCCCTGCCCATCCCCCTTGACCATCCCAATCCTATCCTCTACCATGGCCGACAATGACTGGAGGACGCAGTTGTCAGCATCAGACCGGTATGAGAACATACAGAAAATGTAAGTTACCGATTTACCACAGGCATTGATCGCGACCATCTACTTACATAAATTCCTCAGAAAGGCTGTGCTAGAAGCCGCAGGCTCAGAAGCCAAAGCCACTTCACAGTCCGATGCATTTTCGGTCGAGAACCAGGCTTACAAAGATTCAACGTCTAGGGTGAGTCCCCCCTTTACCCATCGTCTATCCCCCATCCCCCATCTATCCTTTCTCTAAGGGTCTAAGCCTCTAAGGCTAATCTTAATCTTAGGCTCAATATGACGAGATATGTCAGCTAGTTGGCTCCGCAAATTTGGCTCCTCAAGAAGCGACAGCCCGTGATGCAGACGAATCCGACGACATTGGAGTCACCATTGGCTCTTACAAGAACTGCCTCCCGTTCGCAAGCGGTCTCACATCGGAGGTTTACAGGTGCAAAGACCGGGCCCTCAAAGTTATTGTGGAAACGCACAACATTGCGCCTCATAACCCTCACCGCGAGGCCAAGATCCTAGCAACCCTGAAGCGGCCATGCATCTCCCTGTTGGAAACATTTAGGGACCAGGAGCAAAGACTCGTCCTGGTGTTCCCTTACAAGCCTCTTACCCTGGCCGACATCATTGACAAAGGGACACTCCCACTACCCAGAGTAAGGCGTATCTTCAAAGACGTCTTCACCGCTCTTAGGGATATTCACAGTGAGGGCATTATTCATAGGGACGTCAAACCAGAGGCCATCCTCCTCGACGGCCCAGATGGACCAGCCTATCTGTCCGACTTCGGAACCGCCTGGCACCCGACCATGTCGGTTGTTTCCGAGCCGGCCAACAGCAAGATTCTTGACATTGGGACCGGCCCCTATCGCGCTCCTGAGGCCCTTTTCGGTGACAAAGCCTACGGCCCTGCTGTTGATATGTGGGCTGTCGGTTCTATGTTAGCCGAGTGTTGCCGCAGCCCCCCGAAGTCGCTGTTTGAATCAAGGCCGACACACGAGGACGGCAACCAGCTAGGCCTCATTTTGAGCATCTTCAAAACTTTAGGCACTCCAACGCGGGAGACCTGGCCCGAAGCCGCGAGCTTCAAAACTCCACCCTTTGAGATGTATCGCATGTTTGAAGGCCATCCATGGGAAGAAATTCTGCCCGATGTCGATGCTCAAGTTCGAGACCTAATATCAATCTTGGTTCGTTTCGACTCAAAGAGGGCGAGTGCCGAACAGGTGATGAAATTGCAAATTTTATGATGCAGCCTCATTTCTCTAACTTCTCGATAGGCCTTGCAGCACACATTCCTACAGCAGAATGAGGAAGCCCAGGCCTAAAACCTCTGGAAATGCGAGGAGACAAAACAGCAAAGGATGGACAATGTCTGGAGCGATGGCCCACAGCCAGCGCCCGCATTCTGATGCAGGTGATGAAAGCCGTTGCTTTGTGTCCACGGCCATCTTTGGGTTGGCTCTAGGGTTATTGTACCATCGCAAGCCGTTTCAACGTTCAAAGACAAAGGGATAAAGTCTCCTCGCATTTGGTATTAATGCCTGGTAACTCCATCTTCGACCATGAGCGCTATTGACATCAACAACTTACACACTCTGCCTTTACTCAACAACGAATCAAAACCCATCTACCAAAGTTGAAGTCGCTGCTGCGAAACCTTGACAACATGGCAAAAGACAGGTCCGTCAAACGCAACGGCCCCCAGATACCGGATCAGCCCGGCATCGACACGTCCATCCTTTACGGCGGGAAGAAATCGCCGGAAATAGAGCGACGACCCGAGAACAGACACGGCCTCCCGCGCGACATGCCGGGAAAGACCCCTGGCGGCAAGGACCGCCATCACTGTTCCAGGAAGGGGCACACGAGCGATTTTCGCTGCGTGAAAAAGGGCTGCATGAAAAAATGCCCCGACTGCGGGACCTGGACATCGAGTCTTAATGGATCAAGGTGCATTCCCTGCAGGGCGCGAGAGACGAGGAGGATGAGGGACGAGAAGGACGACAGGATTGAACAGGAGAAGGCCGATGCAAAGCTCGCTAAGAAGGGAAAACCGACAGCTTCCAAGAGTGGCGTCATGGCCAAGATGCTCCTTGCCCCCCAACCTTGCGGCATCCGCAAGCGAGTCGGCCGCGTCGGCGAGCGTGCGCCCGGCCGCTTCTCCCGAGGTTCGCTGGACTCTGGTCGTCGATCTCCGAGCCCGTCTCAGCTTTCTGACGAGGAGTCTGCTGGTCATGACGAGACGGCCACGGATGAGGACGAATGGGAGGGTATTACGGAGGACGTCGATCACCAGGACTACGTGACAGCAGACGAGGCTCAGTATCAGCGACGCATGGAAGAGGATGCAGCCTTGCAGGACAAGATTCGTGAGTGTCTCCTGAAGCTTCTGTCGTAGGGGCTCCGGTTACGCTGGTGTACATCTCCTGTTTGCGCTGTTTCCAATGTCTGGTATTGAGTGCATCTATCCACTACCTACACCCGTTGCTTTCCCCCCCTTTCTCCGTGCCTTCTAGTCCGATCACCATGAATAAACCGCGTAGTGTCTCATCTCTCATTCGCTTTCTTCGTGAATTGTCGTGTCCCAGAGAATCGGGGGCAAGCCCGCGGGATTCCCTTCCGATTCTCAACCAGGCTCCGTAGTCCTAGTCAAACAACCCCTTAAGCACCCCTGCGCACCTTGGTGTCCGAGCCCAAATAGTCGATGGGGTTACGGCACAGCGGGCACGTGTTCTGGTTGCTGCTCTGGAACCACTTGTACAGGCAGGTGCGGTGGAAGAGGTTCTTGCACGTCTGGCACCGCTTGTCGGGCATCTTCTTGTCGGTCGAGATGATGGAGTAGCAGATGGCGCATTCAGTCTGGCCCTTGAGGGCGCCGACAATGTTGCGCCGGAAGGCCGAGAGGCCGTCGATGATGCTTCCGTTCTGTGGTCTGTGTCAGCAAGCTTTCCCCATTCGCTCCGACGTTTGGCCGGGTTAGGGGGTCAGAGAAAAAGATCTTACCGAGAATGTGATGACGCCCTGCGTCGTGAGCAGCCAGCTCTGCCATTTGCGCTCGCTCACCGCGACACGGTTAATGCCCACGACGCTGACGCCCTCGATCGGGTAGCTCGCAGGGACCTTGACGGCGATGGACGCCATGCTCTCGTCCACCTCGTAGCCCGCCGTGATCTCCTTGCCCGCCTTGCTGACCTTGACGACGAGCTCCTTCTCGTCGTCGTCGGCGGGCGGCTCCTGGCTCGCGGCCCACGCCGACACCTCGTCGAGCGCGTCCGAGACGATGATGGGCGAGAAGTAGCGCGTCATCCACCCCTCCACGGCGATCCGCGTCTGCTTGGAGCGGCAGTCGAGGTACCACGTCTTGAAGAGGCCGGGCGTGTACTTGAGCGTCAGGTAGTACAGGTGCACGAGCAGCCAATGCAGGTTGCGCTCGTCGGACTCGGCGTCGGCGAGGGAGACGTTGTAGGAGGTAATGTGCTGCGTCGTCAGGCCCTCGCGTTCGAGGTTGAGCGGGTGCGCGGCCGAGTGGCCCAGCACGTCAAAGGTAAAGTCTAGGAGCGGCGCGATGTAGTTCTCCGTCTTGAGGTGCTCGGTATAGTCGTTGCGGACCTTGAGCGAGGCGGTGCTGAAGGCGTCGAAGACGAGGTGCCAGGAGAGGAGGTAGGAGCGGATAGCGAGAGGGAACTGGGCGAGGACCTCGTCCGGGTAGCGTTCGAGGGTGGGCGCGTCGAGGAGGAGAGAGAGAAGCTCGTCGGGGAGTCGGGCGTCGGTCTTGTCGAGGAGGACGTTGACCGAGAGCTCCTCTTGCCGAGCCGGCAGGGCGTAGTGGAGGAGGTTGAAGGCGGCGGTCTGGATAGAGCGGGAGTCGGCGGCGATGAGGCCGTATAGGTCCGAGAGGTCGTTGATGTGCTTCAGGGGGATCTTATTGACCTGCCTGCAGATGATGGCGTCGACGATCTCCAGGGGCTGGGTGCTCTTCTCTCGGTCTAGTTTGAGGAGCTCGATTAGTGACAGGGACTTGGTCTCGGCGAACTCCTTGAGGGCCTCCACCAGGTCATCATTCGGTTCCGACAGGGTCTCCAAGGCGGTCATGAGCTTCAACGATGCGTGAATGTAGGGAAGCGAGTCGTCAAGGCGGTCATCTGACGCCTTGGCCCACAGGGCAGTTGAGAACTCGATCGTCTTCTCCCAGTATGAGCCGTATACGTCCTTCATGCTCGGAAGCAGCCTCTGCAACGCCCTGCAAATCTCTGCCGACAGGGCGGGCGTGAGGTTGAGTGTATCGTCCATCCACGACGTGATCTGGCGAACGGCAAAGACAATGCGGTTGTTGGCCACAGGGATCTCGCCAACCTCGTAGACCTGCAGGCAAGCGTTGAGAAGCACCAGAACCTGAAGCGTCTTGTCGGCCTTTCCAGGTTCCACAGATGCTCCTGCAATGTCACTAATCAGACGGTTGCAGAGCGTGTTGATGGTCTTGGACGACTCCAGGCTCTCGCCAAAGCCGGCGAGCACCGCAGTTGCTGCCAGGACCGTGGGTGGAGTGGCCTTGAAAGTTGCCAGCTGGTTAATTCTCTCGTCGCCAGTAGCCGGGAAGCCGTGCTTCTCGGTCAGAGTCTGAATGAGCTCACTCAGGGCCCTAGAGCTGTAGACCCCAAGCGGCGTGAGTTCCTTCGCCTCCTGTGTCATGATAGTGATGAGGCCGTTGACCAGCTTCGTCGAGCCGACTTCCGAGCTGTCCCTCCATCCCTTGGCGTCATCAGCTATGGCGTTGATAGTTGCTCTGGTGGACGAAACAAACGACTCGGCCGACGCAAGGGCGTCGCCCACGTCAAGGTTAATATATAGCTTATTTTCATCCGTCAGGGTGATCTGATCCGACACCATCTGAATTGAGACGCAAAGGAGGTAGAGAAGTTCAACCTGGAAGCTCTCCGGCAAGGTTGAGACGGAGATGTCAGAGGACAAGAGCTTGGAGGTGTATGAGGCCATTCTCGCAGGAATGGAGTAACCGTCACGATCTCTGCGCACGCGAATGCGTTGTTCTTGCTCGGTAGGCTGGATCAAGAAGTGCGCGCCTCCCAATCCGCTGGTAATGGAGAGTGATGGGTTGAGCGAGCCTTGGAGGAAGTTTGATAGCTGTTGCATCCAGACGTTCGTGCTCGGGAAGAGATCTTCTGTGCTGATAGAGCCTGCCTTGGCAGCTTGGAGGGCCTGCTGGACCAAAGTTTCGATCCTGGCAAAGTTAGCAATGAAACGTGTAATAAGACCAAGCTACTCACCCAAGTGATTGCGGCCCAGCTTCCTCCAGATTCCTCTGGATGATGGTGACTACCGGCGAGGTGCCATCGGTGGGCTGTTCCAAGAGTGCTCTCAACGAGATGGCACGAGACGAAATTGCTCTATCGTTGAGCTCGGCGAGTCCCAACAACTCAGTAACAACTGCCATGTGCGTCGATTCATCCTGTGACAAGAGCCCAGGCTTGTTGTTCGCCAGTGTCTCCAACGCCCGAAGCGCTTGGATCGAGTGTTGTTTGTCTTGCGACAGGGCGGATATGCTGTTGTTCACCAACTCTTTGGCCGTAGATTCGGTGACGGCGTCGTTTCCAAGAGCCGCTTCAAAGAGGCTCCAAGAGTCAGCCTCTCCGCGGGCTGTGCTGGAGCATTTTGCCTCAAGGAAATCTTGGAGTTCTTCATGTGACTTGGCAAGTCTTGATGCTTCCTGGCTAGCGATCAGACGTTCAATACCTCTGGTTGCCAACTTCTCATCAGAAAGTTTCAGTAAAGCATCGACCCAGGTCTTCCAGATAGTCACGTAAGCCGTCTCCTGTCCCTTGAGAGTTCCCAGGACGTTTACGCAGTTCAGCAGGTCAGCAGCGGACCGGGAAGCCATCAAAATTTCCATGCGGTCTCGGCCCTGTGGTGCAAGGAATTGTTCCAGAGCCTGGGCAGCGTCTGCATCTTCCCACACTTGCGGAGCATTCTTTCCAACGCTATAGACAACACCGGCAGCTCCGTACGGTTTGAGGTTCCTGTTTGCAAGCAAGTTCAAGCTGCTTGTGATGATGGCCTTTGAAGGGCCCATGAGGAGGCCGATGGACGATTGGCCTGTCTTGTGGACTTGGCCAACTAGAGTGAACCAGCGGTTGCCTTCGGCAGAAACAGCCTCTTGGGATTTTTCATAGTCCTTGGAAACTTCGGGTAGTGAGTTGGATATCCTTGTACAAAAGGCAGACGAAAGGGCGTCCAGCTTCTCAGTTGTTGCCTGAACCAAGTCGGGAGATGACGGGTCGGCAGCAACTTCGTAGACTTCGCCAAGCACAGCAAGTCGTCCATTTCCGCCAATTTCCCATGAGGAGTTCTCGGGGGTTGGGAAGAGGAAGTGCTCAATTAGAGGAAAGAGATACTCCTGGACCAACGTAGCTCGCGGGCCGTCCGAAGGGAAGTTTTGCAAGAAGTGTTTGGTTGTGTGAACATAGCATGTCCAAGCAAGCGTGGCGTTCATTCTTGGTTCTTCCCTGCTCGCAATGCCGACCCTCATTGACTTCAGAGCATCCGCCGAGGCTTCGACAGTGAAGTGCTCACCCGGAATAGCCTTGATGAGCTCTTCCAGATGTTCCCAGTACTTGGCGGAGCTGCTGTGGGATCCCTTCTCCAAGAAGCCATTCAACCTGGTTATAGGGGTCTTCTTCTCACTGGAGCTCGCCCAGATCTCGGGGAACTTGCTTGTCAGTTTTGTAAGAACTCTGACGTATTCGACAGCCGACCCAGTTTGGCTGCTCTTGAGTCCCTCTGCGAGAAAGGCCTTTTTAATGCGAGAGATCTGGGAAGTGACCGACTCTTGCCTTTTGTCAAGGCATGCCCACAGCAACTGGCAGGCTGATCGTCTGACTGAGGCGTCGCCCATGACCACGCTCTTCCAGACCTTCTCTTCCGTGAAGAAATTGTCATATGCCTCTTCTTCCTTTTGAATGTCGGCCGGATCGAGTTTCTGCAGGAGCCCGAGAACAAGGGAAATACTAGCTCCCACGACACGGAGATATTTGGCCTCGGCATCGTCGGCTGTCGTCGATCTCTCGTCGCTCAGGGTGTCCTTCGTTTCTTGGATGGCGTCCGTCGCATAGGTCAGGATCTGCGACTGGCACTTCTTCCAGAACAGGACAACCTTCTCCGGGCTGTTGAGAAATGACGAGAGGCCGTCATTTGCAGCCCTCGACACAACTCTGTCCTTGTCGTACAGACCGGCGAGCCAGGTACCCACGATCTTGGGAACATGCTTCTCCATGCGCTTCCGGGCCGACTTCATCAGCTCGAATTGCAGTGTATGGGAGAGTTCGCGCACTCGGCGAGAATTGTCTACGGAAATACGAGGATATATTTGTACCTGTTACATACATTACCACATGATCATCAAAACGCATCTCCCGGGAACAACGCACCCATGCTTCCAAGACTGCCTCTTCTGCACCTCCGTCCTTCTCGAATGGGTGGGCCTGTACGTAAGCCAGGAGGTCTTCCAGCGCCTTTGCCTTTGTCGTGGCATCTTTCTTGAGTGTGTTCTTGAAGGAAACGACAACGTTCGCATCGGAGATGGATGACAAGTCGGGGGGCTCGGCGAGGTAGGAGAGGCCGCTGCCGGCTGAGGAGGAGAAGCCGCCGAACCCGCTGGCAGGGCTGGCGAAGCTTCTTGCGCCGGACGATCGGCCGCCTTTTCCAAAGGCACGCGACATGATCTGGTGGTTAATGTAGGCTATGTCTTGTGTAAGGTGTTCGATGGCCTAGATGTCGATGTAGCTCGGTGCAGGACCTGGCGCGTCGCAAGGAACCAAAAGTCGAAGATGACGTTGGCGGGGTACAGTGTACAAATGCGGCGGGCACCTTTTTTTTCCACCCTGGGAGAACACTAGGGAAAAGGAGAAACAGCAGACGGAATGCGCGAGATGAGTGGAAATGAACAAGGCCGTCTGTAGACACGGCTGTCGTTTCAAGTATGCAAAGAAAAGAGCAATGGGCAAGTCGGATCTATGAATAGGACTCAAGTCGCATCGCAGCCTCGACAAGTTCTTGTTGCGCCGTCAAATAATTCCAAGGTGTAATGTTGACTCAGGCCGATAATTTTGGCCGATGTGCAAAGACGCCGGGAAGACCGCCGGCGAATGAAAACAGCCAAGCTGCCCCGCCAAAGCTCCCGCTCTCAAGAACCCCCCTTGCTGATGATGCTGTCATAGGTAAGCCCCTCGCACGTGACTTCACGTCTTCTGGCCGCTAAACGACCCGTGCACTCGGGTACTCGCGCCTTCTCGCCCCTGTCCTATCAATCGTCCTCGATTGGGCCGCCTTTATCACATCTCCACACGGCTCCACTTCCCAGCCCCTGGGCAGGACTGAGAGCAGCAACTTTGGGCACACTGCAAGGGCTCCCTGCGTCACCACCATTTCACCAATTCGGGGTCGTTCGGCGGTTTCAAGCGCGTGTTCTCGGGCAAGAGGGCCACTGTCCGCAAAGGTTACCCCGCAAACTGAACCTCTGAAGGCCCCCCATGAGTGTCCACTAAAGTCAGGCAGCGAGCCAGTAGACAGAGACGTTCAACACACCATCAACCCATGGCGCCCACATTGTCCGGGTGCTCACTGAGTGAGAACGGCGCTAGGGAGCGGTAACTGTGGGCCCACCTTCCCCCATTGCACCCATTGCTACCTGGATCGACCAAACCCCGCCAGTAGCAGCTGATTGCCGCTTGCTGCTCCCTCTGGCCCGTCTTGTCACATCGAGCCATTCTACGAACTCTCGCCGCTCCTCCTTGCCAAACTTCCTCACTTCCTCTCTGCATCGCCGAGGTTGCAGATTCGTTCCAATTTCACTTTTCAACTTTTCGCTCGCAACAGCTCGTCAACCTACAGCTTACATGCGGGCAGTACATCGCGCAGTCTCCCCCGTTACTTCTTCCTTGTGTAAGTCTTCCGACTCGTTCACGTGCGCTTGGTGGCCAATGCTGGCTGCCGCAGTCGGTCGGCTGCCTTTTGCTTTCAAGGACCTGTGCTACACCCGTGGCTGCTTCTCGAGTACTTCGATCTTCATCTTGCTAACCTCCAGAAACACAGACACAGGAGCATGGTAAAGACATAAGCCCGACGCCATCATCATGCTCACGACCCTTTCTCGCGCCTCGCCTCGCGCGGGCGGTCTGCATGCCGGTAGGGCCTCTGCAATCAAAGCTCTGGTCCCATCGATCCCAGCACCCACGAAAGCGAGTCACTATGGCCAGACTCGAAGCTTCCGCTTCGGCGCGTGGTCGTCATACTTGGACCCCGAGTTCCAACGTCAGCTGCGAAGCCGTCAGCGCATTATCAAATACAAGTACATGGAGTCGATCAATCGCAAGCTGTCCTGGGATCCAAACTCGCGTGCCGAAGATTCAAAAATCGTGATGAAAAAGATGATGGCACAGTGCTGGGCCAGACACGGCCATACCCGCTCGAATGGAAGATACGTGCGAGAGGACGATGTGAAGAAGAGTGGATCGAACGATACCCCGGGATCCCGGCCTGGCCAGAACATTGAGGACGTTGAGCGCAGCGCCATCAATTCTCTCTTCACAGGCAAGCGTGCTGGGCCATACGAGTATGATTTGTGGCAGTCTCCTCTGCAAAATATCCGCAACTATCTCGGTAGCCAGACCAGAAGCAAGTCGACGGCCTCCATCGGCCGGGATGTCCCCTCTGAGATCGACCCCATAACAAACCGAAGGATTCATTCATCGCATGCACCCCAGTCCGTTTTTGACAATTCATCAGAGAAGGACAGTCAAGAGCCCTTCTTCCCAGACGGGGTTCCACCCGCCGACGAGCTCAAGGAATATGGCAATGTCACGATTGACAAAGCCCCATGGGCCGACGCCGGGGCCACCAGTGGAGTTGCGGAGACCCCGCAATATGCGGATCTCGACAAATACAAGCCAGTCATGGACGACAAGCTCGATGCTCACCAGCTTTCCGAGGAACCGAAATACGACGACCTGGGGAAGTACAAGCCGGTGGGTCTCAACGACATTCTGGCAGAGTCGGGCCCCGTACCCAGATATGAGGATCTCGGCAAGTATGCCAACCCGCTGCTCAGCGGGCGCGCGCCGGCAGAGCTCTCTCATCCAGCGTATGGGGACCTCGACCAGTACCGCCCGGTTATGCACAATGAAAATGCAGAAATCCCGGAGGCGCACGAACAGTACTCAGACCTGGACAAATATGGTCCAATCATGCACAATGAGAAGGACGTCCTAGAAGAGACGCAGTCCTATGATGACCTCCATAGGTACGGACCGAGCGGCTTCAACGAACCTGAAGGCCTGCCCCCTCGTACTGCTGAGGAGAAGTCAAAGGATTACGACGACCTCCACAAATACGGCCCGCAGTCTTACAACGAGCCTTTTGGATTGCGCCCGACACATCCTGAAGAGGCCTCTAAGATATACACGGACCTGGACAAATATGGCCCTATGGCATGGAATGAGCCTCATGGCCAGGGTCCCATTCACCCTGAACTGGCATCCAAGGCATACACAGACCTTGATGAATACAATCCCATTGGTTGGAATGAGCCGCATGGGAAGCCGCCGATGCACCCAGAGGAGGCCTCAAAGCAGTACAAGGACCTTGGAACATACTCCAAGGAATTCAACAGAGCTGGTGCGCCGCCCCCAGAGGGAGTGGTTGCCGCGGTTGAGCCTGCAGATGCGGCAAAGCATCAGCCTGTCCAGTACGACGAGCCCGAGAACCAACGACCGAAGCCGGACTGGGACCAAACAACCTTCGACGAGGCCAAGAAGTACCAATCTTACCGCTACAACGAGCCTGATGGCCAGCCTACCGAGGTCGTCGACCCTGTGTCCAGAGGTCTGAGTGACTTTGATGAGGAAATCGCCGCCAAGGCGAACAGACGTGTTGCGTACACTCGGGCAACAGAGCAGGAGAGGGCTGACGATTTGGATTTACTTCGCGCTACCGACGTTCGAGCTAAGATCCCGACGTCTTCTGGCCAGTCTCGAAGGGAGTATAGCACAACGAACAGACAGATGCTCGAGGCCGACCTTCCCCGATATGAAGCGAATTGGGATATCTCAAGCAAAGCTGCTCGCGTTACTTTACAGAAGTCGAGAAGCAAGGTCTGGGATCACGTTCCAGCCGAGGCAGAGAAGGCGGGGTTCACTGGCAATTATGTCAGAGACTTTCCCGAGGACTTTTCCCGGTCCTGGAACAACATTGTGGCAGCTGCGGAGAGCCAGGAAGAGAACAGCAAAAGCCAAACTGTCAACCAGGACGAGGTTGAAGTCGCCTCTTTCGATGAAAGTTTTCCGAGGTTGGAGCCAGCTCTGGACCGGTCGTCTGCTTTTAGATCCACCCAGCTTCTGGGAAAGAAGGGCCAATCCGACTCTTACTCGAAAGAACCGCAAGGCCTCGAACTAAGCTACTCTGAGGAGTGCGGCGGCAAGCAAACCTGGCCCGCTTACGTGCGATCATACGGTACAGTGACCGATGCTTCGGCCAATGCCGGATCCTCGGCGCATGATGCCATTTCCGCCGCCAAGAACGAGGGCGTGGTGTCTTCGACCACGGCCGAAGTGGTTCGCGAGCCAACCATCTACAAAATCCTCGCGTACGACCCTACCATGCAAGCCATCAACACGGCAGAGACAACGTCTGTTGTTCCCGACAGCGCCACGCCACTGACTCCGGCCGAGGTTCTTCTCCGCTTGTCAAACCCGACCAAGTTCTTCCCTTACTTTAGCACCCTACAGAGAGAAGGATACGAGATCGTATCCGGAAGTGGAGATGTCCTGGTTTTCCGCAAGGTCCGCGAGGCAGAGACGGCAACCAAAGGGAAGACGACTGCTCCCTTCGCCCCTGCAATCGAAAAGCCCACGACCTACCAGGCGCCAAAGGTGAACCCCATCGACATGATGGGGAGCGACCCCGTAGTACCAAGCGCTTACTCTTCCAGTCCTACAGGCTACCTCAACTATGATTACCCCGGAGCGGAGACAACAGAAAAGCCCCCGCCCCCATTCAGCCCGTTAAGGAGACGGAACACGATTTCCTGCGATAGTCAGGATTTCGAGCCTCGTCGACCGCCGAAACGCAGCAGGGCCAAGAAAATTGTTCTTGGTGCTGCCTGGGTGGGCGGGATTTCTTATGCGATTGGTGTAGTTGGAGAGTACTTCACGACCGGGGGCAGCGACGGCAAAGGCCCTAAAGGCTTGTGAGGAGATGCCATGATTGTTTTTTTCGGGTTTGTTTATGGGGGTTCGTCGGGTCAGGATGGGATATATACCTTATCGGTTGTAAGATTCGGCAATGTCACGAGCATGCCAGACTTCTTTTTACCTGTACCAATAGTAGTCTCAATGATGCATTGGTTCTCTTCTCCAGTCAACATTTCAAGCGCGGTGCGTTTGTACACTATAAGGTGAAGACCCGTATGATGATTAGAAACCAGCAACGTAGGAACGAGTTTGATATGAATTGATGCTGTTGACTACGAGAGTACAAGTGTGCTTGTCGTTAGAAAGCAAATTTTGAACGCCATGCCTTTCCTCCATCAAACTTGCGAATCCGCCATCCACTCGTCCAGCCAAGGCACAGGCCGCGTCAAGCAGTTCCGTCCGCACTGGCCCATCCTTCCTTTGGTTCCAGAACTTAAAAATTACCCGTATAATTCACTACTCGCGATGACTGTAGCCGAGCACACGACAAATTGCGGCTCCCTCAAGGGGTCGTCCTCTAGGCACGCTCGGTGAAGCCAGGCCCGGTCTTGACGTCGTCAATGTGGCTCATCTGCAGCTCGCGCTTCTGGTCCTCCTTGTTCCAGCTCTGGCGGCGCTCGAACGAAGGCTTCCAGCTGTTTGTGCGCTCAACGATCTGGGGCGGTGCCGAGGTGGCGTGCGGGCTCGTGGTATAGTTTGATGTGTCGGGGGTGGCCTGGGGCTGCGCGGTGCGGGGAGTCTGTTCGGATGCCATGTTGGTCTGTTGGTGATGATATGGTGCTTGTGGCTGGTTGGGTTTGGCTTCTGTCAATGGCTTCCCTGGTTTGGATGCGTTTGTTTGCTGTTTGTTTTGGGCAAGGACGTCGAGGATGGTGGGAGGAGTTGATGTGTTTATACCCAAGAGATTGGAATGTAGGTTTTATTACCACACGATGGACAGGTGATTTGGTGTAGAGTGACCAGACGAGGGAATGCAGGATGAGGGGGGATCTTCCAACCTTTTTAAACTTTCCGCAGCACACCCGATATGAAGGCGTCCATTCCTCTGAGGTCTTGTGTATTTTCAGGGTCCAATGCACCTGCGAGGCCTACCAAGCAAATTCGTTCACACCACCACCTACTCCTTCCGGACCCGACACCACTCCCCCACGACGATCGGTCTCGTCTTTTTTGGTGCAGCAACACCCGGCACCAGCACACTAACGAGATGCTAGAAAAGTGAAAGCAAGCCAGCCACGCCATCCCTACCCGTATCGTCCCGTTCTTGGTAGCCTTTTCTTACCCTAAACTCCTGCAAGAGGGCACACCCCGAGCCACCTGCGCTGGGCAAAGATTCGACGAGGCCCTTTCTCTTGGACGCGATTGACGCAGCAGCGTGGTACCGTACAAACGCATCGGACGACGATCACCTCAGCGGTATAGCATCATAGCTCGTTTGCCTCCGCTGCGCGATGGATGGAGGGGGCGGGTGTCGCCACCTCCATCAAGGCATCGGGTTCGGTGCTACGCCTGCGCGCCAACTTACACACCACTACCACCACCACCCCCGGTCATGAAGGGGAGAAAGTTTCAAGCATATGCTCTCCCCGATATCATTTCGCAGGTCTCGTCGAAAGATGAGCGAGCAGAGATACAGGCTCCGGCCGCTCGTTCCAGAGGCCGGCCTTGACAGCTCCGTCATCTAGGTAGGAAGAGGAGGGGCGCCGTCATGCAGTGTTACACTATGCGGCGCGTATCACCTTGTCCGTTTGTTCTGGGAAAGGTGAGAGGAACGAACGGGGAGGCGAAACAAAAACATTGAGTAAAGCCTCCCGCATGCCGATACTGCAGGCCACCACCGTCATTGCGGGGTAAATGGTCGAGGCCCGCCGACCACCGGGGAGGGAGGTTTTTAGCTTATCGGACGTTATCGGCATGGCGTGGTCCGTGCTGGTGGTGGGTAGGTGCATGGACCCACAGGAGCTCAGGAGGCGCGACGACCTCTGCCTTCCATGCGAGGCTGGCACCCTCGTGATCGTGACAGCTGCCTTTGTTGTTTGGTCCACGACTTTGAGTCGGCTTGATGATACTGTCAAGACCTTCATCTTCCATCGGGGGTTTCTTAAACCGCAAGATTATCAGGTCGCGAAAACAAAAGAATATAACACCCGAGGCAGAACTGAAGCTAGGTTCGTCGCTTAGCTAAGAAGCCTGTGGTGAACACAACACTACAAGAGAATTCACTTGAGTCTATCTGGGTTTAAACGTATTGAACGGGCTGGCTGGGCCTGGGGACTAACGCGTGTGGACCCTTTTCATGTACGTGCCAGAGCCACCGTATACAGTAGTCAGACCGGGCAAGAATCCAGATCTTATAGCTAGTTGGGATAGGTGTCGTTGGAATCGTTGTTGTCTTTAGAGATCGACCTGTAAATCGTACCATAGCCTCATCAACTGTAAGATCAGAACCACTTGTGTAGACCTGGATGTGGGCTGACCACTGGTTAGCCTTTCGGTATACATCCGACATTTGATCTTGGCCCCGGCCCCGCTTAGGCTGTCTGGGCTGGAATTCGGCAGTGTTGAATAATCGCAGTCGCTGGAGTAGTAGTTGGAAACGGCCCCGGGATATAAACCACGCAATAGGTGGGTAGGATCCTCCTTTGGCTGCTGGGTTGACCAGTAGGTTGATGGTCTAGATTCCCTATGGATCCCTATATATGATAGGATCCCTAAGAAGAGGAAGACTTCGGCTGTTGAAGTCTTCCTCCACTTATATACTGTAGACGTTCTAGCCTGGGGCCCTCCCTGAATAACGGCGCCGCATTCGTCCACTGGGTCCACTGCTCCACGAGGCCCTGCGGAACGTATTAGACCAATACAGTAGATCAAGCGGGCTTGCCGGCATCCCCCGTATCTCTTGGGCCCGGGCCGGCTCGTCAAAGGCTTGGAAGGTGCCTGGAGGTCCACGCTCGGTAGCCAGAGGTTCGTGGGGCCATACTGTTGCCGCGTCACAGTGCTCTAGCGTACAGTCTGCATTGCAGGCAGCAGTAAGGTCTTCTGGAAGGATCCCAACTACTATAAAGCTGCGTACAGAGGCATCAGAAGCATCAGAATCGCTAGAAAACATCGCAGCATCAATCAAAATCGCAGTGATAGTGGCGGTAACAGTTGAAAGATGATAGGGATAAATGTCGTGTCGTCAAGTACCCCTTTGAATGCGGAGTAAAAGTGGGTTTAAGTAGTGAGTATTCTAAGACTTGGCAAAAATGGGATCAGTCAGCACCCGATGGGATAGCTGGACGCCCTGGGCATAAGGTCGCTACCTGCACACCAGGTCTCCTTTTAGACCCTCGTAGCCGCAGCTTGAAAGTCGAGTTAGGATGACATGCACAAGGATATCCAGAAGATACTGTTTAGTACGTGGTACCTCTTTCTATCCTCACTCACCCTTATACAGCCCTCAATTCCCTTTCCACGACTACTACCCCTATCCGCCCCCTTTTTCGCCATCAGCTAAGTGCTCACACTAAGGCGCATAGGTTTATGTCCTATTGTGTCATAGACGAGCTCAGTGTTTACTGAAAAGGAAATATAACAGAACTCGTCAGTTGTCTAGTCATCGCTTTCGATAGAGGCGCTAGGTCTCATGGTTTTGCCACGGAGCTGTTGTGTACGACTAGGCCAAACTCGAGCATATTGGATGCATGGAGCCGAACACCGAGAACAAGGCTCTGTTATCACTTAAAGGATATTGGGACCTTTGCCCGCCCAGGGGTCGAGTTGAATATGAATAGTCGAACCGTGGACACCATAAATGCAAGCGTATGTATTTGGAGGATGCAACCACGTTCTCATTGGCTCTGGGTAGAATATCTTGAGGCATTTTCCAGCAATGGACATGATTAACTCCATTATGCCCTCGGTGCGAGTCCGCAGCTGATGGGATAGATGATTGGGTGGGTAACGTCGCAAGGGAGAAGGGATGTGGATTAATAACACATTGTCTCAAGGGTCGGTGATACTCGTACGAGTCATAGGAACGATCACGTCAAAGTGGTGATGTTGCTGGTTATTGCATTAGGTATGAAGATGGGAGATCTAACTGCGCGGTCAGCAGCAAGGTGAAGTGGGATATGCCCCTTGTTGTGGCCAAGAGGGGTTGGCCCCTCCTTGCAGGGTGTGGCTAACCGGGCTGTGCTCCTATATATATGATGCCTTCGATTCCCCTTCTCCAACAGTATGTAAGGGTAGCTACGAGGGGAATCGGTGGAGATTAGAGTGCCATCGGTTGTGTCTTATATCACTGGCACTGACTGAAGGGGGTATGTAACCGTCCGTGCCGTTCCGACCCGATTCCCTGATCCATCCCATTCCACCTAAATCTTTAGTTTCATCGCGTTGCCTCAATATGCATGGTTTTAGATCTCCTGAGACGTGGCTTTTAACGTGGCTATAAGCTTGAATCAGAACCTGAACAACTTTACAGCAAGTTCTACAGGAATGACAGCAGGTTTTCACAGGAATTCTTGTTAATCTTAATACCCCTATAGCTTCCGTACTCCCCCTAGATAACAATGGCTCTTATCTACATTGCCGCTATTAGAAGTACTGTAGTTATCATGGTAGTTTTTTTACATCGGCCTCTAACAACATAAGTAGGGAAACATAGGGGATCATGTGAGGTCGCTTACACTATGTGAAATGTTTCACATCGTAACAGAGGCTGCCCCAGGGGGCTTATGGCACTTGATGGGATAGGGGCGGGTTGAACCAAGAACCTTTGGGCTGTGTGCACATATCTACCACGTTAGATATCCTGATTTTGATTGGTGAAGATGTGCTTGAGCTCCTTATATCCCTTGCAATAGCATTAGAGCAGCCCTTGTTACGATGTGAAGAATTCTACATGATGTGAAGCATTTGGCATGGGGTAAGTAATTTTACATGGTGTGGAGGGTATGGTATCGTGTTACCTCTGCTGGCAGGCCTCATATGGTAACAACGGCCCACACATAACCATTGTAGATTAATTGCAAATTCTGTCTAGGGGCTTTCTTGTACTTATATATCTATTCTGCCTAGCCGCCAGTTTCTCGCCGATTGAGCTGGAGCAGGTTAATTCCCAATCTTTCCAACTGCGAACATGAAAAGGAGAATCTCTTTTTTGACGCTCCTGGTAGGATTCGGCGGAACTGTTGTTGTTCAGCCGCCTGACGATATCAATGGGCTGGCATCAACTTGGTGCTACACATATCTTTCGACCTATCTGGAGCCCATGACAATTGGCCCTGCCAGTCCATCTCCAACCGACTTGTCTGTCAACTCAATTTCTTCCGCCAACGGATCTACTTTGGCACCTTCAACCCTTCGCACCCTTGTTACATCACTTTCTTCAATAGGTGGCTCAAGAGCAACACCTTCGGGGTCAACAACAGCTTTTGGGTCCACGACGGCTTCTGAGTCAACTACAATCTTGGGGTCCACTTCCACTTTGGGTTCTACTGCATCTTCGGGGTCTGCTACACCTTTGGGACCCAGCACCTCTTCGTCGTTAGCTTTGCCTCCCATTCTGAGATCATCACTCACGACAGAATCGGCCTCAACGCCCACTCCCAGCGTCCCAGTGGATCGGCAGATCATATTCTTTATATTCCCTGGTAGAGTCACCAAGCGGGATTTAGAGAAGAGGGATATTGGAGGATTTCTCAACCAGGACGTAGCTGCAGACCGCCAAAGCTGCGATGCTGCTACTGTCTTTAGCCTGTCCTCAAATCGGCTTCTTGACGCAGGGAATCCTGTCCACTACACACCTGGCGACAACTACAAAGCCCTTCGCACGACAACTTTACCTTCAGTCGACGCTGTCACTACTACGTTTGAAATTGTAGGAGGCACACTTCAGTTTTTAAACTCGTCCCTGCCAGGTGGACGAGCCAACTTCTGCCAAGACCCTCGAGGGCAAGTCTACATTACTTTCACATCTACGCCAGTGGATTGTGAACTTGTCCAAATTCTAGCCTATGGAGGTAAGATACACCTGTCCTTATAATCGTCTGCTTGCCATGTGTTGACGTGTAATACTTTTGGTCAGCCGAGCAATGCGTGAACGGAAAAATCGTTGGTGCTACTGTGCCTACATTGCCAGTCGCGCAAACAAGCCAACCCTCGTTCAGCCTCGGGTCTCGGTCCAGTCAGACCAGTAATCCTGTCAGCGTACAGACAGCACAGTCACCTGAAGCACCCAACATACAACTTCCAGCTGGCTCAACACCTTTGACCTATTTTACCAACTCAACCTCCACAAGCTCTGCCTCAACTCCGACTACAACCACAACTAAAACCACGACTGAGTCTACAACTACGTTTACAAGGATGTCTACAACGACGTCCACGACTGGGTCCACGACTAAGGCCACAACTGAGGTCACAAACACGAGTACAACCACACTGGAAACTGCGATTAAGTCCACAACCGAGATCACAACCGAACCCACGATTGAGTCTACGGCTTTGAGCGAGTCCACGACTTCGACTGAGTCCACAGCTTCAACTCAGTCCACGACTTCAACCAAGTCCACAGCTTCGACTGAGTCCACAGCTTCGACTCAGTCTATGACTTTGGCCGAGTCCACGACTTCGGCTGAGTCTTCAACTTCGGCCGAGTCTACGACCTCGACTAAGTCTACGACTTCAACCGAGTCCACATCTTCGACTCGGTCTACGACTTCGACTCAGTCTGCAACTTCCACTGAGTCTACGACTTCGGCTGAGTCCACGACTTCGACTGAGTCCACAGCTTCGACTCAGTCTACGACTACGAGTGAGTCTACGACTTCGACCGAGTATACGACTACGAGTGAGTCTACGACTTCGACCGAGTATACGACTACGAGTGAGCCCACGACCTCAACCGAGTCCACGACTTCGACTGAGTCTACAACCACAACAACCACAACAACAACAACCACCAGTACCTCTGCAGCGCCCAGCTGCACGCCCCCTCTCATATCATTCGCGGCCTGTGCAACGCTGTCTGATCCATATACGCAAGAGTACAATTACGACATCGACTGCGGTAAAAGTAGCATTCCGGGTCCGGATGTTCCGTTCTACTTCAATGATGTTGTCGCGTCTTTGGATGCTTGTGTTGCCATTTGTGATGCAAATAATTACTGTGGTGTCTGGAATTTCTTTAATGATGGGAGATGCCAGACATTTAACTTCCGTAGTGGGCTGTTAGATGATTGTAATGCCTACGTCACGGGTCAATATCAACCTTAGACTCTCTATGTAATACTGCTAGGTAGTATTAGCCGACTTTCAGTTAGAATTTTGTTTCGTCATGATAATGGAGATAGGTTACTGCTGATGTATCTACAAGCGACTTGGAAGCAAAAGCAAATACAAGACTTTCCTAGCTACCGGAATAAATAAAAGACACTACGAGCAGGTAGAGGTACCCTGTGTAGCGCGTGGCTGGGACTGGTTATTTTAGACAATGTCTGAATGTATAAAGGCAGCTAGTTATACAAAAAGCTCAAGTTTTTATATACAACGTGGTTGATAAATGAGCGGTCCAAACAAGCAAGTGGCCCACCCGACCGCAACCATCTCTCCTTCGCACTTTCTGTCACCCGCCATTGTGAGCTCCATAGGCCACAACTGCTGACACGTGAGATAGAAGGTCGAGGTCCCCCCCCGGCCGTCCGACCACCGGGGAGGTTTTTAGCTTATCGGACGTTATCGGCATGGCGTGGTCCGTGCGGATGGTGGGTATGGACCCACAGGAGCTCCGGGGCGCGATGACCTCTGGCTTGCGAGGTTGGCACCCTCGTGATCGTGACATCTGCCTTTGTCGTTTGTTCTACAACGTTTGAGTCTGCTTAATTATACAGTAAAGACAAGGAACTCGATGTTTTGAACCGGGTAGAGTAACCAATATGCGAAAAGAAAAGAATAAAACACCCGAGGCGGAACTGGAGCCAGGTTCGTCGCTTGGTCGGCACGACTTAGACGCGCAGGGATGAGCGCGACAGCTGCAGGGCCGTTACGTGAACCTCATCCCGAAGGATCTCCAGACCGACAGCACTGCAAACTTTTAGGAGATCGGTAGTTGACACACATGCAATCTCGCATAACACAGCACGAACACCGGAATCTGTCCGTGTCACATGAAAGAACATTCATCTTATTCACCAGTCCCTCTGATGCTAGCGCGGCCGTCGACTTTTCTAAACCCTCACCCCTCCATACCATCCAACGTCATCATTGCATTCCTGTGTTGACCAACCGATCGACCACCGCCCCGCCTCATTCGTTTCATGTTCCATCTTTCATTTCCCTTCCAACGCATCAAATCAAAGACGAACAAGACGAGAAAATCAACAAAAGCAAGCACACTCCTCGCTCCAAATCGTTACCTGGATTGTTCGGGGAATGACATGTATCTCATCCAGCAGTGGGGTTGTAGGCGTAGGTGCGTTGTGGGAATCGTTGGGATAAAAACTAAGAGGGCCCCCCAGAGGTATAAAAAGGTGTAATCGTACAATAGTGATACGAGAGTAAAAAAGAAAAGAAAAATCAAAAACAGGGGGGAAAAACGCCTTGCGCTATGCAGCCGGTAAGACACAAGTGCTTTTTGCCCAATGGTTGTTTTAGGAGCCAAGGTATAGACAGTAGGAGGGGTTGGGTTGTGAGATAAGCTTGGAGGCCACGCTCTGCATTTTGCATGTGCATGGCATCAGCTCAGCTCAGCGCGAGCAAGGCAAGGGCGTAGAAGCAGAAACATGGCATGAGAGCCAGAGCAATTTGGTTCAAGGCGTGCGCGGGCGTTTCCAGTAGTATTGCTAAGCAGCAAATGTTAGTTCCAACTTCCTCAAAACAACCCCTCAGCCCAGCGTAGCTCACCTTGTGCTGCTTTCGACACGCCCTCAAACTGGGCTTGCGCAGTCCGTCGGTCACGGCGAGACGGCGTTGGTCGTCATCATCGGCCTCGGGGACGTAGTAGTACTCGCTCTCGAGGGCTTTGCCGGCGGCGTCCTTGCCTTGGCGGTGGATGATGCCAATGCACGCCGTGGCCTCAATCAAGCTTCGGAGCTGGTCCTTGGTCAAGCCTTTCTTTTCCTCGTACGGCAAGTTGTTCATGATGGTCGACAGCGGGTTGGACGACAGGCGGGAGAAGGCGAGCTGGTTGACAACGTGGTTGCGCACGGCGGGGTTCTCGTAAGGGGGCGCCGCCTTCTTCAGTTCCTCCTCCTCATCCTCGTCTTCACGCTTGGGCGACTTGGGCGGGGCAGAGATGGGACTGGAAGGGTTGGAGGCATTGGCCTCGTCGTGGATCGTGGACAGACCTGAGCGCTTGAACGACGGGAACTTGGGAGAGGCGGTGGTGATTGAGGCCAGGCGGTTGGAGATGTCTGCGCCGAAGGGCCCAAAAGAGTGGACGATGGGGTCGTTCTCCTCGTCCGGATTGTTCTCGTCCTCGGGCTCACTGAGCTCGGACGAGAACGAGTTGGTGGCATCTGTGGCGAAGCTCTGGCCGACAATGGTGCCAGAGTCGGCCAGCTTGGGCAGCTCGGGTTCATCTGCGTTGGAGTCCTCATAGATGTGGACCTCTCCATCGTCAGTGGGAAGAAGGGCCTGGAGCCTTTGCGAGCTGGACAAGTGCGCCAGCGTCGGTGATTCCGGGGACTCGATACGCGAGGGGCGGCGCAGGGGGCTTGACTGGAGGAGGTCGGCAGCAGCACGGGCGGCGGACCGGGGCGGCGAGTCACCCCAGGCCGAGTCATCGGGGCTTGCGAGACGATCACGGCGGTCCCTCTTGGGCCATTGGATCATGACACGTGCATCCTGGACGTCAAGCATGATTTCGGTCCCTTCCGTCTCCGACGTGAACGAATCACCCTTGAGGAGCTCCCACGTCCGACCCTGGCAGTGAAGCTTCAGTCCGTTCCAGCCATTGCAGATGATCTCAATCTTGTTCGGCTCCAATGCCGAGGGCGCGGGCACGTATCGCGCCTTGACGTGGACACGGGACACAAGACGGTTGGCGGACAGCTGGTAGTGGGATGAGTTGCTGGAACGGCCCATGAGTAGAGTCTCGCCATTGTTGTTCAATTCGATGGAGGCGACGGCGCTGAGGGGAGTGCGTTCGGAGGCGGAGGAGACGGCTCGTGAGGGACCGCCGGGTCTTGTGTGGACGCGGGGTGGAGAAGACGAGAGGATGCCGGTGCTCGAGGTCGGGATTGGCGTGGGATACTTCAGGTACGCATTGCTTCCTCCCACGGAACCGGGTCGGGCTTGTCGTTTGGAGGGTCGAGGGAAGCCCGGCGAGGAAGAGAGCGGTTCGAATGGCGGCAGGAGACTCGGGGCCGAACGTTTGGTGCCAGCCAGAGGAAGCGTGGGTTCTTGCATCTTGGATTGGGGAGACGAGTCCATCATTGCAGCGACGGCGGCATGCCCAGACAGCAGGATGTTGAAGGAAACCCCCAAAGTGATACCAGCCGTTGAACAAAGAGTTGCTCCTGGTGATGTCCTTCTTTAATCTTTTTCTTATTCTTTTTTTCTTGGTTCCTTTCCACCGCGTTGCGAACTTGGCGCGTTTTTTTTCTTTTCTCGGCGCGGGTGTTGCTTGTACTGTCGGACGTGGGACGTTGGCGTCGTGCGGGTAAGCGTGTAAGTGGCTCTTTCTGGCAAGGGGGGCCACGAATGGTGATGGGATATACAATGGTAGAGGAGGAGAGGATATAAGAAGGAGAGAGAGGCTTTCAACAAAGGATCAATCTGTTGAAGAAGGGTCTGCAAGATCCAAGGCTACCAAAGGGAAGGGCGAGAGGAAAAAAGAGCCAAAGTGGTTGCAGGTCTGATGGGAGGAGGCCCGGAGGTGCGGCCCTGGACCTTTTTGAGGGGCCCTGCCAAAAAAGCGAAGCGTGTCTCTCGCGCGTCCACGTCCCTCCGCGTAGTTGGCGCGCGCCCAGTCTGGTGATTGGTGTCGAGGAATTGTGCTGTGCATCGACCCGGCACCTGGGACCTTGTGCTTGGGTGGGGTTGGCGGTCGCGTGCCCGCTGACGCTAGACGGCCTACAGCGGGCTTGTGGCCGACCACAGCGGGTAGCCGCGCTAGAGCCGACCGTGTTTCCAGGCCTTGGCCGCTGGACGCGGGCCATTGTCTGGGCTACCACGGGCACGTCAACCGCTAATCGTTGAGTTTAAATTGCCCGTTGTCTCCCTAAAAAGAAAAGAGCCATCATGACGTGGATAGCTCTCCCTTCACTTGCAACCCTCTATCTCTGCATTTCCCGTCTTCTTGTCGTTTTCTCCAAGTGATGCAACCAAATCTGTTGCTTCTGGCCGTCCTCCGTAGACCGCCTTTTGACACCTCCAGCCATCTCGTGCAAAACCTGCAGTCTTCTGGCCGCACAATGGTCATTGTGCCCCTCATCGACGTCGAGTCTCCCCGATCCAGCCTCCCCGAAATCACGTCTCGGTCTCCACCAACTACGAATACACACGAGCGAGAGAGAGAGAGAGAGAGAGAGAGAGAAAAACCAAGACTCGCCAGTCCCACTTCCGGTGCGCGTCTCTCTTACATACACCACACGCACGCACGCACGCACGCACGTACACTACACGCTCTTTGCCCAATGAGCCGATGGTCAGCATTCAATCCTTCTTCCTTGGGTACTTTTACCGATACGTAAGGGGGGGACCCATCCGTCCAACGGCGAAGAGCGCTGAAGAACGCAATTAACCGCCGCCGCGGACGGACAACCAGACACGCACTAAGAGAGCCCACCCGCCCAACCATCCACCCATTCAACCCCCGGCAAGCCAAAGCCTGGCCGGAAGGTGAAAGTCACTTGCTGCAAGAGCGTGTCAACTGTCAAGAGAACAGAACTTTGCAATTTAAGTTACTGGCACGTTGCATACCTACCTAGGTAGCTGAGTACTGCGCATTCGACCCGTGCATTCCATAACTGCCTGTTCCCTGATATTTTTGCCCATCCCTGTGACTGACACCCCAGATCGCGATATTGGACCGGTTCTCGTCCAACCCGACCCCGAACTCATTGGTTCCGAGCGCGGCCTTGCCCTTCCACTGGCCTATCTGCCTTCCCTTTCCTGCCACGAGCATGTCTGCTTCCACCTATTCTACTGTCTTGTGAGACCGAGCCCGCCCCACGCAAAAGCCGACCCAATGTTCAAAACGGGAAAAAAACAGGCGCCCCTCGTTCCAGGCTGACATGTAATGCAGACTGAAGGGGGTTGAAACGAGCCACCTCGAACCGTGTTTGCTCGCGTAAAGTGCCAATACCTGGGATCCCTTGACTGATGATATAACCACCTGCATACAGCGCCCTACTCTTCCCCCATCAAGACTTCGTTACAGTGGTCCCTCATTTCTTGCTCACGCACTTCCTTGCCTTATTGTACAAGCAGGTTCCAACGCGTCCTGTGCGAAGCTGACTAGCCATGGGGGAAATGAGTCGTCCAGACACACCCGATCCGTGCTGAGCCCCGTCCTCCGAACCGTCCATCACCGCGTCCACCCCGCATCACTAACGCAGGTCGCGCTCTCCAGTCTCTCTCACATACACGAGACCCGCTGAGGCTTTTGGCAGACGATGGTCCCGGCGTTCCCAATTGGACTGAAAAATCTCGCTGGCATGTGCATTAGGCGCAGAGGCAGTCTGGCCCACAGCCCATGTTGCCCACACTTTCAGAGTCTCGCAGATGTGCTGAGGCCCCGTTTTCAGACTGAGACACTGCTACTACACAACTACCCGTGTGTCAAGACCAATTGATTCAACATCCGTCTGTGACCAGCCTTGCTTGATATGCAAAGGCTTTTTCAGACAAGTTGCGTTTGCAATGGGAAGAGTCACAAAGATGCAGTCTGAATGCGCCTCTTGGTTTTGGAACGTTGGAGCTGGCTGATTGGCGTACTGGCTTCTGCGCTTCAAGACGCGGTATCAAAACCACTAAACGCGTCAAGACGAGCAAATTTCACGCGTGCAGCTCGGAATGGATTTGATGTCGGCAGAGTTCTCAGTACTCTGAAAAGTCCCCTGGCCCGAAGACGCTCGCCAACCACTGTAGTGGGCAGCTGTGACGGTTTACCGAAATCTACGCGAAGCCCACCGGCGCGAGGGCTGCGGTTAAAGACCGGCCCTCACCGAAGCCTTCACCTCGGTGAGCGGGATGCACGGGCCCATCGGCACCGGCGCTCTGGATCCGCCGACAGGACGTGATCCCTGCACCAAAAAATTTCTGGACGACGGTCTAAAGATTCTGGTCCCCCCCACCATATCTCTGTACCGGCAGAGATTGTATATTCCGAAATTTACAGCCAGAACACCAGACGAGCCTTCCACCCGTCAACCGTAGTCATGGCCCCTCAAAGACCGTCGCCGTCGCATCCAAGGATGTCGGCCCCTCAATTGATCCCGAACAGGTAAATTCCCAACCCGCTTCTGTCGCAGTTTGCCGCTTCGCGCAAACCGTCCAAGACCGCCCGCTAACATGCGAAATCCGCAGACCCTGAAGGCCTCCAAGGCCCTCCTGGCTCACATCAAGAAGGCCGCCAAGGAAAAGTCCGAAGAATCCGGCAAGAAGAACCTGCTCGCCGACCCCGACGATGAGGAGGGCAACGTCGCCCAGCAGCCCATCTGGCTGACCCTCACGACGAAGCGCCACATCGCCGACAGCGCCCGCCTCAAGCCCGGCAAGATCACCCTTCCTCACCCGCTCAACACGGACGAGGAGTCGACGATATGCCTCATCACCGCCGACCCCCAGCGCGCCTACAAGAACATTGTCGCCTCGGACGAGTTCCCCGAGGCCCTGCGCAAGCGCATCACCCGCGTCGTCGACCTCGGCAAGCTCAAGTCCAAGTTCAAGCAGTACGAGGCCCAGCGCAAGCTCTTCGCCGAGCACGACATCTTCCTCGCCGACGACCGCATCGTCAGCCGCCTGCCCAAGGCCCTCGGCAAGACCTTTTACAAGACCACCGCCAAGAGGCCCATCCCCGTCATCCTCTCCGCCAAGGCCCCCCGCGGTGCCGACGGCAAGCGCGCGAAGCCCCAGGAGAAGACCCCGGCACCGTTAACGCCGGCACGCCGCAGGAGATCGCCGCCGAGATCGAGAAGGCCATCGGCGCCGCCCTCGTCAGCCTGACGCCCTCCACCAACACCGCCATCCGGATAGGCTACGCCGGCTTCTCGGCCGACCAAATCGCCGACAACGTCACGGCCGTCGTCAAGACGCTCATTGAGAAGTGGGTGCCGCAGAAGTGGCAGAACGTCAAGAGCATCTACATCAAGGGCCAGGAGACGGCCGCCCTGCCCGTGTGGCTGACGGACGAGCTCTGGCTGGAGCAGAAGGACATTGTCGCCGACGACAGCGAGCAGGCCAAGGCCATCAAGGAGAAGGCCAACGTCGGCAAGAAGCGCAAGTCGATCGGCGCCGCCGAGGGAGACGAGGAGGAGACCAGCAAGCCCACGCCCAAGAAGGCCAAGAAGGCCGCCAAGGAGGCGCAGAAGGCGCTGCCCGAGAGCAACGACGACGCTCTCAACAAGCAGATTGCCGAGCGCAAGGACAAGCTGAAGAAGCAGAAGGCCAAGGCCAAGGCTGCTCTGGACAACTAGACTCTGTGCGCCATGCTTCCAAAGACTCACTGACAGAAAAGATGGACGGTTTTACGTGCGGGATTATACCATGCATGGTTTGCGGCGTACGGCGTTGGTTCAAACAAAAATTAACCATGGCAACTCAAGTGGCTAGGATTTGATCAATAGAAACTAGTAGTGTACAATTTTTGCCCATTTACTCCGCGTGTCCTGTTTGTCCCTCAACTTATCTTACCTCGTGATCCCGGTTTACAACTCCTCGCTGAGGAATTTGGGCTTCGCCTCGGCCTCGAAGTGCTTCTTGTAGGGGCCAAAGAACTCCTGGATGGTCTTGTTCAGGTTCTTCTGGGACAGCTCCATGTGGTCGCCGGGGATCTGGCGGAATCGGAGGCCGCCCTTGCGGTCCAGCTCCCTCAGGCCGATCCAGTCCTCCTTGTAGATGGATCTGGCGCGCAGCGGCAGGCTCTCGGTGCCGTTGACCTCCTCGAACCAGGCCGTCTCCTTGGGAATGACGGTGGTGTCGTCCTCGAACATGACCATGACAAAGTTGGTCAGGCTGGCGAGGTTCTTCTTGTACTGGACGTTCTTGAGCTCGCGCTCGTTGTTGATGTCGGCCAGGAAGTTGGACGACTCCAGGTACTTCTCGTACTGGTCGGGCTTGGGGTCACGGTAGTACTGCGCGGGCACGAGACGGTTCTGGACAAAGCCAGACCAGGTGTTGAAACGGAGCAGGGCCATGGCTCCCTTGCACAGCAGGTCGCCGTCGCCACAGGCCTTGAACTCGACGATGCCGTTGTGCTGGCTGCCGTAGGTGACAAGGGACCGCACGGGCGGGTTGTTGCAGCGCTCGACGTAGCCGCGGAGGAACTGTCCTCCCTGGGAGAAGCCGATGGCGTCGATGGCGGGTGCCGTGGAGAGGATCGGGTGCGCGGCGAGGGCCTCGCAGACCTGGTCAAGCTGCGTCGTCACGTTGCCGAAGAAGGTAGCGGTCCGGTCGCTGTTGGGGTCGGTGCCGATCTTGACGGTGTAGACAAAGGTGCCCGGGTTGATCTCCTCGGCCAGCTCGCCAATCTGCTTGATGCCATCGCCATCGTACGAGTCGCCGAGGCCGTGCCAGATGACCAGAGGGATGGGGTGGTCGTCGGAGGCATCGTCGGAGAGGGATCTCTGGGGGGTTGCGGCGGAGTATGCGACGGCGGCCAGGGAGCCGACTGTGAGCAGCTTGGAAACGGAGAGGGACTTCATTGCGTTCGTATTTGATTTCTTCTTGCCTAGACTATATCGATGCTGGAACTAATGGAGAGGTGGAAAAGCGAACCAGGTCCGGGGCTCTTTGATCTTGGTTGTCAAAGGGAAGCGGTTGTGGCGAGGGGAGCTGACGACACAAGGCACGAGCGCTAGAGGTGCGCGGTTGGGTGAGCTCTTTGGCTCTCTATCTTCTGATCACTCGAGCTTCCCATTGGCCACGGACAACGACGTGGGCTTGGGGGGGATGTTCCGAGGGGAGGCCGGCATCTTCAGCAGGAACAACAGTCTTGGTCCGTGCCATCAAAGTCACGAGATTCTGTGGCTAAGAAACGTTAGCGTCATAGAGCTCCAACCTCGATATCTTTCTAGCTTGGAGGTGTTCTCTCTGATCAGATGCCTTAGCTTTCTTGTCAACGTCCGCCAAAGTCTTGGAAGTCCGACTCCTCCTCTTAGGCCGGCGCCTAGAGCGGTGGCGATGCCCGGCAGACCTTCAAGTGTTGGTCAACCTCTGCAGACCTAGTGGGCTCTCAGACAGTTGGGTAGACCACTGGAACGACGTAGATGACTCGAGGAACCCACACCACAACAGCGGCCCGTCCGGCCATACACGCGCAGGCGTGTGGTGGCGGGTAAATGCCAGGTTGGCGGCATTCGCTGCCGTCTGAAACGCAAGTTGGCGGACCGATATACAACCAGACGATCCCCTGTTTCAAGCATCCCTCGCTAGCCTCCCAAGCCTTGCACTCAAGACGTATCAAGCATTACCTCGTATCCCACGGCTGACGACGCTGAGGACCGAAGGGTGCATGAATAGCCTTGTGGCTGGACGACGTTGATCGGCCGATCTTTTGGGGGCTCAGGCTCTGACGCCGTGTTTAATCGACCGTTGTTGCTGGATAGGTAAGGGATGATGAGAGTGGGCTGGTTCGCCCATAAGTATGGACGGCCACCACTTCCCGTATGACATATGAAACACGTCAAGTTACCAGTCGTAAGGATATCACTGCTGAGCTGTCAAGTTATCTAATCCGAGCATCCATCTCTCTTCGACCTTCTAGACGTTTGTTCTTTGCATTCGTTTCTATTTTCATCTTCGCCCCCGATTGCTACACACTAGTCTCCTACAAAACCCAACAGATCAAAATGCAGTTTTCCAAGATTCTCTCCGTCCTCTTTCCGGTTGCCGTCCTGGCTGCGCCGTTCCAGACCTTCAAGATCCCGACTATGGACCCCAACACCGTAGCGCCAGAGGTCCCGGCCATCAATCGACGAGTTCCTCAGACGCAGGACACTTGCGACGAGTAAAGAGGTTATGATGGAGCGGCACTGAGTGAGCGGGGCGGTCCAATAACATCTGCCCAACGTACCGCCAGTGAGAGGGGCAATAAATGTTGATCAGCTGCGGATTGCTACTCAGTGTTGCTATTCTGGCCTGTGACGTGGAAAAAAGGTACGTTGGTTTGATCTCAACCGCTACTCTCTCTTCCATCCACCTCACCTCTTGCCTGATGACTTGCATCCACTCAGCAATGTTTCAAGACGGGATTGAGTAATTACAATGAAACCACGCAACACTCTGATGTTCTTCTTTCAACACTTTGTTGTCTTTAGGACATGACGTCTGACACACTGCTAACCACTCTGACAGATGTCCCATTTCACAGGTTTGCACGCCCGTTTTAGACGGATGACCTTCGGGTGTGGGTCCCCGGTGTCCACGGAAGATGCAGCTCGGGCTCTGGATTCACTACCGCACACGCTTTGCTCGTCGCGTTGAAGAGGACGAAGACTCGGGTCCGTGGTCATCGTTAGCGGAAGGAACGGGAAATGGAACAACATTTGGGAAAGATCGATCTTATTGTACCTACCTTTGAAGGTAGCCAGCCAAACCTGCCTGGGAAATAGACGCAAAATCACTTCTACCTTGCCCTCTCTTCCTCCCACCCTTGATATGTCTTCGGCCTCTTGAGTTCTCCTTGAGCGACTCGTCTTCGCGGCTGCGGCGGTTTTGCACCGTTCATTTCCTTCTGAAGTTCAATTGTTGGGCTTACCTCCATCTCTACGACTTCAGCATCCCGATCTCGCTCAGTTTCTCCCCGAAGTTCTGCGGATAGGGTCTTGACGCCCTTCATGACCGATCTCAAGGACGTTGGCTCCTCGACTACAACATCGCAATATCCTTGGCCCGGCGTAGGAAGCTCTAGTGCCGAAGACGATCTCATTTTGTCTCTCTGTTGGCCAGCTTTGAGATATCTTCCCCCTTGACTTCAGCACGGTGAGTTGTTTCTCGATAATATTTCGTTCTTGCGAAACTCGTCTTCCCCTTCTGCTTCCTACCTTTTTGTCGAGGCGGCGCTTGCAAATGACGGAGTTATTTTTTTCTCATTTTTCGAGCTAATTCTTGTGGCATCCATTCTTGTCCTTTCCCAGATCGCAGTTTCTGTTTCTCCTCCCTCAATTGGTGTTTGGTGCCCGACAACTGGTCGATGGCCCAACTGGGGTTGGCCATGATGCTTTCCGCTGGCCATCACTGTGTCGATTCTGCCCCTCTGCATATTATTACTGGTAGCAATGTTTCTCTGCATCACCATGTACTCTTCAAAACGAAACAAGACTTGTCCATAAACAACGACTGTATTACTGCTGCACTACTCCCCTTCGCATTACCAACTCCGGCTGTTATCTTCGTGGTACAGCGCTCCCCATAGGATGGATGTTTCCAGGTTTTAACACTCCTAGTTCGTCTTCATTATTTTCAGCAGAAAAATGAAAATAAGAACCTACGTTTCACCAAACTCACTTTCTTGCCGCCCCTACTGGTCTCCGTCTGGTTCGTTTACTGATACACCATGGACCAGTATAGCTGGCGACAGGACCTGTCCCGCAAGGAATGACAACCCTCAATGGCTATTCAGTGCCCATTGAAACCTCGGCCACTGGGAGTTCGGGAACCAAAGCGCTAGACCTCTGCGCTGATGGTCATCCCAAGCTGGTCCAGGTCTTGTACCAGCAAGACCGTTCCGCCGTTCCGCCCCGGCTCCGGCTTCTTGTGGTGGCCCACCCTGGATGGTTAACTTGGTCCGTGCACATTACCGGACAGGTTGAGTGGTACACCTCTGATGTAGCTACTGCACCTTTCACTCACCCCACCGCGACTTTGACGGAAATCTACTTGGGCGTTTTAGAGCACTGGGGACGCGAAGTCTCAGAGGCGACGCGCAGGCAGATTGAACTCCTTGCGCCCAACCACATCCTCGACTTGCCCCTCGACGGTGACGACGTTTTCTTCGAGGATTACAGCTGGTTCAAAATTCCCGTGCGTCTAGCTCGGTACGTGATCAAGGACGAGGGCGACGAAGACGATACCAACATCGACGACGGCAACGACGCCCAGGACGACGAGGCATACAGCTACCCTACCGGTTTGTTTTGGGACGACGACAAAAACGACGACGACAAAAACGACGACGACAAGACCCTGTATAGCAATTCTGAGCAGACCTTCGATTGCGAAGGCGACATCACGATGGCTCCTTCCGGCCCCAAGGCGCAGCAGAATGCTGCCGCTACGAACAACTCGACCCCGACGCCTGCCGCCGAGCCTGCCGCCTTGAAAGGTCCGCATCCCGGCCACATCCAGGTGGCGTGCCAGTACACCAGCGAGCAAAGATTGAGACGCATGCTGCGGGACAACAAGAGTGATCCAGCTAGGGAGGATAACTACCGTCTCCAAGGAGTGCAGCTCATCGATAATGTCCGGACCATGCTGCATGTGTATGTCGAGCCTTTGCTCCTAGATGTTTCTCTGGCAGTAATACTGACTCTCTCCTGTTCAGCCCTATCAAGACTTTCGACACCGCTTGTGTCTACTACCACTGGTTCAGACTCTCATTCCGCGATGCCGAGTACAACTACCAGGATGCTGCCGTGGCCGCGCTCTTTCTTGCTTGCAAGGTTGAAGACACAATCAAGAAGTCCAAGGAAATTTTGTGCGCTGCGTACAACATTAAGAATCCCGACCACACCACAACCCAGGACGACAAGGTACGTGGACCGACTGTTTTTGCTTGTTAAGAGCATGACTGACCCGACAACAGATGTTCGAGCAGCCCTCCAAGATTATCATAGGCTTGGAGCGCCTAGTCCTCGAGACTGTTGGCTTCGACTTCCGTTGTCGTTACCCCCAATCCGCCCTCCTCAAGGCCACGAAAAAGATCATGGGCGCCCACTCAAAAAAGATATTCTCCACCGCGATGGACATGAGTGTGGATTTATACAAGACCTTCGCCCCGATCAAGCAAACGAGCTACGCCATGGCTTTGGGCTTGCTCGAGCTGACCGCCCGAATCCTCGGTGAAGGCGTGGACAAGATTGAAAAGATCAACTACGCCGACTTCCACACGACTCGTCAGAACGTAGTCGAAACCGTACTCGACCTACTCGACCTCTACACACAGCATGGCAAGTCCACCAAGCTCGGCAACCGATTCGATCTGAACAAGTTTATCGAGGTCAAGATTATTATTAACAATGAGGTCGACAACTCTCCGACTCTCGTGCGGTACGCCCACTGGTGCAACAATTGCGACGGAGGCGAGGACGAAAACCTTTCCAACGGTGTCTCGGTCCTCAAGAACATCTCGTTCTTTGGTAGCAACAGCGCTAAACGCAATGGACGCAACCAGGATGGTACGATGCGCTTCGTCTTCGACCCGGAGCAGGCCCGTCAGGAGCGCAAGGAGGTCGAGGCGTACTACCGTGACGAGTACGAGGAGTACGAAGTCGAAGTCGAGGTTCCCATGGAGCCAGAGCGCCAGAACCACAACAACCACAACAACCACCGTGACAAGCGGCATGACGGCGGCGGCGGCGGCTGGGGCGGCTCAAACCACCACCGACGCAACCGTGGCAAGGGCCGCGGCTACTACTGATTCGCATGCACTGAGCTACTATCGCTCTCTGTTTGTACCCCTTGCTGGTCTATCGCTTTGTTGGTACCCTTTACGATACGTTAACCAAGGATCTGGAAAGAAGGGATTTTGTCTGAGTTGGTCTGGCGTTGACGGTAGATACCCCATGGGAAAACTGGAATGTTTTTTCGGGATGAAGAACCTTTCTTTGCTTCGCGTGGTCTGGCGGTAACTCACCCACACGCATCATGTACACTTGTCTGGATTACAAAAAGCAATGCCACAATGTTTGTGTGAGTGGATAGAAACAACAAGCAGACTACGGTTTTCAGGATCAGGCTACCGGACTGTGACTCGGTCTGCTATGAGTTGAGTCTCAACGACTTTCAAAGCCCCTTCAATAAGGTTGACACACACGACGCAAGTGTCTTGTCGAATTGTACGAGCTGGGCAAGCTCCGCCTCGTTCTCGTCTGCTTTTGGTTTGAGGCCATCTTCGTTACAAATCTTCGCACCATTTTGGCCAAAGCTGGCCTGATGACGTGGAAAACAAGGTACATTTCGCCCGTTAGGTTCATCGCGGCTGCCGCCAACAGAGCCTCAATCCATATACAGCAATGTATGCCCTGCCCCGCTGCTAGGCAACGAGGCATTCTTGGCTAGATTCGCCAATTGTAGTCCGCCGAGTATAGCCTGCATGAGTCCGCCTTGCTTCTGCCATTGTTTTTACACATGGCCTCAATAGGTGGTCTTGGATCGTCTGAGAACGTGAGGCTTTTACTTTTAAAGCTACATCAGTCGGAGTGAACTGTATTGAGGCCATGACAGGCCGAAAAAACAGTAGACACGTGTCACAGTATGCGTGTCATCATTCGGAGCGGCACGCAGATCGAACGGGAAATGATAGGGTAGCACAAATCTGACCCCTTATCTTCTAGGTCGCCATGAAATCTTGATCCGTCCTGACATGCAACGTATTGGCAATGACGACTCCGATAAGGCATTTCGCAAGGCCACAACGAAACTTGGCTACGGGGCCTCAATGCTGCATGGACGGCTGAACGATCTGAAGACAACTAATGATTTGGGGCCACGCCTGCAGCTGTAGGCGAACTCGGTGTGGCCTCAGTAAGGAGTATGGGCTATCATTGGCTGCCAATCAAGGATCCTGCCCACTCCTTGCACCTAATTGCGTAAGCCGCATGAGGTTGGTTTTATGGCATACTGAAAGTAGACTGTGCTTTTATCAGAGTGGATTCGGCTTGCACCAAGCGGTATATAAACCGTCATGCTTCCCGTTCACAAAGCAACACAGCAAAAACTCATTCTTGTCTTTACTTTCACATTATATATACAAGCCTATAACTTGTGATCTAGCCTTGGGCACGAGCTTCAACTCATCCCGAACAACATATTATATATAGAGGCCCATGCTGCGGTGCTTTGGTAAAACTCCTTAACTTATGGTTTCTCCTCACGTATATACTCGTACTCAGAGTCATAACCACAATCCCATTTCTGTCTCTTAAATTCTTTTGTTTGTATGTGTGGTGCCAAGAATGTCTGAAGTTTGTCTTTCAGTATATAAAAGGGTTGCTCCCCATACCGGTATGATCTCTCTCATCTTGTCTCTCCATGCTTATATGTTCCCTTTACATGGCAACAACCATGACTGACAGTTCAACCCTTCCAATTCAGGTTGGCTACTTTGAACCGGCTCTTTACCCTTCTTCGATTTCCAAAACAGTACCTTGGTAAGCTTGTCTCTTTTTCCTACATGTGATCTCATCAATGTTTCTTTAATTATCATCTGATTTTGGTCTGCATTCTTTCATAGTTTTCTAGACTTAGTCACCTCACAACCACAAAGACCAGAGACTCACAGTATCACCAACAGTACCCGAGACCTAACGCTTCGGGACAGCTATCGAACTGAGCGTAGCCAAGATGTTGGTCCCTTTGATGAGACTTCCCTCAAGACAACGGGACAGCCTGCATTTTCCTCAAGCTCTCATATCAGAACACCACCTCCAAATAATATTCAAGGGCTGGGTCAAGTCATAACAAATTATGATCATTATTGTAATGGTATCCACCCTCTCACATGCAACAATGCTCATGATATTCTTTGTATGGGTGTTTTGAATCCAAACACTGAGTTCCCTGTTTCAAGCCTTGGTCGCGATCTGCCGAGAGATAGAACAGGTCAGCTGGCTTATTTTAACAACCGCAACATTGGTGCAGGAAACTCGCTTTACGTCCAGCGAGATTTCAACAGCTTCCTTGGACCTTTCCGCCATACATGGCAAGATTCACTATGCCATAACCAACTATTTTCCGAGTTGGACTCTGTCAATGCTTCCGAGGTTGTGCAAAGACCTCCATGTACGAACTCCTGGTTACTAGAGGGCAACATCCAGGATTCGGAATTCTTCGAGTCTGAAACCAACTTCTCGACGTCGCAAAATCTAGATGAAGGGTTCGGCATTACTCGCCGATTTACCGATCCGCATACTCTCAAATTTCGTATTGCTGCCGAAAGCCAGGACGTGTTTCCTTCCACTGAAAACGTAAACTTTGCAGATGAGTATGCTCTCGTTGAAGAAGTATTGTCTTCCGAAAAGGTTTCAGCCACGACATCTCATCTGTGCGACACCACTTCCAGTCTTGGCATAGCATCCAGTCCTGAGCTGTTCAGTTGTCCAGTTTGCCAACGCTTCCGCGGTGATGTGAAAACTGTGAGGTACGCTATATATCGCACGGCAATGTTTGACGTCTGCTAACGGTTTATAGGGAACACATGCGATGCCACGAGCGTCCGCACCGTTGTAATGCAACAGGATGTATCCGACGCTTCAGTACAATGCGAGACCTTGAGCGTCACCGCAGATCGGCTCATCAGAAAGCCAAGATGACATGCCACATCTGCTCGGCTCGCATTCGAGGTGGACGCGTGGATAACTTACAAAGACATATCAGAAATTAGCACCCGTTGAACGTTCTTAGTGAGGCTGGCCTTCAAGATTTTAAACCAACATGATTGAGGTTTTTGTTGGGGATATGAGACAAGCCCAGCCGCTTTATATTGCTCTGTTGTAAGTCACCAAATTCTGCCGTCTATCACCACCGATACCAACCTCGTGCTCATTAGTATTCTTATGTACAGAGAATAACCACGATATTACATGACAGGTTATGTAGATCAGAGATGTCCGTTGTTTTCTGATTCTACTGAATGGTCGATACATCAGGAAGGATCGTCAGGCCAGGGCTACGCATGAACGATAAATATCCTCCGAACCTTCTGGGGTTACACGAGCTACTGGAAACTGTACCGCTATGGTAACAACTCATTCATCTTTCTCAGAGTTTTGAAATTGTGTTCTTTGCAGTGTATATATCATACGGTCGTGTACATTACTCTCGGTTCATTGCTTAAAACACCTAAACTATTTTCTCTACATCTCAGCTGGTCGGAGTTGCATGGGCCTAGTGCATTCTGTTTGAAAGAACGCTTACCGAGTATGAGCGAAGCGTAATTAATCAGGTTACGTGTTGTCATCGCAGTGACATGTTGAACTTGTGGCTATACGTTCGTACTCTGTCTTAGACAGTTTCTTGCTTTCCTATGAGAATGTATGATCTAGATATGATATGCTGTCTCCAAATGAGTTATCCGGTGTCTGCCACAAAATTAAAACATTCAGTTCGAATCAACAAAGCAAGATCGGCCACCTGAATAGTTTATTTGAGCAATTATGAAATAGACTGTTTCAAACTTTCCTAGTTGTTTAGTACCATTATTAATTGAAAGTATCTAAAATCTGTAAGTTGTTGTCCTCACCATAGTACAACCGCTGACCTCCGAATAAAACGCCGTTCGAGACTCATAAATATCATCCCCAGGTATACGTAATCTAGCCTCCATAGTATTATCGGCCCATTTATTTGTAAGCCCTTGTTACTTCTTGTTCTTCTAGTATTTCTATTCCAAAGCTAATTCCCGTGCTAATACTAGCAGGCAAACACGAACAACTTCGACAGAGTCAAGACTATGAGACTGAGATTCGAGATTTGCCCAAGATGCGCGAGGCCGTGAGTGTCCTTGGCCGCTGCAGCAAGCACAAAATATCGACACCAATCGCTGACAAGCCCAGCCAACACTCCCACAGCAAAAAGAAATGCTGTCCTGGCTTTCGTTGCTTCTGCGGCGCGCCTCTTCTCTCTTTCTTTGATGTTGACGCTCTCTTTGTCTTGAACTCGTGTGGCACCTTGAGACAGATACATAAGGATTACGACAACGTTGATGATCAGGAGCAAGCCGTATAAAAAACCGAAAAGACCGAAACTATCCCTGGTTTCGCGCTGCCATCCGGTGCCGTTGTTTGCTCGGTCCACGATGATGTACTTTGCAAGGGATGCGGCACCGACCAACATAATCTGTTGGCCGGGGGACAAGACTAGCAGGCCTGTCACCTTGCTCGCAAGTCCCTCCTCTGCGGTCTCCTCCTTCTTTGGAGTTTCTGTGTCGGCACTTTCAGTTATTGAAAGTTTGGTGCTTGTTGAGCTAGTTGACCTTGCGGACTCTATCGAGGGACAAGGGGGAGCATTTTCCTGGATATCTGTTGCTACAGTTGTGCTGAGCTTGTCTTTTTCGATTTGACTTTTGTTCTGGTCCTCCTTCTTGTCCGTGTCATCCACAGCGTTACTTTTCATCAGATAGAAAATGGCTCCCTGTACAATGACTGTAGCAACGACGTGTCCGATGGCGATGGTTCTGAGGTTTCCGTTCTTCATTTTGGGGACTTTTACGGTCGCAACTACAACCAGAAAGATGGCATATAAGAAGCCTCCAAGACAGACGAGCGTCCTGTGTTTGAGTTTTCGGTTCGGATTGAGGGGGGCATTGCCTGACATGATGCAGAACCAGGTGTAAAAACTGATAAGGTTACTGAGCCATGCAATGGTACCATAGGACAAGTAGAAGTGAGGAAGGTCTCCATCGATGGAAAACGTGCTACCCGTGGTTACGTTGCAGCTGACTTTTCCATTGTTGTCGTTAATGCAGATGGATTGATAGCTGTCAGTGTTGCAGAGCGTCGCGAGCGAGCCCACATAATCGATGGAAGAACACCCTTTCGTGCCGTCAAGCATTTTGAATCGAATTAAAGGTTTACTAGAATATGCAGCTTCATGTTCCGTTTGTAAAAGATAGAAAAGTCGAATTTAAAGCAAAGATTCAATAATGCACTCTACATGGGAGGGAGTCAGCCTCTAATAATATCGCCCCAGTCAGCCGTACTGCCCGAGAGTCAGAATGTGGCGATTCTCAAGGCAGAATTAGGTCTACTCGGTACTGCCTAATCGGGATTCAAATAATAGCTAATGACTATAAGCAATAGTCAGAAGACAGCGATTTTCGGCTGTGTTGGGAGACCGACAACTAAAGGCGGACGGCTCAGCCTCGCCAACCAAGTGATTAGTGCATCCTTCTATGCAGATCGCCCTTTTGCAAACAGGCCATTCATTCGAAATCGACGAGTGTTTGTCCCACTCAATCGTAAGCGTCAACAACAGAATAATCCGCCTGCTCTGGGTGGCTGGTGTGACTGGGCATGGTGAGAAGGATGCCTCTATACCATCGAGTGCGGCAAGACGTCAAAAATTCATGTCGATTTCAGTATCCAACTTTTCTCCAAACATGCTTATTTCTATACATTTTATTGGGCAAGTAGTTCTCTGCAAAGATAAACAAAACATGTAATTGGCTGTACCCCGCACCAGCGAGTTTTTGACGTCTTGCCGCACTCGATGGGATAGCAACGTTCAATAGTAGGATAGTTAAACAGAATCCATCAATCCATAAACCTGTTTGTATCGAAATGGGCCAGTGAGTGCTGATGGAGGCCCTAATTGACAACAGTTCTAGGATTCCAGGTACAACTGCGTCAGCGGGTGACAAAAGAAGTGATACGCACTAAGTCAAAGTGTATCACCACTCACCGGCGATTTAACACTTAAAGAAGTGGCTCACGAAGGACAATCAGATATCAATACCTAAGTCAATACTTAATTTAATGGATTTCTTTGATTAAGATGTATAGAGGTTACTTAGAAATACGAAGTTTATGGTTAGGCATTGAAGTAGATGGGCGTTATAATGTATGAAATCAACTTATTTTTTGTTACCCACTAGCTACGGAATCCTATCGTTGCGGTACTCAACCACGTACAGAGGTTAATTTCGACTCCAGAGACACACAGCATTAAGAGTGCAGATCACTGTTATGTGAATGGCACAATTCTCAAGTCTAGCGCATATGCGGCTGTACAACGTCCCCATTCCTGATTATCGAAGGACACAATTCGACGCCGCTTGAAGTCTCGACGATACGGGCGTCTATGATCGTAGAAGCGGTTGCGAATCCGCGCTTATTGACGCCAAGTTAACCTCGTTGTCGGCTCCTATGGAGCCCAATCAGTGGATAATATGAAAAGAATTACAAAAGGCCTATGTTCCCTCACGCTAAGTCTTTGCTACCCTGACATGGGATGGGTGCTTTCCCTAAGCACAATTCAGGTACAACATCCTCCAAAAGACCGCATGCTCTTAAGATAGACACGGAATTCACTCAGGATAACTGGAAGTATACATGTGAGGTCCTCGAATCAATCAGTCGACTTCCTTCTGCCTTTCATAACAGCTGTCAAGAGTTAGGGCGCACAGCAGGCATAAGAGATCATGAGATAAAGTGGCTTATATGAGTCAGGAAGCAAGTGGGGAATATAGGCGCTTATAGGTAGGTACCTCGGATGCTGACCACGTAGAAAGGCACATGACGAGGCTGATCCCAGGAGCTCAGAAGAGGCAAAGCTCTCGTGGCAATAGCTAAGTAGCTAACTAGGAGGTCATATCCTTAACCTAAGAAATGATTCTTCCGTATAGCACCTTTCGCTTAGCATGGTTTCTGGTCTGTCTTAAAAACATGAATAGATAATAAAGATCCTGACCTGTGTACTTTGATAATGCGAAACACATCTCTACAAATACAGCCCTGCAAGGTGCTGAATACAGTGTCGCTCTCGTGTTGAGTGGATTACTGATTCGACTTCAAACTGGTTTTACTGAACGACGAAGCCTCATTATCAGGCAAATCTTAGCTCTTCCCATGATTAATCGATAATGAGACTCATTGGTTTCTTTTTCTCGCGACTGCGAACACATTTATCTTAAACTACGACGGTAGAACTACGGGTGATGGAGACTGCGAAGTAAATGGCACTCACACCTACTATGTGAGTATGACATTTCTTTTATATTGCAACGAGTATTTCGACCCACCAGCTTACATCAACGCTCGAGACGTCACCGTTCTGTCCAAAAATCCTCAAGGCAACAGTGATGGCACGCCTGCGGGTACCAGCACGGTCGAAAGAGTTTGCTGTGCTGCATAAGTTCCTCGCGTAGAACTACGTTCAAAGGGTTATAGACAAACATGTGTTTTGGTCATTGGCTGGCCTTAGCCATGTAACCATCGATGGGCAAGGATGACAACATACCTACTATGCATTCAACATGATTCAACTTGGTGGGCGAATGGAATATGCGGCCTACATAATTCGCCTCTCGTGTACTAGGAAATGTTAGGAAGGTAGCATTACTATGACCTCGTATTGCTCCCTCAGGCAAGGCGGCTCTCATCGCCCGCTTCTGTAAGTCGGTTCAACCACGCCACGCCTCAGTACATGAGGCCGCTCATTGTAGGAGTTAGTGGGCCTAAACTAGTAAGCATAACCTGTCGTCAGCCGCTTAGTCGGCAATTAGTCTGACGAAAGAGGGGTTGGTGGTAGCAAATACCGCAAACAGCAGGCTACCTAAACTTTTTAGTGGGTTGTCAGTCTCCCAATGATTCCAACAATTCGATCAACAACGTCGAGCAACATTTCCTGTTTAGAGAGTCTTCCCCCATAACGGTACAGCATCTTCTCATGCAAGCATTGTAATTCTGACTATGGAGGTGTCAAAGGTTGTCGCCCTTGATAGATTTGTCAAGGTTTGTTTATTGATGATAACTGAACCATTGCTGTTTCTCGGTATAGAACAATATACATCTCTCGGAGATTCCGGACCTCTGACCACTGAATTGGTTCTTAGCAAAGACTAGATTGGTAAGTGAGACTTGGGGCCATGGAGTTTTCACTTTCTAGGACTGAAGTCCTCTAAAAATTCTCTGTTGTATGTACATGTACGCTCTCCACATTATATTGACATGGTTACTAACTGAGGGGCTTAGGCAGCAGCGGGCCGGTCCCGCAGGCTGCTGGTGAGGCTTTGAACTAAGCAGCTTGAGGTAGAACTCGTACCTACTTGGAGTGCAGACGACAAGCCTATCCTCATCCACCGCGGGGACGGGCCGAGTCCGGTTTTAGTAAAGTATTCACAAGCTGAGCCGATCCAATCCGTTGCAGCAGGGCTGCATGATGACTGTCCATTCTGTCTGCATAACCGCCCGATCGACTAGATGCAAGCTTCTTACGTTCTTTTGCCCTGCAGGTTGCATACATACTACATAATGCTTATCGCTCACTCCTCTTTACCTAACGGCAAAAGGAATTGGCAGCAGGATCTCGAGGTACTATTGTTTTTGCCGTGTCTGCGACAAAAAGAACATGCCGAACATGGGCAACAGATCGCCTGCAGCCTGCAGCCGAGCTAACCGAGGTGTCATTGGTGGCCAAAAAGGACTCAAGCGCTGATGGACTGAGTCTCTGAAGTCTTGCCGGCGTTGGATCAGAAGTCCGTCATTCTGGTGGATGTGCTTCCCCTCGTCAGATGTTTCGGGCGATGCTTTTCGCTCGGTAGCTGGGCAAGTCGCTCTGTCTTCGAAGCGGGGTAATCACAGTCTTGAGTTGACCAACATTCCGTGGGTTAGAACGTTGATGGTGGAAAAGAAATCTATAAAAGCCTCATGAATCTTGCAAAGACGCTGTGTAATCTTGCTCATCATCGTACTTCTCCAATACAAAGTGTAAACAAAACCTTCAAAGCCCCAAAAATGCGTGTCAGCCTCTTCTTCCTCTCAGCTCTTTTGGCCAGCTGCTCCGCCGTGGCGATCCCCGGAGAGCACTCCCACGACCATGACCTCGCCATGGACATGTCTCCCGTTCCCCGAAGTGTGCTGGACAAGCGTGACTCATTCGACTGCAAGGGAAGCTCCCTCTGCTCTTCTTTGAAAGTTGCCGCATGTGACGACGCGGTGAACAACAAGCTCATCCGCAACAACGACGTCAACTACGGCGCTCCCGGGTACGTTTCCTTCTGGCATGAAGGGCCTTGATAGAACCTTCGAACACTAATGATTTCCGCCGTTGATCTCGAGTAGAAGCGGGAGACCAAACACGGGAGCATGCTCCAGCGTCTTTGGGGGCTATGGCTGCGGCGTCTTCATCCAGGGCAAATCCGGCTGTGCTCGCACCGGTAACCAGATGTGGTATGACTACCAAGACATCCGGAGCAACGGCTGCAGGGTCTGTGGCTCCAAGCATTGGGGCGACGGGTGTCTGACCACCATCAACTATGTCTCTGGTTGCTAGAGTATTTTCAGATTTTCTAGCATCCAGAAGCCTCAGTCCGTGCTTGGTTCCGATTATTGTGGCAGAGTACAATGGACAACAAGCGGGTTGAGATATAATACAATGACCGTCGTTACTGTAGCGTATATTTAATAATGTACCGCGTCTTCGTCACAAGATGCCGATACCCTGACACATATTGTTATACCTCAGTGTTATAAAGCCCCTATCGGCACAAACCTCGACTGGTCAATCGATCGGCGCTCGTTTGAATCTTGAGGAAGCTACTTCACAAATGAACCGCAGCAACGACTGTCCAAAGCCCACCGACTCAATGGGCCAAATGCTAGCAAACAAATTCTGTAGTTCCATGTATCTGCGATCATCGTCACTGTTGCCTTGGTTTGTTCGTTTGTATTGACTACTTTTAGGAAGACAGTAAGGGGTTATTGTCGCTGAAAGCACGATCCAGTGCCCCAAGGCAGCCCCAGCCCTGGCTCTGGCCGGCGCCGATACCTGGTTGAAGGCAAATGATACCCTTGGTAACTCTATTAGTACACGTACATATCTTTTCTTTCCTTTAGAATTATCCATTGGAATTATTCAACACCAAACAAGACGCTCAGTAATCTCACTGGAGACAAGCACGAGAGTCAGTTTAACTTCGCGTCTTGTGATACATGTCAAATTTTGTCTAATGAGAAAGTCTCATGAATTGTTGTCCCGTCTCGTTACTCTAAATAAATTGAAGACTATGGCGATCAGAAGGGCTCATTACCTCATCGATAGAAAACCCCGGAAACAGTGTCAAATACTGTTTTGGTGTTGCAGATGTATTCTCGTTCCTCAGATCCAACAGACTATTAGATGCAGAACTATGCTCTCAAGATACTGTCGTTTCATTTAGTATAAACGACGTAGATTCGAGAGGCCTGCCGCTTCTAAATTCTGTTGAATGGTGCCGTTCAACCGAATGCCGAATGGTCCCGCCTCAAGCGGACAGTAATGTTTCTTTCCACACATCGTATCCTGGAAATACGACCGAATAACACCGTATGCACAAAAGTTGGGTCCAGCTGCTGCAACGCTATGCTTGGAGAAGTCAGCATGAAAGCACCTGCTTAGTCAGACCTTCAACTTACACCCATGTTGTCGACGGTGAGACTCCGAGCGTTGGTATACTTCGGAATACTCGCGATAGCGCTATTTCTTCATGTCAGTGGTCGTCGAAACACATGAATTAGCAACTTACTTCTCAATAGGTGTGGTGGGATCGAAGGTGTTGCCGATGAATAGCACCGGGTAAGAGGTGTTACCACCGTACGGCCCTCGGAATACGTCGTTGGATCTGATGGGCCATCCGAGGCATCCTAGCATTGCCGAGGTCCAGATTTCTCCAGCCACGCTCTGATCTTGGAGAGCGCTGATGAGAGGTTGGATTTCCTCTAACGATTTCCCATACAAAGCATTGCTCTGGTCTGAGCACAGAACGCCGAGAGACTGTTCAGGATGCGAGCCTGCATACCCCTCCAAGCCATCAAAGCCAAAAGCCACGTTGGTCTGCTCTGTCCAAGCAGCAAGGGTATTCGATGAAAGAGCCTCTTCCAAGCCAACAAAGGAACCCGCGATCTTGCCGAACACGCTCAATGGCGCAACTGCTGCGTCGAGTAAGGTGTATTTGAATGTTTCCAAAGCCAAGGCAATCTCCGTGGCGTTTGACCAGTTCTCGGCCTCTGCCAGCCGTGCATCAAGCTGAGCGAACGAAGCATTCCACCGCTTGAATATATCCATTGCTGTGTTCCCTGTGTAGTAAGAGCAGGCTGGCCCTGCGGCGTGGCAGTAGACGAAGAAGGCCCCCAGTACGCCGTCGAGATGGTTGACACTGTTCGAAGTGAAGTTTGACTGGAATCCCTCGGGACTAACATTTCCATCAAGCGCAAAGTGACCGACCCTGCCTGGAAACATGGAAGCAAAGGTCTGGCCAAGGAATGTACCGTAACTGATGCCGTAGTAGTTCAACAGAGTGGAGTTTAGTGCTGTACGTTCGCCATCAGGGGTAACAGCAAAGGCGTCTACAATGCTCAACATATCGCGAGCGGTGACTGCGCTGGTCATGTGCGGGCCGGCCTCGGTATCGGCGCCAGCCTGCGCTTGGCACCGCTCGCCGAGCTCCTTACCAAAGTCGATGAATTGTTGGTAATATCTATCGACGAACCTAGGGACATCTCGCCGAGAAAGAACCTGACTGCGGGGCAGTACTATGCCTGCAGAGCAGTTCGGTCGCGGCTCACTGAGTCCAACGCCTCTGGGGTCGAAGCCTACGATATCGTAATTCGAGCCGGCCACGGCTTGGATTGTGGAGCCATTGTTCCGGGCGAGTTCGATGCCAGAGCCTCCTGGCCCTCCCGGGTTTATGAGGATCATGCCGCGATAGGGACCATCCGGGGAGTTGGAGGCGGCTGGGAACTTGATCAGAGGAACGGCGGCTCTACCCAGGTTTGGTCTCTGGTAGTCAAGGGGAACCTAATTTTGTGGTTTTAGTGACAAATGAGGGGCATGTGATGGGTAGTCCTACATCGAGCTTAGCACAGAGGAAACTGCCTCCACACGCACACCAGACGAGGTCTCGAGAGGGTGTGATTGAGTCGAAACTACAGTTCTGCGCTCTTGATGTTCCCGCGCTGAGAAGCGTAAGCGTCACGAAAAGCTTCCATGACAACATTGTCGTCGGTGTGGTTGAGGCAGCGGTTGTGAGGCAGATTCAGACCCAAGCAGATATTTGAGTGAGTTGAGCAATCAGCTCGATGATTCTGTCTTATGAAATTGTTGCCAATTCTCTACACGGGAAATCCTGTGATATTTAATAGTCTTGGATTTGACTGTATTCCGTATTGAGACGAATCTGCAGGGTCAATTATGCGTAGCCAATAATGTGAGGGTCATCCCTTTCGAGACAAATTCACATCTATCCAGACTTCTCCGCCGTCCCTTCTTCTGATCCCACCATCTTGGTCTGGCTTCAACAGTTTAGCAAAAAAAAAAAACCCCCCCATTGTATCAACACTGCAATTCTTTGCCTAACGTTAGGTAGTTTACAAGGGGAATCTGACGATAGCTAGAAAAGGAGATTAGAAGGAGGCTGTGCTGCATGGATATCCGTGTCGCTTAAGGATGTCTATTTATAGTCTTCAGCTCTGGTTGGAATGCGGTGTTGTAGACCATGACGGATGACGTCCGTTTTGTCTTGATCTTCCCGTTGTGGATAGCGTGGGCAATAGGCAGCAGCCAAAGTCTCTGTGCAGATACCATGTCTACCCCGAACCAATCAAGACTACAGATGTTCTCTGGCGAGCTCTTTGCCATAGCCACGATCGGGCTTCATGGATTCAAATACGAGATATCTTGACGTCGTCGAGAACTTGCTATTTTCAGTCAATTCGCAGTCCTCATTGGCTTGATGCCCTTTATCAGCGTAATGTGAATCACAACAAGCTTGTTTACATGTGTGTCTGTTCCCTGTCTGACGCGTAATTGCGCTAGAAGAGGCAGTTTCGTGTTCCTTATTTTTCTTAGAACCCTGACGGAAATCTTAAGAACGTCTCAAGATTTAGATCATTTGGTATGAGACGTGGACTAATGACCATGGGGGCGCGGCCACCTTCTCCTGCGTTGGAGCGATGTCATCCCTGACTTTACCCTGGGGCCAGAGTCGATCTTGATTATAAACCTACTATACATTCCATTGGAATGTGCTAGTGTCTTTTTATGATAGGCCATTTCCTAGACGGAGCCTGGTTGATATTAGTTGAGCAGAGTAAGAATGCTAACCAGGGGATAGAACCCAAGAACGTCACCTTCCACAGAGCTATGTATATAAGGGAAAAGACACTTCACAAAGAGACGATATTTCAACCTACATTGGAGGCGCTACATAGCGACAGTGATGAGCTGAGGGGCGGCAGTCATTGGCCTCAACTTCGACTGCACCAATCACCGATGGAAACCAAGACGCCTCATAGGGCCATTCGTGTAGAATGACCGAGCTCTGATTCATTCTAAAAGTAAATTTCATCGCGTTCATGGTGTAAAAAGTATGAGCGCAACATCCATAATACCGGCTAAAGATATACACAGGGAAGTAGAGAACACGCGTTCAGGTATCATAGGATGTACCTAGTCCTGAACGATAAGTACGTCCGAATAGTTTCGAATAAAGATTCCAGTGAATATGGTGATTTAAATCGAATAAAGGTTTCCCATACTGTTGTCATGTGACTCATTCAGAGCCCAGTTATCGCGGCAGGTTTGGTTTTGATGCGGGTGAATCTTGGAGTCAGAGGCAACCATATTGACGTGCCACCTCTGAAAAAGTTTGAAGAGCTGGGGGATACTGAACAAGTAGCTTTGGAGTTCGCTTGTGCAAACAATCAGACATTGAGTGTCCAAGAATGAGCCGTTAGCGAGTTGAAGCACTACTGCAGGCGCGCTGCCCAGGCCTAGACATCCCGATAACAGAGCCTGATAAAAAAGACTGCAGAGCTTCAGCAGAAAATATATGCAGAAGCAAATTTACTTATAGTCAGTTTACACGACTGGAGAATCAGGAAGTGTTGCTAATCACAAAGGCACAACAGAAGTTGTATTTCGAGAGTTGTAACATTGGCTGCAAGTGGAAGGTGACCCGTTTTGGGAACGGGTGAAGTCGGTGAAGGTGGGGGCACAAACCTTCACCGAATAGCGCTATGCAAGAAGTCTCCACCTTATTTTTTATCGCTGGAAGGACTCCACTAAAATTTTCTTATCGGACCCCCAACTCTCTCGATTTCTTTTGCGCCCGGGTCCTCGTCCAAGGTCTGCTTGTTTCCAATTGTGACCGCAGCTCGAGAAGATTTTCACATTTCGGTTCAGAATACACAGAGAACTACACGCGCAGTAGAGGCGATCACAAAACCCCTCCTAAAAGCCCAGAACATGTCGGGCTTCCAGATCCCCGGCCTGGGGTTCGCGAAACCCAACGAGACCCTGCCGCCTCTGCCCCCGACGTGCTCGCGGCAGCGGCCAGCTTCGAGGGCATCGACACCAGCAACGGCGCCCCGCACCAGAAGCAGGAGCAAAAGCAGGAACAGAATGAGGACACGACAATGGGAGAGAATGCCGCCGCCGAAACCCAGCCCGCCCCTGCGCCTGAAGCACAGTCGGCCGCTGCGCCGGAGCAGGCCAAGTCCAACGAGCCCGAGGCCATGAACGTCGACGATGTCACCGAGCACCCCTCCCTGACCGATGCCCTCGAGGCCATGATCAGCGGACTCGACCCTACACCACCAGTTCAGATTCCCGCTGCGGCTCAGGAGGCCACCGCTGCGGCCCAAGACACCTCAGCACCCCAGGCAGTCGAAGGCACCGCCGCCGCAGAACAACCCCCGCCGAAGGCGAACACCCCGAGTGGGAGATCGACTCCTCGCCCTACGAGTCCTCGTCCGAGTCGAGCAGCGATGACTCCTCGTCAGACGAGGAGTCCGAGGCCGGCGGCTACCAGCTGCTCGGCGTGGAGGAGACGGCGCGCATGCTGATGGAGATGGAGGGCGGCTCAGACGACGAGGGCGGCAACGATGCGGGCAAGGCCGGGGCCTCGGGACACCTGCGGACGAAGAACGAGATGGCCGTCGAGACCATCCCCAAGCCCGACGTCACGCTCACCGCGGACGACAAGATTGAGGAGCTCGGCCTCGTCGACCAGATCGTCGAGAACATCATGGTCGTCAAGGCCTTCACGTCCGGCGAGTACCAGGTCCTCGACACGGGGTCCGTGCTCTGCACCGAGGACCGCAAGGTGTTTGGTGTCGTGTGGGAGACGATCGGCAAGGTGCTGCAGCCCATGTACACCGTCATGCTCTCGACCGCCGAGGAGATCAAGGAGGCCGGCCTGGCTGTCGGGACCAAGGTGTACTACCCGCCCGCGCACGCAAACTTTGTATTCACGCAGCCGCTCAAGAGCCTCAAGGGCTCCGATGCGAGTAACATCCACGACGAGGAGGTTGCGGAGGACGAGATGGAGTTCTCGGACGACGAGAAGGAGGCGGAGCACAAGAGACAGATCAAGCAGAAGAAGAAGGAGGCGAGGTTCGGCAAGGGCGGCGGCGAGGGCCGGGGACGGGGCGGTCGCGAGCCGCACCCGCTGCGCAATGAGGTCAGCGCGCCGCCGGTGGAAGGCGGCCTCAACTACGACGACGAGGACGATGGCCCGTACAAGCCGCTTGCGAGGCCCCCTGGTTTCGGCCAGGTCCCGCCGACGCAGCAGAACTTCACCACGGAGCCCGAGCCCGGTCGGTTCGGCGGCCGCAGAGGCGGACGAGGCGACTTCAGGGGACGGGGCGACAGAGGCAGAGGAGGTCGCGGCCGCGGACGTGCCGGCCACGGAGGCAGAGGGGACCACAGAGACGGATACTCGGCGCCGCCGCACCAGAGGCATCACTCTTCACAACAAGAGGGCAGCCAACAGCAGCCTCAAGGACAATGGGGCGGCAACAGCGGCTACCAGGCTCCTCCCCCCCGCAGAGCTACAACCCCAGCAGACGGCACCGGCGCCGACGGCACCGGCGTTCAACTTCCCTTTCCCTGGCCTGCCCGCGCAGCCGGGACAGCAGGGCTTTCCCGCAGTGCCGCCGCCGCCGCCTGGCTGGCCGGCGCAGGGTGGACAGACGGCGCAGAACCCGCAGGGGGCCTACATCAACCCGGCCTTCTTTGCGGCTTTGCTGGGTCAGATGCAGCAGAATCAGGGACAACAAGGCGGACAGCAGCAGCAGCAGCAGCAGCAGCAGCAAGGGCAACAGCCGCCTCAGCAGCCTCCTCAGCCACCGCATCAATGGGGCGCTCAGCCGCCTCCACGGTAAATTTGCGGAAGGGAAGGCTTGGACGGAGTGCGCGGACGCGAAATAGGCTCCATCGGGGACCAGGATACCGTGGCACAACGCGCTGAGGGGAGCTCTTCAGTTCCCGGATGCGGTCGACGGCGCAGGTTGGATCATGGACAGCAGTATCCTGAAGGATCAGAAACAGTCGCGCATGCCCGCAACGCGCGCGGACGTCCTGTGCAAATGAGGCCTCGGAACCAGGGGCGCGAGCTGTGTTGGGTGGCTTGCCCTAGCTGCCATAGTTCCTACACCGGCCCGGAATCCAGACCCGAAGGTTGAGCAGCGAATTACCCAGATGACACCTTAAGAAGTAACAGCAGCCTCTACCGTATGCTGTAATCATTAGACCATGAAAAGCGACTATGCAAAGGGAAGGGACGGCCTAGTCTGTGGAATAGAGATAAGACGATTTGTTTCAAGGTTGTGCGTGTTCTGTTTGGACCAGCGCACATGCTGGCTCCGAGGCTTACGCCTGAACAGATTGAGCCGCCATGTTTATTTTTGACAGCTCTTCAGTGTCCTTGGCTTCCCAAAGCCAAACTTGTCGCATGCCGTCACTCGGCTGTATGGCAGATCCTGTCTAGTTCAATAAGGAGACGAGACATTCTTGTCGCAGAGCTGCATGACGTAGGGCCGAAGTATGTACTGTACGGATCGCCGGTCCTGTCTCTGTTTCTCCCAAATAACCGGAGCGAAACGAAGGCTCCCTCAGATTGGGCTCGTCGTTTGAAACAATGCCGGCTACTGGCTGGCTGGCAAAAGACCTTGCATAGGAGACAGTGAGATGAATGCGTAGATCTACGACGCTGAAGCCTCGGTTGCCCAGGTTCCGCACAAAGCCAAACCCGCTCGATTATGTCATGGATGCGACGCTCCCGACACCCTGGGAACGACAATCTGAAGTGATTGCGCGGTTTTCTTTGTTGTTGGAGAGAATCTCACAAGGATCCGAAAGGGCTCCATTCGCAATCATCGGACGTCGTTGGCTGCCTGCGGCGTCTTCCTCCAAAGTCGCATCCGGGGGTTTCCCCTGGGAATTACCCGTAGGCCATAGATTTGCCATCAACTCTCCGCGTGTTCTTGCATGGGTGACGGGATAAGGCTGGTGGGCGAGGAAGCGTCGGTCATTTTGAGTGTGGAGATGGCCGTCAGAAGTGAGTGGAAGTGCCAGGCACAAGAACCCTTGGCAGCGGCACCCGCTGGGTACATACTATGTACTTGACTAGGGTGGTAGATCATGGGGGGGAGAGACAATGGGCGAATGGCGGCGGGGGCGGACCAACCGGTCTGTTTCAGAAAGACTATCAATTTCACTGGGCTGCGCCGTTGGGTTATTGCCGGCCGACAGCGTCGTCCAAGGCATGTCTTGGAATTGGGTCCTTCAAGATTTGTTTCTCCTTGAGGACCTTTGAAAATTTCCGCACAGCGGGAAGTCTAAACATAACGGAAAAAGCAACGAGATCAAACGTTGTGCTTGGCCTGACAAGCAGTTGAGCAGCACACCGACCTTTCGAGGGAGAATACGATAGGGCATCAAACGATATGTCTCGTATCGGAGGCCAGCAGACGCAGGGCACCCGACTGACCTGAAGCTCAAGAGGGGCCTTGAGGCTCTTGAGAGTCGACCAAGGGACCTGGGCCTTTACGAGTGAAAACCTTTCTTTACAGGAGCAGCGAGGATGTTGTGCCAGGAAGGCAGCAAGGGACATGATCGCTTATTCCGGGGAGCTTTCGGATGAATGAGACTTTGGCTGTCGGTGCCAGCTGCGACATTGTGCAAAGAAAGCGCTGTCTGTATCAGGCTTTTTAGAGTTTCCGGTCCGAATATTGAGATGACGATAGGCAGCCCAGCCTCACCACCGAACGCGCCAGCCACAACGGCTTTTGGCAAGTTCCAACAAGACGGAGCGAGGACGAAAGCTATTTCGGTGCAATCGTGCCTTTCCTCTCGAGTCGGTGGGCCGGTCTAAATGTGGTGACCTGCATGAGGAGAGCAGCCGCCCCGCGCTTCTCGAAGGGATCGATGCGGGCTTCGCGAAGAGAAGAAACGCGTCGCGCCCAAAGTAGGCACAAAGAGGCGGCTTACTGGGGCGAGATGGTGCTTCGCGGTTGTGCAAGGGAAAGGGGAAACGGCGCTTGTGGCCTTGGTGTGTGTGTTTGTATGTGTGTGTGTGATGCTGGAGTGACTGGCCATCAACGCCCTTGTCCCGCACTTTGGACTTGATGGCGGCCCCTGTTGGTCGGGGTGCTGGGTGACGGTGACGAGTGACGGAAGGAGCAGGGGACGTTGGATGTTGGGGGCCGCTGGTTGGGAGCTCGGGCCAGGGTAAACGCCGTCGTTGCTGTGCCCACTTGGGACGAAGTGATTGGACGAACATGGGAGGAACCCTGAGCAAACAATCTCGTTTATTTCGTGAGATGCGCGGTGGGGCCTGCAGAGGCATACTTTTCAGCCAACCAGAAGAGACAGGTACCTGACAGACAGGGTGCTGAGAGGCGCCCCCCCCTGCCTTAGCGTAGCCCGTGCATGGCACTGATGAAGATGGGCGCCGGTGTGGATGGGAAAAGCGCCGGGCCTCCGCGCGATTGAATCGAGTGAGGCATTTGTAACGGGGGACATGACAGCGCATTGTTTTATGCAAAGACAAGCCATGATACCTCGCAAGCCATCATGACCTGGGTGCCTACCGTGGTACAGCGCTGTGGCCGTGAGGGTATCGCAGACAAAGAAAAAACCAAAAAACCACACAAAACCCCCCCCCCCCCCCCGGTTTGCGGATTCGTGCCACTATCGTGGAATGTTTGTAGTGTACGGCGGTTCGCATTCAGACTGGCCGACCAGCTCACAATGGCGGTGTTACCTGACGGCGCAGGCAGGGAGACAGACAGGCGGGCAGAAACAGAACGGACGATGAAACACTGACTCGGCGAGGTGGCGGCTTTGGACCAGTGCATTGTCGAATGACCGTCGAAGTCTGGGGGGCCGCTACTGCGCATTCCTTGTGCCTCGTGCTTGTCCCCTCATTGTTAGATTTTTGTGCAAGGTGGGATCCGAGCACTCGCACCTGCACTTGCACTTGCACTTGCAGCAAGCCTAGACACCACAAGGGCCATCCCCGGATGCGACTAACACCACGGCAAGGACTGCAAGGGCAGGAGCCATGACCTCCTTCTTCTTCCATGGCTCACCAACATACACAAGCGCGCCATTCCCCTTTTATCCTGGCCCTTCTTCACGGACCTCGCTCGCTGTCGCTGTCTGCTATTCCCAGTCTTACGAGTGTGGGCGAGTGAGTGAGAGTGGGAGTCGTCCCTAGTCTCTATGTACTCTGAGTGCCGCTTGGAACCCTTTCGAGTGTGCCGTGCAGCAAGGATCTCCATCCCAGCAATCATCCTCCAGTCGCCCAGACCCTTGTCATCCGTCCGACCTTGCTCGGGGCCCTTTCCCAATCATCCAGCATCTGCCGTTGACTGCATGCAACCTCGACATGCCCGTTACCCTTCTTCTCACTGTCTCCTCCCACTTTCGTCCCTCTCTTCTTCCATCCCTTCCCTTCCTCTCCATCCCGTCCGAACTGCACTCGCTCACTCACTGGGACTGACTGCACTGCGTCTTGCTGTCGCTGCTGCTCAGAGAAACGGGTCGTCTTCTCCCGCAGCCCCCCCAAGAGCCCACCGTGTGCAGATTCATCCGTTCTTTCCACCCACATACACTTGCAACACACGACGTTGCTTCGTCTTCATGACAATCCGTTAAGACTTTTTGCGACTGTCAAACGACTGTGAGCTGGTAGTGAGAGCGATCGTCTTGACGTTCTCACCCTCACCCACCTTCTCACTTTACTCTCTTTTTCTGGGCCCAGCGCCGCTTTGCATTCGTTCCAAACCCGCACACATACAACGCACACACATCACTCGACATTCTCAAATAAACAACACTCATACTCGAGTACCAAAGACAGTTCTCTCTCGTCGACGATTCCTGAGCAACACCACTCGACTCCCCTGGCTGGACCCATCTATACAGCCTGTTCATTCTTTTGACGACCACCTTACGAATACTACCTCGCCTCTGGAGTCCGATCCCTTCAACTTTCTCATCGCCAGCCTCTCCCGCACGCGCGAGATACTCCCTCCTTTTGCAGATACCCCGCCGAGACCCACGATATTGACGATACAAACTCCCTAACGCCTCACTACCAACCTCACAGATCACGACGATTGCTGGCTGGATTAGTCGCACTCACACCCATTTCGATTGGATTGGACCAGACCGCCAACCTCAGACATGGCTCACCATCACCACGGTCACAGGCATCTGCCTCGCAACCCCGACTTCTGGGACGATGTTGGAAAGACATTCAAGGATCTGAATCCCTTTGCGTCCAATGACGAGGATGACAGCCCAACTAACGGAGGTAAACTTGAGATCCGACAAGACGACGATGATGAAGTCCCGACCACACGGCGCGCTAATACGAGACAAGGTCGGTCGACTGTTATCAAAACCATCTACCAGACCGTCACCGACGGCGACGTTCGCGCCACCCCAGCTCCTCCACGAGACTGCTGGTCGCTGAATCCCCCCTTCCCACCCGGACGAGGGCGACGTCGTCTGACTCTACCGAAACCACCATCGCGAAGGCTGGCGCGCCTGTGGCCATGACGCCCGCCAGTTCGTCCACCTCCGTCGACGACGACTCATCTACCTCGCTGCCTTCCGTCATTGAGGAACCCCTCACTGAGAGCATCCCCACCACCCTCGCTATTGCAACTGACGTTCCGACTCTCATCCGAACCACAAAATCCGCCGCGACCGCGGATGGTGCCAGCGCCATTTCTTCCGCATCGCCGAGCGCCACCTCGACCACGGAGAAGTCGACCAGCTCTGAGACCAGCGGTGCCGCAAAGGCTGGTATTGCCATTGGTGTTCTGGCTGGTGTCCTTATTGTCTTCCTGCTCGTCTTCTACCTTTTCAACCGCCGCAAGAGGCAGCTGGAGCAGCAGCGCTTGTCTGATGAGGATGAGAAGAGCAACGGCTTCGGAACCGCCGCCGCCGTGACCAGTCAGGACCCCCGCGCTCCCCGTATCAGCCTCCGTCCTGTCACTCAGTTCTTGCCCAACCTGAACATCGACAAACGCGCCAGCCGGAACCCGGCTGTTAATATGAACGCCAACTTGGCTCCTGCTGCTGCTGCTCTCGGTATCCGCAACCCTGGCCAAAGCGCCTGGGACAGACCGACAACGAGCCAAAGCGCGAACCCCGCCAACCCGTTCGGCGCTCAAGCCGAGCGAATCAATGGGCCCATTGCCGAGGAGTCTGTCCGCTCTTTGAACCTCAATGAGAAGCCTCTGCCCATCGTTAGCGTTACTGAAGCTCCCCCTGCCGTTGATTCAGGTGCCCCGGCTTCCGGCGCGGTTAACGGTGCTGATGTTGCTGCCGGCGCCGCCGCTGCTGCTGGTGCCGGTGCTCTTGCGGCTGGAGCCTTGACTCGCAAGGCGTCGACTCGGAAGGACGGCCCCAAAGCCCTGGACCTTACTCTACCTCCTCCTCTTGCGCCCATGTCTACGGTTCCCGCTTCACCCGCCGGAACCGCCTACAGCACGGACTCTGCCGGCCCTGGTCACCAGTCTTCGGCCTCCACGGGCTCTGCTGCTATCGCCGCTGCGGGCGGGCCCGCCAACACGACTGTTCACCGAGTGCAGCTCGAATTCATGCCCACTCTCGAGGATGAGATGGAACTGAGAGCCGGTCAGCTTGTGCGCCTTCTGCACGAGTACGACGACGGCTGGGTAAGTGACGGGAACACCAACAGCCATGGCTCTTACGCTGACATATCACTAGGCCCTTTGCATCCGCTTGGATAGATCCCAGCAGGGTGTTGTGCCGCGCACCTGCTTGTCCGCTCGTCCCGTCAAGCCCAGGCCTCCCCAGGCTCAAGGACCTCGTGGCCAACCGATGGGTCCCGGCGCTCCTCGCGGCCCCGGCCCCAACTTCCCTCCTGGTCAGCGCCCCATGAATCAGGGTGGCCGACCCGCTTCCCCCGCTGGACACGGCCCCATGGGGCCTGGCGGCCGCCCTCAGTCCCCTGGTCCTCGCTACCAAGGACCTCCGGGACAACGACCTCAGAGCCCCAGCGGAATGGGAGGCCGTAAGCCGAGTCCCCCAGGACCTAGCCGAATCCCTCAGCCCAGCAGAATGAACCCCAACGGCCCTCCTAATGGCCCTCAGAACGGGCCTCAGGGGTCCCCATCTCAGGGTCGTCCAGGCCCGCCCATGGGACCCGTCGGCCGCAAGCCCGTCCCGGGACAGGCCGTTTAAACTGTACAAAAACAGCGTCGACGTATAATGGTTCCCTCCGTACATAACGTCTTTTGGCACAAAGACTGGGGATTCATCTTTCGTCTGGCGACAGACTAGGGTCTACTATACATTCTGGACAGCACGGGCAAGGCGTTTTCTGCAAACTACCAAAAAGACTGGGGGTTTCCCCAACTGGACTCTGATGATGAATCCGATCAAGAGCGAATCCAACGACGCGTATTATACCATTCCAGTCACTCATTCATGACGAACCTTTTGATACACCTGTTTTGCATCCTGATACCCGTCAAGGCCTGCAAAACTGAATTTCTTCCATCTTTCTCGACGCTCACTCAACCCCCTCTTTTTCTCGATTTCGATTCGATATACCTGTTTCGACTCAATCCATCCAACCAGCAGCCTCCTTTTCTCTGCAGTTGCCTCGATTGAGTACCGGGACAGGGAACACGCCTAGTGCTTAATGTATATTCCTCATTCTTGTTGTTTGCTTTTTTTTAAGTCGCCTTCTTCTCGTTTCATGGTTTCTTCTTGCAGCTCTGGTGGCTAGCTGGGCTTGGCCGTTCCCGCGAAAAGCCGGGGCGACCAAAGTAGGGTGGGACGACGATGCAGGCTGCGTTGGGTCCCTTTTTGATGCCTTGAATGGCTAGGCATGAAGGGGACAGGATAGTGCGAGATGCTAGGTGACACGATGCGGTAGGCGAATGAGAGATGCATAGATGGAGGAGATGGTGTCCTCCCGCGAAAGAAGGACGACAGAGATGCTTGTGTCGAGCAAGCTAGGTAGACAATGAGATGCTGATAACTTGAATCGATGTTGATGTGTTTGGCTTGCGGTGATTCGAGCTAACCTGATGCTTCCCGTCGAGCAGAGATGCAGGACAACTGGCCAAGTCGTAGATGCTCCTTGTAAGTTGCAACGAACAACGTGACATCCCCACGTTGGCTGTTTATCTCATTGTCAGCTGGGCAGAGAGACCAATCTCGATCGAGGTGGTTTACCTTGACCCCCACTGTCAAAAATCCCACATACAATCAGAAGGCCAGCCCGAGACTTTCGACATGAGCTTCCGTGGTGGCTGGACATCGTGTGCTCTTGGCTCTCAAACAGACTGTCGTCTTGCAAACCGGGTCCCATCCCATCCTTGAGGACGTATTCGTGCGTTCGTGAGTACGTCGTTATCCAAATGATGCAGCCCACAGAGCCAGGATCAGCGTTCCTCGCGGTCTTTTCATGTTGACGGACGCGCAAGTCGTCGGCAGCAGAGAATGTATCGTGCTCAATGGGGGTTGCCAGCTGCAGTATCTCAAGCTTAGTGGAAGCGGCCGAGAACGGGTACGGTCAGGTCTGGTGACCAAGCCACCCCGTATCAAAACCCGTGACACATGCCAGTAGAAAGCGTTTGATATGCTCCGCGAGTATACTTCGTGTGTCCTGCCTGCTCATCATCACCTCCTGCCAGCTTGTTGGCGCTCCAAGGCTGTAAAGAAACGAACCCCCGCCCGCCCGCCCCCGATAGATGATGCTGAACATGGACATGTCTTGGCTCATGGCCGATCTTTGGAGCACCTTGTTCTCATGACGTCGCTTGTTTCGAGGAAACGCTAGTCTCGAGGCCTCAAGCCTCGCACGTGTGCTTGTTCAGCCTGCCACGACGAGGCCGACCATCGACGTTCCCCGCAGAGACGAAGAGGGGCAGCACACTCGCCGCCCCTTTCCACCGCCTCCCACGTGTGAATATACGTCTGCTTCTCGCCTCAAGATGGAACTGAGCTATATTTGGTCACCTAGGGGGAAATGAGAGGGGTTTCTAGGTCTTCTGCTTCTTACTCCAAAGGCATTGAGCGACGAACCTCCTTCGGCGAATCGTGCCTAGAGCCGGTAGTTCATCATGCTGTTGTACGCATCAAATGGCTCTTCGCATCCTCTTATGACTTGTAGGCATCCAGAAGTGATTTATCTTAGGGAGAATGAGACCGGTTGCAGGATCTTGTCACTGGGAGCGTCTCATAGATAATGAAACAAATCACCGTTCTTACGAGATGACAGGCAACGAGAGGTGCTCTTCGTACAGATCTTGTCTCCCGTCATGGGTTTCTCACGTATGAAGTATTCATGTACGGACATCTTGGTAGTGACTGATAACACAGATAGAGGTCCTTGTACCATTCATCACTGCTTCAATCACCGCAGGCCTCGTGCTGGAGATCTCTCTGCACAGGAGATCACTCCAAGTCTTTCTGTGTGCTAAAGACTACGCAGTGACGAATCATGTGGACATCAAGCAGGCGGAGCTAAAATTGAGTATCATCAGGACATCAAGTAAGGGCAAGGCATTATTCGCCCGCGTTGAGACCAAGGGTCCGTGCCGCGAAGTATCATTTCCCTGTTTCGTATCTCCAAGTCTTGATAGACTCAGGGAAACACTGGAGACACGCCCCAGATCTTTTCTCTGTCGATGAGAGACTGACAGAGTCCATGAACATCTCGACAAAGAAAGAAGCACGAGTCCCTGGGTTGAGAGCTGTAGCGGAGACTCGCCTGAGGATTGACATGAAGGACGTTCGTGATACGGTTCTACTCCTCATACGAACCAACCATACGCCGAATCATAAACATGATTCAGTGGCTCATTGACAGGAATACGTCTCTGTTCATCTAAGGAACGAGACGCGGACCAGTTGCGTTACCATACACGAGTCTTGATCATTGGATGCAATATACAGCCTAGGCGTCCCACAAGTCCTCTCCCCTGAATTCTGGTAAGTCCGGAAGCGGTGTCTCGGCATGGTTGCCTATGACTATCCCCCTATGTATTCATTTCCAGCTCGAAGTATTTCAAGTTCATAATCAACAGTGGAAGACAGATGATTCGCCGAACCACGTGAGCAATGAGATGGGGTACGTCGAACACCAGAAATAAAGAGATATAAATGCCCAAATTCTAAGCTGCAATCTCAAGATTGACGACCCGCTTCTCATACCTGCCATAGAGAATAATGTTTACTTCCCTGGGCCATTCTTGTATACATTGCTTGTGCTATGCCGATAGGCAAAAGTAGCAGTCCCGTCGTTTTAGTAACCCAACTATCCCGCCGCAATCAGCCTCTCAAGTACAAGCACCATGAGACGGTACCGAAGGAAATGGAACGTGATTGAGAGAAGTAGGTGCGGTCATACACATGCGCCTTGTACCGTGGGTTGGGACTTGTGTTCGCGGGAAACTACGAGCAAACCCTGTATTGTTCCATTCCTACGTTCTTGAACTATTCGGGTCAAAGGGATGTGAGCTCATAGAGGCGAATAGAGAAGGCGAGGCAGTCACAGGCAAGGACTTGGTCGATAGTTGAATATGCTTGACCTTGGATGTTCGAACTGGTGTTCGTGGTAGAGATTGACAAGCAGTTGGAATGGCCTGCCAGCATACAAATATACTGCCCGGTTTGCTTCCCTCTCCGTTCTGTTAACTGAGTATTCAGACATGGGTATGCAAGGGCGCCTTCGATTCCTCGGCAATGACTGCCTCCATCAACCGTTCTCCTGTTCCAATGACCCCATCGAATTGTGAGAGCGGAATTGCGAGCTTCTATTGCTCACGACAACTGCCAGGCTTAGTCTCCCGGCCAGATTCCAGGCCAAATCATCAAGACTACTACTCTGCAACATACGTACGGCCAGGCTAGGGGAATATAAGCATGTTCCGAAAGCACATGTCCTTATGGCGAAGTAACCAGAAACTTGTGCAAACAACGATATCAAGACTTGGATCATGTGGAAGATGCTGGTTTTACATTGCTATGTCAAATTGAGAAGGAAATCCTGGACTTTCTGATATCAAGCTGGGCCATGATCGCAAGTGACCCACCTGCTGCCTTACCTTTACAGCGATTGTGATTGGTCGAGGGCATCATCCATGTTGTCGCTCGAATGAAGCTGTCGCAACGAACCACTGTCACCGAATAGAGACACTTGGAGCCGTGGGCTTGCAATTCGCCGTGTTGGAAGAGGTGGTTATCAACAGGGGGCCAACTTCTCCCAGCTGCTTATCTTGAGACCCAATGTTGACAGATAGACTTCCGTCTCCTCATTCTCTGTTGCCAACCACACAGGATCAGTAGTCGTGTGCACTTCATTCAACGTTTGTCGAATATCTTGAAACAACCGTCTTTGACATGATCGAAAGCGGATTGCGGAAGACACGGTCAACCGAGACTTGCCATCACAATAGTCGACAGTTCGTAGCTCCATCTATTGTTCGCAACTGCCGCTACCACGCGGCGCTCAATTCCTCGGGTACCATATTTACATTGTACAAATTTTGTTCGACCGTCCGAGTCGTTTATGAGTTCTGAACCGCCTCCGCCTGCGTCGTGTCCTTGGCCTTCCGCGCGGCCTGTTCTCTGTCGTACTCGATCAACTGCTTCGACCAGCTGTTTTCCCCCAACGGTTAGCCGATGCACTCACTTTCAGGTTGCCGCGCATGGTAGACCTACTATCTGCTAGGGAAGAACCGGCCCTCCTGAGGCATCACGTAGCGCACCTCCTTCTCGGCGCTGATCTTCCAGATGACGGCGACGACACCGGCCATGACGGCGCCAATGACGGCGGTGTTGCGCTTCCAGTTCGCGGGCTGGGCGTACCAACCACCGGCCGGCGACCAGACGTGCTTGGGGTAGCTGCACCGCGGGGAAAGACGTGTGTTAGAGGAGGCTGCTTTTCGAGGGATCGGGATGTGGTGTGTGGGCTACGCAAAACTTACGGAACCTTAGGACCGCCTCCCTGTATGCGAGTTAGCAATTGACACAGCAGATTCAATCGAGAAGTGGCTTACCATTTTGGCTGTGCTTTCGATATGAAGGACTAGGTGGTGTGGTGATGGCAATCGCTGTCCCGCCTCGGTTCGGACTGGAGCTTTTCGGCCTTGGACGTCGTGAATCTGAGGACCAGTCGCCCATTCCTCGCCAGGAGTGGAGCCCGAACCTTTCCCGGAGGCACGGAAGGTCGGATATTCCGCAGCTCCTGACTGGCTCGTGCACGGTCCGCCCCTAGCAATCCTGCTGGAGCTCACACGACTCGAATCGTTCGGCTCCAGAAACTTTTTCGTGACGGGAGACCGGCCGCTGAGAGAGAAAAGGGACGTTGCGACTAGACCCAGCGAAACCTGCCAAATTGCGACCTGTACAACAACCCAATTGACCCCGTCCTTCTCTTGTCTTTCTTTCTGTTTCCCTTATTACTCGGCTCTCGTCCAGCAGCTACCCCGATAAAAGGCCTCCCCGATGAAGAGGTCAAGGATATCAAGATGCACCGGGCAACTGCTCAACGCCCCGGCCAGGACGCACGCCTCGTCGTGCCTGACACCCATTTCCTTTAGACCACAGCAGCTCGCCCGGCACAGCAACCCGGTGCGGACACGATCGATCTTCTCCTCATCCAAATTGGCGGCGCAGTCAGCAGCAGCACCACACCTCGCCTCCGAGTCTCTCGACGCCTCGACGACGACGACACCCGCCTCGAAACCCCTCCCGTCACCTCTCCCCGAGAAGGCCCTCAGCTCCGCCAAGCTCGCCGCCCTCCACGCCCGCCTCTCCCTCCCCGAGAAGCTGCCCCTCCAGACCCTCGCGCGTGCCCTCGTCGACCCCTCCGCCGACCCGAGCCCCAACTTCAACAATGCCAACCTCGCCGTCGTCGGTGGCTCCCTCATCAGTTACCACGTCTCCGAGTGGCTCATCGCCCACTACCCGCGCCTGCCCATGGCCATCCTCTACGAGGCCATGCGCGCCTACGCCGGCTCCGACTCGCTCTACCGCGTCGCGAGCCAGTGGGGTGTCGAGAGCGCGGCCGCCCCCGGCGAGGAGGTCGACCCGGGCTTGCTGCAGTGGTCTCAGGACCCGACCGCCGGCGTCGTCCACGGCCGCTGGGGATACGTCCGCAAGGAGCACCGCCACCTCGACAAGTTCAAGTGGCGCCGCTCCGTCTCGTCCCGCGTCGTCCTCGACGACGAGTTCGGTGACGTCTTGCACACCCCGGAGGCGAACCCGCTCGAGCCCGCCGCCGACCCGCTCGACCCGGCCGTTGTGCGGGAGCAGTACATGAAGCTCCGCAACAACGCGCACGCCGCCTTCGTCCGCGCCGTCGCGGGCGCCGTCTACGCGCACGCCGGCCGCGACGCCGTGCGCTCCTTCATCGACGCCCACGTCCTCAGCCGCAAGGTCGACCTCGAGAAGCTCTTCAGCTTCAAGCTGCCCACCCGCGAGCTGGCCATGCTATGCGCCCGCGAGGGCTTCGAAGCCCCCGTCGCCCGCCTCGAAAGCGAGACGGGCCGCATGAGCAGGACCCCCGTCTACGTCGTCGGCATCTACAGCGGCCGCGACAAGCTCGGCGAGGGCACGGGTGCCAGCCTCGACTTTGCGCGCCTGCAGGCCTCCATGAACGCCCTCAAGGCGTGGTACCTCTACAGCCCCGGCGCCAAGGTGCGGGTGCCGAGCGATATGCTCGTCGAGGGCGCCAAGCCGTGGCAACCTGTGCACATTGACATGGGCGAGATCATCTAAGTGTACAACAGGCGGCCACGGAAAAAGGAGGAGAAACAAAAAAGGCAAAAAATCCATCCACTGTAATTCATCCATTAGGAGAGAAGAAGGGGGGTTGAGAAGACGAAATAGGAGGCAGGAGGGTGGCGGGATGTCGTTGAACCGCCGGGGGACAGGTGATCCCGGACGACCAATATGCCTTTTTTTGGCAGTGTACATTTTGAAACAAGGACATGTAGAAAGGTCAAGCATGTCTCTGTAAGATGAATAGATTTGTAAAAACAATGACACACTCCTCGAAACGGGGCGATCTACTGAACACCAAGAGTCTTTCATTGTATCCTTGTTGGTTAGACGCGACCTGGAGCTTATGAAGAACTTCCCTCACGTTATAGCACGGACGGTGTACACCAACACGGTGATATAATTCAAGTGCCTGCTAACTAGTCTATAGAAAACCATCAACATATGTACGCCATTTCCGTCTCTTTCCTGGGTATCTCCAATCTACAAACTCCAACAATGCGACGTGATCAGCTGAACTGGTCGCCCTCGCCCAGCTTGTGCGCCAGTCCCCTCCTCACCAAACTCATGTACCGTTCCATGCGGGACTTCTCCTCCCGGTCGAGCCTGAGCTTTTTCTTGCGCTCGTACACGGCCCGCACCGTGCCGCGAATTTGTTCCCGCCCCTCGGCGTAGTTGGCCCTCGCCAGCGCAGCGACCTGCTCGATCTGCTCCGCCGTGTATACGAAGTTCCAGGTGCTCAGGAAGTCGGTCGTGCCCGGGTTGACACCGGGGACTTTGGGGTTCGCGAGGTAGGGAAGGTAGATGATAGCGATGCCGGCATCGGGCTCCATGAGCTGCCAGGAGGTGGAATCGGTGATGGCCTTTGACGGGGGCGGGGGTTCCGAAGCCCGCTCTTGGGTTGTGCCAACCCAGACTGTGCAGTAACCAAGCTCACCAGACTCTTCGTCACCGGGGCTGAACTTGTCTGCCTGTCCCTTCTTTGTGTCTTCGCTTGGCTTCTTGTCCCCGGCCTGGTGCTCGTGTTGAAACTCCTTGGCCTCGCGCAGTTTCTGGTCTGCTTCCTTCGCGGATGCAGCCTCGGCCTCCAGCAGCTCATCACGGACCTGCTTTGATGATTCTCCAGGCTTGGGCCAGCCGACACCGACGGGCCAGCCCTTGATGCCGCGCTGGCGGGCGTAGCCATCAGCGACGGCAAGCCAGTTGTCGGTCTTGATGTCCGCGGATGCATCGAAGGCGACAACGACATCAACGTCTCGGCCCGGGCGGAGAAGGGGGTAAATGGGAAGGTTATTGGACATGCCGGCGTCCATGAGCTGTATGTATTCTGATTTGTATGTGCTCTTCGGTGTCGACTTGGGGAGCTTGTCCTCCATGCCATAGGCAAAGTTCGCAACCGTGCCAGGGTCGATGGGGTGGACTTTGCTGAGGTCCTCGTTGTAGCCGGTAATCATGCCGTCCAGGGAGCTGAATCCAGCGACACTTTGAACGAGGGGCCTGACCTCGTTGTAATAGTGGCTGAGGGTCGCGCAGAAGGCGCTGCCGAAAACGCCCAGGAGAAAGGGCAACCGGGTCTCGGGAAGGTGGAATCCTTCTTCAGGGGCACGTCCACGCCGTTTTTGAAGCGTCGTCCCATAGCCCAAGTGGGAATGCCAGCCTGGAACTCTTCGCAGAAGAATTCGTAGGGTGTGATTTCGAACCACTGGAACCAGGCCTCCTGCTTGGCAACTTCCTTGGCCGCCTCTGATGTAGAAGGGACCTCTCCACTCCCGTCAAGGTCAACATCGGGGATCTCGTGGCGGACGGCCGTGTAGATGGGGAGCGGATTCTGGCCGTACTTGATGTAGTCTCGCTGGTTGGAGAGTTTGAAGTCCCGGTCGTTCACTTCCAGGTCGCCTTTGGGGACCAGGTATCTTGCCGCCAAGAGAAGGCCATAAATGTCGACCAACCCAAATTGGGCACCGGGGTCCCCCTTGAGCTTCTCAACGAGACCGCTTAGTAGATACTTGCTCGTTGGCGCGGAGAGCAGAGTCTGGAAAGCTACGGGCGGGTAGGCGATGTGAACGCCCGCGCGAGCCTTGAGATGCTGCAGAAGGCGGTTGAGACTACCTTCAGAGATAGACGAGTGGTACAGTGCCTGCAGCCAACAGGAACCGCTCACACCGGAGGTATAAGTGATGCAGTCGAAAAGGCCGTCTTCGTCGGCAGCAAGCATGGAGCCGGTGCCAGCGACAAGAGCCCTGAGACCGCCTCCGGAGCCGCACATGGCGATAGTCGGAACGTCTTCTGGGTGGACGTCCTTTTCGTCGAGTCCCAAATACTTGGCCAAGGCCATGGTGGTGACCCTCTTCCTTCTTGCCAAAAACTCCTTTTCCTCTTCGCAGAGGTCGTTGGAGACTCTCACGCTGGCGCCATACTGCACTTCGGGGTTGACAAACGGGTCATGGGCTTCTCGCCAGATCTCATCGGCCAAAGACCCAGGGGCCATAGATAGCTGGTTCAGTCAGTATGTCAAAGCAAGGGATAAGAGCGCCGCAAGACTAACCTCTCTCTGGAGCTTCCGGATGTATCCGGGAATCAACCTGGACCATTCTGGCAGGATGAAGCCGACGATCTTGTCGGCACTCCATTCAATGTCGGTAGAGTCGGACAGAGTCTCGAACTTGAGGGCGAAATTATACCACGCGGCGCCGTTGGGGCCGCCGTTCGCTTTCCCAGCCTGATGATCGCGGATCTTGTTGCTTCTCTCCTCCTCAGCAAGCGACAGCTGTTCAAACTCCTCCGAGGGATACAGCCACCACACGAATACGCCACCAGCGAGCAGGGCGACGGGTATGGACGTCTTCTTGGGCGGGATCTTCTCCCTCGCGGTGAAGAAGCCGTGCTGCGACTGACGCGATAGCGTGGGTCGTCTGTGAACGAGGAGGCCATGGGTTCTGATGCGCCCGACGGTCACGCTGTGGTGAATGCCCCTCGTACCGGCCCAGCGCATCGCGTCGCGGGAATACAACGCGAATAATCTCATCTTGGCGATCTTGGGGGCTAGAGTCGTGGGACATGACTGGCTGGTCGAGCCAGGTTCTGCGGTGGTGTTGATCAGCAGGAACCAGGTGTGGCGCGGAGGATGGAGGTGGGTGCGTGGTGGTGAGAACGGATGTGGTTGCGAACGAGGGAGGGCTTTGATCAAAGGAGTACTGGAGAGTTACGGTTCCGGCAAAGTCGTACTTCGCATCTTTTGGTTAGGATTTACTTCATATGTCTAGCGACGAGTGATGATGAGACATTTGAATAAAAAAAGCCAAGGCACTTTTAGCTCGGGGGAAGCGCCCGAAGCTGAATTGGGCGCGACGCCGCACGAGGCAGTGACATCGATCGAGCTAAGCAAAGCTCAACAGCTTTCTCTGCTCACCCTGGCCCGCTCCTGACATCATTGAGGCATGATCGGGATTGGTGGATCAGAAGCAAGGAAGAGCAAAGGGGGAACGGGGGCGAACGGGCCAACAATCGGACCTGCATCTGATGGAGTTAAGAAGAGACTCACAAAAGACGAAAAAATCGCGTGCGGTGGGAAGTACCGCGCTATCATGGGCCAATCTCCACCGCTCGCTACGAATGCTCCGGGCGGGCTGATTCGCCAATTGAAACTGCCACACAGCGGACCCGAGCACCGCTCTGGCCACTGTGGCGCCAGGTTGCCTCTTCGTTCCAGTCTTCCCAGCGGTTGGCGCCTCCCATGTGACAATGACATGTCTTACATGTTACGGTCACCGTTCGGGCGAGTCTGGAATCCTAAAAAAAATCCTCGTCGGGCGACCTCATAGCTCAATCATTAGGAGGAGTCAGCGGGTCAGGCTCTGGCAAATGATAACTGGGGTAGCCAGAGATAACTCCACCAGGGAAAGAAGCTTGTTGTTCACCAAATATCTGCAGCTGGTTCGACTTTTCCCAGCGTGCTGCATTCTGCATATGACTCCTGTGGATACTTCATTGAAGAAACTCACCATTATCGCGGGACGAGATTTTCCTCCCACACGTTTAATTTACTTTGCCTTGAACAGTTCATCCAAGCTCGTCGCCAAGACGTCTATCTGCCAGCTCAAGGGTTCACAAACTTTAGTATGAGCTCTGATGTTGTCCGAGACCGTACTCAACTCTACACCTAGTCGATCATCATCCGATCCAGATTTTTGTTGGTCTCATCCTATTTAGGCCGTGGTATAGACAGTCGCTGCAGCGTCGCAGTTCCTTTGTTAAGGAATTGATCAAGACTGTTTTGCGGTTGGATGCGTAATGTCCCAGCTACGATATGCTTACCCTTGAGTTGGGTTCACAAGATTGTACGACTGGATCCATTTGTCTCCAATTAGAATATGCAGATACTCGTACCCAAGGTGCATGCGCCCTTCTCAACCCCGAGGTTGGTAACGAAGCAATAGAGGCAAGAACAGTCAGAGATGTGCTATAAACTTGACGTTTCATGATGAACTGGTTACTTATCGTGTAGTACTACCTCGTTTCTGCGCATGTAACAACTGGATAAGAACTATTTGCACAATGTCCTTGACCAAATCGGGGATTGCTTCATCTTCAATATTGGGAATCAAGTCTGAATTGCCGCCTTATGGCTGATGCATCGTTTTGGTTGGCGTTACTTACCACTCCTGCCGTGCAAGTATCATGCGGCTTGTCCAGCTCGAAAGTCTTCTGACTTCCTAAATCAAGCTACGTAGAGAATGCTAGAACCCAATTGTGCTCTCTGGAGACGTCCGTTGCATAGAGTCAGCCATGGCTGCTCCTTTGGCGACCGTCGCCGTCGTTGGCGCAGACAAGCTACCACTTGAACACGTGATTGACCTCAACACGAAACCAATATGTGATACAACCGGGCGAACTGTTTGTGCTCAAATAATTCACTGGGGTCAGGTTCGATGCCACTATGTTCAAGAGGCCGTCCAACTGGGCGGTCTCCCAGACCCCTCTGACGACCCCATCGTCAA